GCAAAATACAACCCCTGGTGGAAATCGTTATTTTTTAACTCTGATTGATGATCACAGCCGTTATTGTACAATATTTTTCATTGCATCAAAGGATTTGGCCTACGACAAAATTAAAGAATTTATTGAACAAAATGAGAACCAATTAGGAAAACGTCTAAAAATTCTTAGAACTGATCGTGGTGGAGAGTTTTTAAATAAAAAGATGCAGAAGTTTTTCAAAAATAAGGGTATAATTCACCAGCTCACTGCCCCCTATACTCCTGAGCAGAATGGAGTTGCAGAGAGGAAGAACCGGAGCTTAATGGAGATGGCCAGGTGCATGCTATACGACGCGAATATTCATATCAAATTCTGGGCTGAGGCTGTCAACAATGCGAACTATATTCAAAATCGACTTTCATCAGTTTCTGTAAATAAAACGCCTTTCGAGTTATGGTTTGGCAGGCCTCCAAATTTGAGCCATATTCGTATTTTTGGTGCCGCTGCTTACGTCCATGTTGAAAAACAAAAACGCAAAAAGTTGGACGATGTGGCTGTCAAGTGTATTCTGGTTGGATATTCTGAGGAGAGCAAAGCATTTCGTTTGTTAAATACTGATACCAATAACATCATAATAAGCCGTAACGTGAAGTTTTTGGAATCAAACGATTTTCTTGATGTTCCGAAGAAAGATAACAATTCTGACGAAAATATGGTAATATCTGTCTCTACAATCAATTCTACTAATGTTTCGCCTCTTGCTCATGAAGAAGAAGATAATAATTCGATAAGCACAGAAGAATTTTGTGGCTTTGAATCAGTTGGGGAATTTTCATCGTCTTCTGACGAGGAAATTTTAAATAATGACGTAACAATTAATCCTGATGATACTCCTCGAACTTCTTCAAGATCAAACAAGGGTATACCGCCTAAAAAGTATGGGTACAAAATTTGCGTTGAAGAAGATCCAACAAATTTTGGAGAGGCTATATCCAGATCGGACGGCAAGAGATGGTTGATGGCTATGGAAGAGGAGATGAGGGCATTGCATGAAAACAAAACGTGGGACTTGGTGGAGTTGCCACGTGATGGCAAATTAGTCGGCTGTAAATGGGTCTTCAAAGTTAAACATAAATTTAATGGTGAGAAGGAGTACAGAGCTAGACTGGTCGCAAAGGGATTTTCCCAAAAATACGGCGAAAACTACGACGAAGTTTTTGCTCCAGTTGTAAAGCAAGCAACATTTAGAAGCTTATTGGCCATCGCAAGCTATAGAAATATGAAAGTTCGTCACGTTGACGTGAAAACGGCGTTTCTTTATGGTGATTTGGACACCGATATATATTTGAAACAACCTGAAGGTTTTATTATACCTGGAAAAGAAAATTATGTTTGTAAATTAAACCGAAGCCTCTATGGACTGAAACAGTCGGCAAGATGTTGGAATCTTCGTATCAACAAAATCCTAATTGATTCTGGATTCAGAAGGGGAAAGGCTGAACCCTGTTTATATGTTAAAAGTGATACGAACTCAATCACATACGTTCTGATTTACGTCGATGACATTATTGTTGCATCTAAGACTGATGAGCAAATTGAAGATGTTTTACGTACTCTGAAATCCCACTTTGCAATAACGGAATTGGGTGATTTAAGACTCTATTTGGGGATAGAAGTGAGCTACAATAATGGTTTATATTATTTGTCACAAGAACGTTACATTGAAAAAAATTAAATTAGTTTGATCTTCAAGATGTTAAGACTTCTTCAATACCCATGGATCCTGGATATTTGAAGGAAACTACGAATAATTTGCTTGAAAACAATATCTTATACCGGAAGGCTATCGGATCGCTGCTGTATATCTCTAACAATACACGTCCAGATATTGCAGTTGCCGTTTCAATATTATCTCGGAAAATTACTTGCCCGAATGAAAGAGATTGGACTGAAGTCAAAAGGGTTCTAAAATATCTAAAAGGGACTAAAGACTTGAAATTGCTCGTTGGATCTAAGAGTGAATTGGAATTGAAAGGCTTTGCTGATGCTGATTGGGCAGGCGACATCAATGACCGAAAATCTACAAGTGGGTTCATTTTTAAGCTTGGTGATGCTGTCATCAGTTATGCTAGTCGAAAGCAAGCAAATGTAACTTTATCATCTACCGAGGCAGAATATGTGGCTCTTGCTGAAGCATCTCAGGAACTCTTATGGATTATGCAATTAATAAAGGAATTTGAAATCAACATATCCAGTCCGGTCATTTTTGAAGACAACCAGAGTTGCCTCAAGATACTTCAAGATGAGAAAATAAGCCCTAGAAGCAAGCATATAGATGTTAAGTTTTACTTTGTTCGCGACTTGTATAGATCGAATAGCGTATTATTTAATTATTGTCCAACAAAGTCTATGTTAGCAGACATTCTAACCAAGCCTTTACAGAAGGTTAACATATGTAAATTTCGAATACTGATTGGATTATGTAATTTAGATTAATTCGTTATTTTTATATACATACATATCTTTTGAGTTTATATAAATTAATTTTAAATAATATTTGTAATATTAAGAAGGGGTGTTAATAGTTAATTTATATTAACACTCAAATTAACATTGTAATTAACTGTGAGGACACTTAATGTTTATGTAACAACACTGTACTATGCAAATGTCTACAACTTTGAAATTTATGTCATGTATGACACGCCATTATATGTACATACACATTTTTCTTTTCCTCATTACTTCTAATAAACTGATCTCAACAACATAAAGTCCTGAAGGATAAAAACAAGGGATGTTTTTTAAATACATTGAAGGATTACCTGAAACATGAATTATTATTTTTAGATTAGATTAAAAAAATATTTGTTGGGACAAATGTGGGGTCTTTGAAATTTTTTTGTGAGTCTTCTTCCTATCTAAATAACTCTCATTAATTTTCAAAATTTTATTTTCACGTTCTACAGATTCGGATCCCAAACATTACTCGACGATCACGTACGCACCATACACCTGGAAAAATACGTTAAAATTTGTGATATTTGTGGCATGGTTTTACGTAGAAGCGACGCTTTCGAAAGGCATATGGTCAAGCATTCCGATAAACCGATCAATTATTTACGTTGTGATATATGTGGAACACGTTTCGTAAATGAACGTATCCTAAAAAGTCACATGGCACTGAAACATCCGGAGGGTGGTATTGTTGAGTACACTTGTGATATATGTGGAAAAGTATCGCTAAATCGTCGCAACCATCGTCGGCATGTCCAGTATAATCACGAGATGACAAGTAAATACGAGTGTACACTATGCCCGAAACGCTTTAAGCAGAGGACGGCATTGAAGGTAAGCTATCTCCCTCTCTATATACATATATTAAATCTATTTATTAATGTTTGTAAATGGTTTATTCTAGGAACATTTGGCCTATCACAGTCAAACGCCACTCTATACCTGCACCTATTGTCCCATGCAATTCATTTCCAGTGGTAACATGCATTCTCATCGTAAAAATGCCCATCCTTTGGAATGGTTGGAAGATCGTCGAGCAAAATATTCGGGAAAATTACCACCGAATCATATACCACCATCCACACTGCCAAGAGATGAAAGTGATTCGACTTGTGACAGCTGACATTCTGCTATTGTTAATTGATGTTATTCGATTAGATTTATTACTTAATTGTTTATAATAAATAATTGTATATACTAGATATAAAAAAAGTGTTTACTATTGCTTACAATGAAAGGTCAATAGCTTATATTAGGTTCGTTCGTTTACTTTCCCAGTAACATTTACTCAGTAAGAATTTGCAGAGAGTAAGTTGGAATTTTTCGTTCTCAAGAGAGAAAATTTCAAAAAGTAAACGAACAACATCCAGTAAAAAAATTGTATCGACACAGCAGATTAAAACAACAAACAATTTAGATCGAAAAAAACAGCAGATTCGGAAAATTGGTGTTGTTTATCAATACTTGATTTTTTCATCAACTTTAATGTTTAATGATACAAAATCAAAATAAAATAATCAATTTGCTTGAAAAAATGTTGTTGTTTGTTTACAAAATATAACGAAACAGCTGATGGTACAAGAATATTTTTTTTTTTGATACTGCAAGTTTGCACTTGCAACGAAAAACTTTCCAAAGAAGATGCAGGAATTTAAACATGGTCTTTAATGGTAAGTCTAATACCATATACTTGACTCTAAATATAGAATGTTAAAATTCCTGGGAAGAATCATTACAAATTCTCTAACAGCAAGGGATCATTATGGACACTTCAGTGAAGAGCTAAAGGGTAGAACGAATATACTCAAATGTTTGACGACGGTGAGAGGAGGCCTTCACCCATGAACACGTATAAATGTTTTATAAGAGCGAAGGTTGAGTCAAGAAAAAGATCGAGCGTTTGCAGAATGAAATGATCAGAAGATCGTTGAGTGTAACGACCACTACAACGATTCATGTAAGGTATGCTCCAGCTGGCCTAGCTACCCCCCAAATATCGAGCAAAGGTCCTAACAGCCAAGGAAATTAAAAGAAACATATTAAAAACCTTTTGAAACTTTGAATGTAGGGGGTCCCAGGTGGGTCCCTTTAAATGTACAAACATCTTAGAACCCAGAAGGGTGGTTTTTTAGAAGATTTGTAATAATCGTCGATTTTTTAAATATAATTTTAATTTTTTTCTATCATCTGTAGACCCATATGCTTGGACTTTTTTAAGAAAACATTTCCAAGCATGCATTCTCTTTATTTTTCAAAAAAATACGACCACTTATTTTGTCACAATAAATGATAGAAACAATCAAGAATTGAATTGATTGACGCCCAATTACTTTAATATAAAATGCAAATTACAAAATGTTATATTGAAAAGTGACAAAAAGCCAATATTATGCAAACACCTTAATAGGACATGTGGCCTATATACCACTTGTAAACCAGAAATGTGCCAAAATCCAATAAAATTTCTCGTTTTTTTCTTATAATTTATTCAACAACAAGAGGAGCTACACATTCACATTAACTTGTATTGCAGCAAAACGATAATTACGACTATTTGTTGAACGTATCAGACATTGTGGTTGTTTTATGTGACATTGTTGACATAATTTCAATAGTTCACGTAGTCCTTCTACCGTAACATAACCAATACCACCAACATTGCCTTCAGTTAAACAGAAATGGGCCGTTGTCATATAACCAAAACAATCACGCGTACCTTGTTTACGAACACTGTACAATGTCTCGGTGTTTTCGGGTAGCCATAATTTACACATTCGTTTCATGTGCTCCAAACACATGGCTGCTGTATTGGCTGGTCGTATAATAACCCTAGTTGTGCTGGTTTCCTAAAACAAGAAATTGAAAACATACATATGTTTGTTTATTATTAAACTAACAAATTTTATGGAGGACGCCTACAAACCTGCTTTTTGCGTTTCTCGCGAACACGTTGACCCCTCAAACGTTTCAATAGTTTCTTGTGTTGCATACGCAGCCTTTTTCTCTCCTTTTCATCGGTATCAGCCAGTAGAGGCTCAACATATATCGGCTCATTATTACGATGTTTTATTTGTTTACATTTCTTTTTGAAATCTTTACGATTCGGCAAACATATTAATGAAAAATCACCAGGATTTCCTCTTGATGTCAGGCTAATTTTGAGTTGTATTAAACACTGTGCCGTGGGCAAATCTTTGGGGAATTTATAAAGATTACATTTACGCACACACTCGGAAATTTCTTGAAGTTTACTACGATCACGAAGTATAAAGAAACCTGATTTCTTGTCATCACTGTCGGAGCCGCTTGTATTCCAATCTCTTAATAGCTGTGGGAATGGGGCTCGAAATGGTGATACAACGGCAAATTTACGATAATTGCAACGTTTTGCCGGTGGTAAACGGAAATATTTACTATACATTTCATTGTAACGATGACCAGATGTTTGTTGTCCTGTAAATGATAAAATTGAAATGAAAATGAATTCTGTGACTATTGAAGGTAGATATAATAATCAATTATTCTTAAGTAGTCAACTTTCTAAGAGGGTGTTTCGATTGGGAAATGAGATGATAGTGGTGACTAATGGCATTCCCCAAGGTAATGCTTGTCTCCTGTGCTCTTCAATATATATACTGCGGAATTTCATAAGTTAGAGGATGGAAGAACATTGATCTTCCAGTATGCGTACGATTTTTTGATAATGGTGTATGACAAGGATTTTTATACTGCACGTTTGCATTTGCAACGAAAAGCTCTGACTTTCCAAAGAAGATGCAGGGATTTAAACTTGGTCTTCAATCCGGAAAAGTCTAATACCATATAATTTGCCAAAAAATAGTATCAAACGCGTTACCCTAAATATAGAGGGTATAAAGATACAGCAGGTGAAAAAGTAAAAATTACAAATTCTTTAACAGCAAGGGATCATTATGAACATATCAGTGAAGAGTAAAACGGTAGAACGAATTTACTCAAATGTTTGACGACGGTAAGGGGAGGCTTTCACCCGAGACTGGCCATGAACACGTATAACAGTTTTTTAAGAGCGAAGGCTGAGTATGGCAGAACGACAACGGCCAATGCGCCGGCGTATATCAATAAAAAGATCGAGCGTTTGCAGAATTAAATGATCAGAAGATCGATGGGTGTAACGACCTCTACACCGATTCATGTAAGGTATGGTAAGAAGTACCAAGTTCGAAAGTGTCATAAAATTAAAATAAGATGCGCCACATCATCATATTTCTTTCATGCTGTACAGTGATTTTCAAGATTACATCCTATATATATATATATAATACTTACCCCCTATAGTATCTGGTAAATGCTCTTCGGTACCCATTTCTCGTGCTATCGATTCGAATTCTCTTAAACCACCTGGTCGTGCACCCCACATAATTAACGATAGCCACAGGGACATACCATAGCCAGCTGGAGCTATAATATCCCAACCACATGCATACGAGAGACGTTTATATTGTCCCTCCTGGCAACCGGGTCTTTGTATCAAGAGCAAGGGTATTGGTTGCATAGAATCTTCAAATTGACATGGTTTACCGGGAACTATGGCATGTTTCGCCCTCATCGAACAATAATCATGTGTAGACAACATTTCATCTGATACACGATTTCTAGTCTTTTCACACCATAAAGGCGAGGAGCTAAGTTCGGGTACAATGTCACAAAGAAGTTGTTGGCTCGACTCATGAAATGCCTGTACATCATAGCTGATTAAAGCTTTTGTACGTTTTTGTGGTCGATTTAAACGTGGATCTGCCACATTGAGGGCCAATATCATATTGGATAGTAGCTCTGCTGGAGAAGTGATCAGTTTATGGCATTTATTCCAGAAATCTTTTTGTCTTTGATGGAATGTGGCGAAATGTTTTCTCTGTACTTGTTCACATATCCAGGTACTTTGTTTGCTATCATCGACCTGATCAATATCAACAACTTTCAAAGCTTTTTGTAAAACACTTTGACTTAGGGGGCCGGTTAATCGAAACCGATTCATTGTGTCCCTAAGCTCTTTTAGTTGTATCTCTGAATCTTCACTTTTGTAAATAGGAACTTGGCGGCGAGTTTGAGTTTTGGTTAGAAATTGTAAACGTCTTTCGGTTTTGGCTGATTTGGGCTTTTCAGTGGATTTTTTGTCTTCTTCAGTCGCTTTTTCGGTAATATCTTCCTGGGATAAAGGCACTTTAACGGATTTTTGACGTTTCAAATCGAATACTTTAATGAGCTCCTCTAAAATCTGAGTATAACTGGCAGGATGTACCCAAAGCCAAAGGGTTCTTGGTGAACTCGGATCAACATCTTCATCATCTTGACAACGCCACAAAAAGTTGACTTTACCCAATGCTTTTTGTGGATATTGATTATCTCTGAAGAGATCCACAAAACCTTCTCTGCGACCAGTCACAAATGTTTTGGCAGTTATGGACAGACCACAGTCCCTACTTGTCAACCTATCAAATCCATCTTTTAACCGACTAATTGTTCCCCTCATTTCGATGCAGGCATGAAACGAAATATCCTGCAAGAGACAATGTTCAGCCGTGGCCCGATAACATGCACGATAAGTCTTGTCACAGCTGGCATATGGCAATTTATAGCCCCATTTTTCGATCATATGAAAGCGCTTGGCATGCCATATATGAGTCTCCAGCCACTGATGCCTCCTCTGACGCCGCAAATAATCCTTTAACAGGTTTTGAGGACGACGCCGATGTTTTCTAGATGGTCTCTTTGTTTGTTGGGGTTTTCCCGACTTCGACATCTGATGAATGTGACCAGCTCTATATTTTCGTGGCAGTCTCTTGGGATGATGAGACATTGCCCTGCGGCGCATGTGTTTGGGCAACGACTGGAATATCAATTTTGTTGATGTTGTCTGTTTTGTGGCATTCACCAACTCCTTTAGCTCCTGGAGGGCAGAAGCAGCATATTTATATGTTGGCATATGTGTACCCAGTACCACTGGACCACCCAATGTGGAATCATACTCCAGTTTACGTTCATCCATTCTTTTTTCTTTGAATAAACGAAAAAAAATCTAATTTGAAATCAAAACAAAAATATAACCACACGAAACACGTTAGATCAAGTTCAAAAATGAACGATTCCATGAAATGAACGTTGGGAACCAATTTTAAGTACGACGAATGGAGGGGCAGTAGGAGAAATAAAGAACGTGCAAAAGACAAAATAGTTGCTGGCTGATTTGTTTACGAATTTGTGTGAGGCATAAAGACTATAAACAAATGTATAGAAAGAGACATGACAAATGTGAAAATCAGCTGTCGATTTTGGGGGGTACGTAGTTCGACTTGATTTGTAGGCATGGTAATACTAGTGTCAATATGCATTTGACAAATTATGTTTTTAAAAATCACCCATCAGGAAAAATTGGGAACCTATTCAATTCGAAATTATTCTTTATTAATGTGCTCCCGTATTCAATTTACTCAATCTGCCTGCTGGGAAAGTTTGAGGAAGCAAATCTTTCTTCAAGGAATAGCTCGCTATTCCCAGCATTTTTATATGTGATGCACATATATATGGCAATGGCTCAATTATAGGAAATATGTGGAAGCGATAGAAATATAAATTTGATAGATTTTCATTCATGTTTTTCAATTTTTATTTTGAGGATTCGAAAATATTCCATTTTCAAAATAAAAATAATTTGATGATAATTTGTTTGTTTGTTTACATTTTTCTGTCAAATGAGTTGACACTAGTAGAACTTACAACAACAAATTTCCATCTGGTTGTTGTATCGTTTTTGTACAACAACACTTGCTGTTACCTTTTATTATTATACCATGATTTGTAGGATATAAAAATTAGGAGATTGCCTATGCTCATATATCATTTCCCAAATTGAACCATGAAAAACGACTGTACTCTTTACAGTGAGAAGTTCAAATTCGGTGCTCATGGACTTGACCTCAAGATTATTGTCCATTTTATCAGAATTAACAAAGCATAATTCCGATATAAATAATCAATTATATTACGGATGAGCCCTACAATATCATGAGCATAATGCACAGACTTTATTGCAAGCTTATCTAATTTCACACGGATTTCATATATCACCAGACGTTTCCATGGCGTAACTCCGTTGACTGTTCCCGATGGAAGTTCTCTCTGTGTGATGCGGCTGCTCTTGGTGTGGATGCCGTGGCACCTGTAGCTGTACAAGCGCACCGAACCGGCAATTTAATTGGTAAACGAGCATGTCAAGACTGATTGCAAATCATCCCACGATGGATAATGTATCGAGACCCCAGCAACGGACAGCGGCTCAAAGGTCGGAAATGCCCAAGAATTATCTGATGTGAAGTACTATAAACGTGCCCTTTCGTATCTTCGCAAATTCGAGGGACGAGACGCGAATTTGCTTTCGGAAAGGGAGGTTCAGCTCATTAAGGGCAAGATGAGATTCGTAAGGAAGTTCGAAAGAATTTACCCGCACGCTCTCCACCGTGAGCTCCAGATGGAGAGGATCTCTCTCCCGAATCTAACTGCTCGATCAAAAATCTCCAAGGAGTCCTCTGAATCGAGTAAAGTAGTGGAATCGGCGAAACCTACCTAAAGGTGCGAAGCCGACTTCTGATCCGAAGCCTAGCCCGAAGCCTTACCCAATTCAAAAGGAAAAGGCTACTGAAAACATTCCGACACAAACTGTCATCCATAAGGGTGATCAACGTGTGGAGGGCTCTGTCTCAAAGCCGGATACTACGCCTAGCGACAAAGATGAAGCGGTCGGTGCTAAAGCATTGAGTAAACCCACCAGTTGTCGGTATAGGAAAAAGGTAAGTCTGGCAAGGAACCATCGTCTCCTGGGAGAGCAAATCTGAACATTGTCTCCTCCACACATTCGTTCATCAGAAGGTCCATATCCTTTACCCAAGAAGACGATGACTTCGCGTCTGACTGACCCATCTACCTCATATGCGGCTGTCGCTGGGCAACAAAAACGCATCAACCTCCTCTGGAAAAGCTAACTCCAAGGTTCGTAGTCAGAGACAGAGGAAGCCATATGACAGACCGAACACGGTAGCTGCTGACGAAGACCTTCTAGTGGCAATCATTGACACATCTGATCTTTTCCCATAGAGTTTTAGCCGCACTGTCTCATTAAATTTACAGCAATTTGGGCATTCCGAGTTCTTGTAGGATGAAACAAATTTATGCAGTACATTTTCTACCTTTTTTTTAAAGCACAGCCAACATATCAAGGTTTCATCCATTTTGAGTACTTTTAGACTTTTAAAAGCATTTTCCCACCGAATGAGCTATATCTTTGACAAATATTTTCGAAATATGTCCAATTTTAACATAATCCCTCTATAAAAAGATACATGACCCATTTTCGGTACTCAGAAGTGGCTGTAATTTTCTATTCTAGGATTCCTGCTAAATAATAAAAAATATACATTCCAAGAAAGTTCTCAATATTGCTTGATTCGGTACTTTGAGGTTCCTAGTCCAGTTTTCCAACATAAGGGTCTGTAATTTGGTTTTTCAACGTCTTAAATCAACAACCTGCTAGCAGACAATATACAATGCGACACAGTCACCATATGATGATCATGGAGGGCCTGGAACCCAGTCATTGCCTGGACACATAATAATAAGCAACATTAAACGGCATATACATTAGAACTTTTTACCGGGTTAACCTACTTTATGAGGATTTATTTGACATATATGCAAAGGAATTGACAATTGAAACCCACTGGGTTAACGAAAACCCGTTAAATGTAAACGTACTGTTAATATGCTCCTTTTAAGGCTGAGACAATAAAGCTTGTTGTGTTTCCTCCTTAAAGGGCTAAGCAGACTGATCGCGTTGAGCCGTCCGTTGCGTTATGTTTTATCGAAAATACAACAACCACAAGGAAACGATAACACAAACGCTCAAAGTTGATGTGCGCTGCGATGCGAGCATTCTGTTTAGCCCTTTAAAAGTTATAAAATATTGTCTGACTATGCGGGGTTTTACATTTATCGGGATTGGTGTTGAGAGTTTCTCTATCATGGCACAATAAATTGGTAGTCCATTTAGCTCAACTGATGTCTCGATTAACTGTCAAAGTGCGTAATTTCTACTTGAATTCGATGTGTAGAGTTGCCAACCACGTGAAATATTATAATTAGAGTTGCGCTATTTTCAATTCTGTAACAAGCGTACTTTTTGTTCACAAAAGGTACGAATTGACATAAACGTACCAAAACAAAAAATAGATTTGTTTATTATTCGTGAATACATTTACTCTTAAATTACAACATATATTATTTATGCAAATAACTGGTATAGATATTGGCCAATCTTTCTTGATAATTATGATTTATTATCATTTGAAGCAGAATTTTAGGTACCTTTTCGTACTTTTTTGTTTTTGTTTTTAATGTTTTCCAACACGATTCATAATTTACCATTGAGAGAGAGAGAAAGAAACTCTCAACACCAATCCCGATAAATGTAAAACCCCGCTATCTTGTCAAAAATAATAAGAACGTTTAGGGGCTGCTTTATTTTGATGGAATGTTCACGCCTTTGAGTTAGGTTCCACTGACGATTCACAATAAATAGAATTTTTATTAAAAAACATGGATTGTCAACATATTCTAAATGCATTGTATGTCGTCATTTTGTTTAATATATTTTCTTAATAACTAATAGTTTCATTAACAATTACCGGTATTCATTCATGTTGCTGCCGCTACACGACGACAACTACATGGTTATTTTTGCAAAGCTAATAACGCCGTCACTTTCATTCACAGCCGACACAGTTTTTCAAGCGTCAGCGTGCATGACTGATATTTTATAAAAATGTTGTGTTTTGGAATGTGATTTTTTGGACAATTTTGCATTTTTAAATTCACGTTTTTTTATAACAAACCAAGTATTTATAAAACGGCATATACATTAGAACTTTTTACAGGGTTAACCTACTTAATGAGGATTTATTTAACCTATATGCAGAGGAATTGACAATTGAAACCCACTGGGTTAACGAAATCCTGTTAAATGTAAACGTACTATAAAGAAAATCCACTTTGAGATTTTCTCAATAATCAAAAGTCGGCTTTGAATTTTTGACTTTTCAATACAAAAAGTCGATTAGTCGAAAGTATAATGTCATGTTCTGACGGGCATTCGAACAACGTAGTTCGCTCTCAGAATTACGTACATGAATTAACCCGTTCATACAACACTATTTTTAATTCATGTCATCAGAGATTTTTATTTCAAACTTTTTGTTTCTTGTTTTACAGCAAAATTCTAACATATTTGCATGAATCACATATGGATCTTAATAGAAAAATTAATTCTCTTTCTTTGTTTTTATTAATTTCTCTTTCGAGATGAGCTACATGATCGGAGTTGCAATGAAAAGGAAAGCCAGAGAGATACTACATTCCCACCACTATGCGACGCGTTTCGCCGTTCATCAGGCAATGTGGCTTAGAAATTTCTTTACATGATAAGTTGTATTTATGTCGACTATTGTTGCGAAATTGCATCTACGAATTAAATTCAACCGTGTCAAGGTTCGGACATTTGGCATCACACCAGAAAATTCCTTTTTAGAGCAGATTCAAATTCATAACAAATTCTAATGAAAAAAATTATATATCATGGTTTAATGAAGGATTGGAATGGTACTGAAATGGTCTCGGGGGTACTACGGTAATTTTTTGGGTAAAAATGTACTGAAAAAAGTACTATTGTACTGAATTTTCCATCCCTGATTTGCAATGACATAGTCACCATAGATGATCATGGATGGCCTGAAACCGAGTTATTGCCTGGACACAATAATAAGCAACAATAAGAAGCTCACCTAAAATCCTCAGTTCTCCTTTTGTTGCCGCCGTTCACCGCCGATGAAAACATTTAATCAACTCTGACATTTAAACGTCAGTCGTTCCCTTGAAAAAAGGTCGTACAGAAAAGTAAATTTGTCAATAAATCTGTTCCGAGAATATGTCAGATACCCTTGGAACTGAAAAACGACGTAGACGAAACCAAATCAGTTTGAATTTACACAGAAAAAGGAAAATACATCTTAACAAAAACAGGGACGAAAAGCCGCACAACGCTTAAAAAGTTGCAAACCGATTTACAGAGCATCAAAAAGGTTGCAAATTGCGACTTTAGTCGCACAACGGTAACCCTGACTACATGGTTATTTTTGCAGAGCTAATAACGCCGTCACTCTCATTCACAGCCGACACAGTTTTCCAACTTGTATCGTCGGCGTGCTAATGTAGCGTCATAGCGTCAAAAAAAAATTTGTGGATCAGTGTGCGGAGAAAGAATAAAAAATTGGAAAAAGAAAATTGATTTTAATCTGTTATTTGTTTAAATAATCGTTTTTGTATTATATTCAACAAAATATACATATGCTATGTATAGAGACAATGTATCTGTTCGCGTTTAAACGTATAACATAAAATTTGTTATTTATTCGACTGACGAAAATCCGTATACATAGAATTTTAGAGTAGTGGTGGTGGTTGAATGAAAGAAAAATCTGTGTTTGCTTAAATCGAAGAAGAACACACAAACGAACGCCGCCGAACAACATGGTTAAGTGTATTCTGTGTCTGGAATACCCAACAATACCGGGCCCCAAATTCTTGGATATATTCTCCGAGGAGGGCACACGCCTGGGCATAAGTGCGATTATTAACAAACACTTTTGGATAAAGGTAAGTTTTCGTTCGCGAAAACGAACATATCGATTTTTCATCCATGAACATCAGCCTTGAATGCAATTATTTTGTGTGTATACAGACATATCGTAATAATGGCGACGAGAAGCAGCAAGTTTGCATGACATGTTGGGAAGTTGTGCGAGACTTTCACATACTGTACGAACGAGTCGAAGAGGCCCACAAGCATTTGGGCACCGTGAACACCATAGACATACTAGATGATCCGCTACCTCACCAAGATGTCGTTATGCTCAAATCTGAAGATACTCCCGTGCCTATGATGCTACAAGATCCCATAATGGGACATTCGTCGATGGGCAATAATTTATTTGATCCTGAAGTGAAGGTGGAGGTAAACGATTTGGATCTGCTGCCACAAATAGAGATTTTGGAAACTGAACATGATATGTCATCTATGGGTGGTGGGGCAGGAGGAGGAGGAGGCGGTGATGTCGATGATATTGATGACAATGAGGATGTTAAAGTTAGACGCACACGTACGGCAGCGGCGAGAGATCAAAGCCCCAAGACAACGACTGGGGCCAAACGCATTAAAAAAGAATCTTCTCCTGCCTTGGACAAGGAAGAGGACGACGACGATGCCGATGTTTTTGGTGATAATGCTCCTTTGACTTATCATGATTCCAGTGATGATGGAGATTCTGATAAACCGCTGTTGCCACCTTCTTTGGATGTTACCCTAGAGGAAGAGGAGGAGCACAATAAAGAAAAAGTTGAAGTTGCCCGTCCCCGAAGAGGTAGACCTCGCAAATCGGAAGCTGAAAAGGCTGCAGCCAAGGCAGCAGCATTAGCAGCGAAAAAGACCCCTGTCGCCCGCAAACGTAACTCCAAAAAATCTTTGGCGGCCACGATTAAAAATGAAGGTGACGAAAGTGAAGAACCTTCGTGTTCAACCTCCGCAGCAGCTTCAACGTCGGCGACCACACACATTAAAACCGAAGGAGAAGCCACAGAGGACCAACAGAATAAAGACAAACCAAGCTCCACTGATCCGAGTGGTTCTGCTGCGCCTTTCGAAATACCCGACTTTACAAATGACAGTGACGACAATGATGATGATCCCGAGTATGGGGACAATGATAACGATTTTGCAGCCAAAGATTCGGACGATTCCTCAAATTCCGACTCCGAAGATGAAAATGAATCGGATGCCTCCGATTGGGTGGCCGACAAGAGCAAATCGGAGAAATTCGCTGTGATTTTGAAAAAGGAACGCAACACGCCGAAAAAATACAAGAAACGTGAAAAAACTGCATCCGAACCAAAACGCATGTCGAAAGAAGATATTGCTGCCCGCCAAGCTCAACAAGCCGAATACGATAACATCATTACCAAGTTCTTTGAGAAGTTGCGTTGTCCCAAGTGTGAACTGCTGGTGCATACGTTCAGTGAAATGCGTGCTCATTTCCGACTCGATCACAACGATGATCACGGCTTCGTCGAGTGTTGTGGTCGCCGATTTGCTACACGTAAATTTCTGGCCGAGCACATTATGGTCCACTATAATCCTGAACACTTTAAGTGTAAAACATGTAATAAAATATGTCGTGATTCGACACAATTGGAGGCGCACGAACAGACACATTTACCCAATCCACCCGAATCGAAATACAAAAAGACCTTCCAGTGTGAGAAATGTTCGAAGACATTCTCATCGAAAGCATCATTTGAACATCATATGGTTGCTAAACATGTGCCACGTGAAGAATTTAAGTTCGAGTGTCCTGAATGTAAGAAAAAGTGAGTACCACGATTTTTTCTTATTCGTTTTTATTTTCTATCTCTTAGTCTTATTTCGCAAAAAAAGAAACAGTAACGAAAGTTGGAGTTGTTTGAGACAACGATGAAAAAAAGAAAACAAATGCTTCCCTACCTTAAGTGGCCTAGAATATTATGTGATATTAGTAATAAAAACAAAGAATATTTTTCTCTTGCTCTCTTTTTTTCTTGTTTCCTATTGGAAATTGGAAATTTTTTAAATGCTAAGAAAAAAACTAATATCCCATTATTTTTTTTTAAATCTAAACTTTAATTTGTTTTTGATATTAGGTAAAATCTAAAAAAATGTAATATAGATATAGATGATTTCATTTTTGCCTAGATCCTTTTTAAATCCTCAATAAGATTGATGTAATTCAATGTAAATATCCCAATTTGTATAGGGAAGTTGAGCTTGACGTTTCCCCCATTATTTTGTTAGCTTTAAATTAAACGTTTTTCTATAACACTTAAAATTCGTAAATGTTGTATATAGGATTTAAAGGCTTACAGAATTGTTATATGTTGTGATCCATAAACACAACGAAATTTGTAAAAAAAATGGACTTCCATGTGAGGGTCACATAATTAAAAACTATAACTATTTGTAGACAGCTTTTCTTAAACACAGATAATTGAGAGTTGTTGTAGCCCTACATTTTGAGTCATTGGTGATGAGGTGAGAGTCGTTGGTCTACTGAGACTCGGCTACGGATCCGATTAATAAAAAATGGATATCATTTAAAGGCTATGAAAATATCTTTACATTTTGAATGTTATCTCCAATCGTTTAGGAGATACATTCCAAAAATTGAGTTTTGGACTCGGATATTCCAATAAAATACTTAATATTTGAATTTAGATAAACGGGTTAGAAACCGGGTTATTTGATCCGAAAGTTCGGATATGGGTACCCGGTTCTACGGATACGATTAATACAAAATGGGTATCATTTTAAAGGCTGAAAATATCTAATAAAACAATATATTTTTTCGAGCTTGAGGTCTTTTTTATTTTTCACGATCAATATTTCGCAATTGTTTTAAATTGCATCTTCAGGATAATCTACAAACAATTTTGAAATTAATGACATTCATTACACAGAATGAAGTGACAAAATCGCTTACAAATAAACTAGTATCAAGTTTACTTAAAACTATGATAGACTTCACTATCGTCGTCGGATGTAAATATTGCACTGAGTTTATTTTAGTTTATTTGTAAGCGATTTTGTCACTTCATTCTGTGTAATTAATGTCATTAATTTCAAAATTGTTTGTAGATTATCCTGAAGATGCAATTTAAAACAATTGCGAAATATTGATCGTGAAAAATAAAAAAGACCTCAAGCTCGAAAAAATATATTGTTTTATTATATAAGAATCAAAAAGGTCGAACAAAACAACACAGAACAAAGCTGAAAATATCTTTTAATTTTGAATGTTGTCTCAAATAGATTAGGATATACATTTCAAGATATAGATTTTGGATCCCGAGTTTTTCTTTTTTTTTTTAACTTCCTAAAAGTCGAACATGGGTCCATTATAGTCCTTCGCCAATCTAAGGATTTTTTGATATTATAATTGGCCCATTCCAGGGGTGCAGGGAGTTAATAACCAAGTACCGGCGGCAATCGTTGGTGAGACCACAAGCCACGTGTCTTCGAGATCAAGCGATTGTGATACGATATGGATGCCTTGGCACCTGCTACAAGCGCATTATGTTTACCCGGCAATTCACACGGAAAACGAGCTAGTCAAGTCTGATGCGAATCAGTTTACGACTGACAGGGTTGTAGTTCGGGTACCCTTACTCTGCTATCCGCGATATTCTAGAGGAACAGAGCAGGGAACTCTTTGACCAAATAGACAGGCTTGTACCGCAAAGAGCAAAGTGTGGATACATTTCCGGAGGAACTGCTGCTAAATCTTGCCCTGACTGATGATGAGAGCTGGACACTACAGTGATTCTGGCCAAGTCTACACAATAGGATTGCTGAGGCATCAACGAAGGAATTGTAGACCCTGTTGACCGACCGAATTAAAAAAAAATCTGATCTGAGTCCGGACTATGGGGTTTCGCGTTTCGCGTTCCCTTCGATATAGGGAGGTCGCCCCCACGGTCGGTTGGGGCGGGTGTGAGTGGCGTGGGACCGAACGAGAAAAAAAAACTAGAGTTAGGCCGAATAAACGTACTTTTACCCCTATATATTTAGGGTATTTAAGGGTACTCCCCAATTCTATTGGCTTATGTGTATGTCCCCCCATTCACTATACCTCTGGTGGAGGGGTTCGGCCCGTCCGAACTTAACGCCTTTTTCACTTGTGTTATGTCCTATATACAGTTTCCTCAAGCAATCTCCTTGCTGACGGAATAACCTATAGGCGTTTGAATATTGATTGATTCCGCCCTCATCAGCTATTGACATATCGATTTGATTTCGTTATATACAGTTTTTCCCTTCAGATTCCATACACAATATATCACCTTCATATTGATTGTGTATTTTTATCTCTGTTTGATGATTTAGAACATTTAGAGGCTATCAAAATTTGTCAGTTGTTCATTAGCAGCAATTAATTATTTAACTTTAACTGGGAAATTATATGTTTTTATGGACCGATATGACTAGAATTCATGGGTTTCTTCAGACTGTCTCATCGTTTATCGTACATTATGGGGCGGCTTCAAATTGATAATTTATTTATTTTTTATATATATATATATATATATATATATATTGTATAATTTTGTTTTTGCCTTGGATTTGTAAGGACTTGAAATCTTTCCTAGAATAAATATTTACAGTTTTTGTTTAGATATATTTATTAATATATCCCTATATACGAAGAAAACAATTCTCGCTAAAAATTTAAAACACAAAAAAAAAAAAGGAAGGAAGGATGGAATTTTGGTTGTCATTCACAATACGCAAAAAATTGGTTATATTGCAATTTGAAATTATTAATTTATGTAATATGCATATGTATACAATTGAATCGAAATAACTCAGTTATAGGAAATTAAAAAAAAACGGTATAATTTCCTTTTGTACACATTAACTGGAAAACTGTGGATTTATATCATAAAAGTAGCCAATATTTATATCTTTACTGTGAAACGATCCTGTTCGAAAGATACGAATATTTTTACTACAACATAAACACCCGATAATCACGTGAATTATCATACCCCTCGTAATATTTTTTACGATTCAAGTCTGGTGAAATTGAAAACAAAACAAAAAAAAGAAAAGTGAATTAAAAAAAAAAAAAAAAAAAAAAAAAACCTTGTGTGGATACTACTCTCTCAATACAAAACTTTGTAAGTTACATTGCTATTTTGTAAAATTTCAATAAATCTCTATCTATCTATTTATCTCCATTACAGATGTCCAACAGATCGTAAACTTAAAGATCACATGAAATCAGTACATGATCCCCAACGATCGGTGATCTGTGATAAATGTGGTAAAACTCTTAAAAGTGGCTATAGCCTTAAGAAGCATCACGAATTAGAACATTCGGATAAACCAAAACCGATACCCATACCACAACAATGTGAAATTTGTGGTGCATGGCTAAGGCATGTGGCGGGTCTAAAACAGCACATGAAAAATATTCACGAATCGGTTGATGCCGAACATCGTTGTCACATTTGTAATAAGGTCTCGTCGACATCGAGGGCCTTGAAACGGCACATCTATCATAATCATGAATGTGCCAAGAAATTCCAGTGCACCATGTGTGAGAAGGCATTCAAAAGGGCTCAGGATTTGAGGGTAAGTGAAGTAGTTGTATTTTTAATTCATGTTTTTAATCTTTTTTATCTCTTTTTTTAGGAACACACTTCTGTACACACCGGCGAGGTATTATATACCTGTCCCAATTGTCCCATGACATTTTGCTCCAATGCCAATATGTATAAACATCGTCAACGTTTACATCGTACCGAATGGGAGGCGGATCGTAGTAAACCCATACCACCCAATATTATGAGACAGGCCAAACAAGGCAGTAAAATAATTAAGGCTCGCAAGGGTGACGATGTGGTGAACTTTGAATGTGATGAAGATAATAAATTATTGGTGCCATTGATGCAGCCAAAATCAAATGTCTCCGTCCCAACACCCGCCACAAGTCAACAGCCACCAACATTTCAAAATCCCTCGTTAAATATATCATATACAATGGCCATGCCTTAAAAGAATTCTTTTCACATTTGCAATATTCGAAATTTCAACTGAATTGCGGAATTGTTGATTGTATATATGTTTACATTATCTTTTCTTCAATTGTTGTTTTTAATATTTATATATTTACGATTATGGTATTTAGAGATTTTTGTCAAAACAACAAAAATCAATGGACTGTTTTTTACTATCTGCTTAAATTCTATTGCAATAAATTTTGAACATAATTTCTCCAAAAAAACACACACAAACATAGATTCTGTGTAAAGTTTTTGCCTCTGTCTGTCCACTTTACCTTTTTTCTGCAATTTTCTCCAAAAAATAAGTAATGATGCAAATTTGAAATTAAAAAATAAACTTAAGGTCACCTAAGGTATGGAGGAAACGTAAGCTAGGTAGTAGTTATTTTTTGTCTATATAAAATGTAGTTTGTAAGCTTAACATTGAATTACAACTCACACATCATAAATATGGCACATATTTATACATAACCGCAAAACAAATGCATAGTTGTTGTTTACATATATCATCATCATCCATATTTAAAAGAAGAGTAAACAAATCTCAATGCCATCAAAACGAAATATATTTAAATGGTTCCAGAGTGGTTTCAAATAAAAGGTAAGTACCAATTCCATATTTTTATATTTATTTGTATTATTAGTATTACTTTATATTTGAAATAATGGACAGTGTGCGCTAGGGGTGACTAGGGGAAATATTTAAACTGCCAAAATATATTTATATGTTATAAAACAACAACGAATTATATATCATGACGTTAGAACAATTTAATTGTTTTATATTGAGAAAACAAAATCGTGATGGATATCGCCAAAAATATTAAAGATATTTAAAAAAAGTATGATTATTTGATGAGAAGAAATATTAGCATTGTTAGAGATTTTATACAAAATCCTACAACCTAAATAATGATATATAAAAGGATACATACCAGTGTGTGTAAAATCCTGCTGAACTCGCGACCAATGGAAATATATATTTTTTTAATATTGGACCTATGTAAATTTCTTCGATAACACGAAAATCAAAGAAAGAAAAATATAGAAATTATGACATCAAAGAAAAAATATTTAAAAATATCATAATCAATATTACAAAGAGTCCATGGGATCCTGAGAAAGTGAAATTGTGATATTTCTTATATATCTTAATGGAAATGTTTTTTTTTTTTTTTAAACTGGGCCTATGTAAATGTTTTCGATGACATCAAAATCAGAGAAATATAGAAATTATGGCATCAAAGTAAATTTTGAAAAATATGGATAATCAATTTTATATTACAAAGAAGACACCAACATCAGAGAAATATAGAATTATGGCATATTTAAAATATAAATAATCAATTTTATATTACCAAGAAGAAGAGTCCATGGGGATACTGAAAAAGTGAAACCGTCATATGTCTACTATATCTTATTTTTTTTTTTTTTCAAATATATATCTTATATGCGCTTACGTTATTAACTGTAAAAATTTGTCTGGAAAACCCATATTTGTGTGGAAATTATATAAGACACATTCGAATTGCTTGCTACACACACCAATCGTATAATCTTCGCCCATAATCGTAAAGAAGTTCCTTTACTAAAACAACAAATTATATATTTTTATTAAAAAAAAAATAAAAAAATAATGATTATATTTATAATAGTGTGGTATAAGAAAATGATATTTGCATACAAAAAAAATTCTCCTAAAATTTTTATTTTATTTTTTTTTGGCCTTGGATTTGTAAGGTCTTAAAATCTTTCGTAGCATAAATAATTGGATTTACAGTTTTTGTTTAGATATATTTTTTAATATACGAAGAAAAAATTGCCCAAAAAAAGAAAGATGGAATTTTGGTTGTCATTCAGAATACGCAAGAAAAATTGGTTATATTGCAATTTGAAATCTTTAATTTATGAATTATGCATATGTATACAATTAAACGGAATATACATTAGAACTTTTTACCGGGTTAACCTACTTCATGAGGATTTATTTGACATATATGTAAAGGAATTGACCATTGAAACCCACTGGGTTAACGAAATCCGGTTAAATTTAAACGTACTATTATATCGAAATAACTCAGTTATAATAAATTATAAAACGGTATAATTTCCTTTTGTACACATTATCTGGAACACTGGATTTATTTCATATAGTAGCCAATATTTATATCTTTACTGTGAAACGAAAGATACGAATATTTTTTACTACAACATTAACACCCAATAATCACGCGATTTATCATCCCCTTCGTACCTTTCTTAAGTTTAAAGTCTGGTGAATGTAAAAAAAAAGAAAAGTGAATTAAAAAAAACTCTTGGTTAAAAAAAAAATACATAAATCGTTGTTATATGAATTGTATCCCAATGGTAGGATATATATGAGTTTATATTGATTGTGAAAATTAAAAAAAAAAAAAAAGAATTCTTGTTAAAAACCTCTGTTTAGTTTTCAAAAGACACATAGGATGAATTCCTCCGACATCCTCGCAGCAATTATACAAACGTAAAGGTAAGTTTCTAAGAAAATATATATAGTCCTATTATATCTAGCTCATTCAATTGAAAATTTTAAACTTTCGATAGTCCACAAAAGAAAATGTTTACCCCCACAAGATGGAGGAACAAACATAGTTTATTATCTAAAGAGATTTGTGAATGAAAAAAATGAAAATCAATGAATTATTAAATACAAATTTTTTTTGCGTACCACTGTGGATACGAAGCACAGTGATACGACCCGGCCAAAAATGATCAAAACCAGGTACCTCGGAGAACATTTTTTTTGATGAGAACTTATAGGAAACACTGCAACTAGAATAAATATAAAATTTTACATCGAAATGTCGAGTAGTTTTGTCTCTACAAAGGTTTAGAACTGATAATTGTTTGCAAACTGTTTTTTACCATATTTTTAAACATCTGTATTTAAAAATATCTGTATTTTCTGATGCTCGAATATTTGAATATTCACATTAACGGTTGCTATAAAAGTGTTTATTGTGGTTGCTGTAGATGTTCGGTGTTGTTTGTATATATGTAGAGATCAAATGTGTGTGAAACAAATTTTGAATTTAGTGGAGTAAAAAAAATTAGTTAGTTGCGGAGGCTTGCGGTTCTAAGAGTTATTTATTTTTTTTTGTGGATAATACTAAATCGTACAATTGAGAAGACCAAAAACAATAGGCTTCTTCATAGGCCAGAACCCATCCTACATGCAAAATATGGCAAAATAAATTACAATATGGCAACAAAAATCTTTTTTCAACCCCCATTTTCGAAAATTTGAATCGGCATCTTGCATTTTTTGCTTCTCGCTATTCATTCCGAATAAGGCGAGAATGTGAAAGCGAACATTTTTTTTCACAAGCGAAATATCTCCATAGCGTATATCCAGAATAAGGCTGAATATATTGGTCACATCGACATTAAATCCGACGACTTCTATGGCCCACCTCAAATCATCAACAAAATCAACTTCAATGGAGTGAAATTTTAACAACCCCTCAACTTTCAAAAAGTTAAAGATTCTTCGACTGATGCTGGTGTGGCTGCCTTGGCACCCTCAGTCTCGAACACTACAAGGTCAGATTTCAATCAACCCTCCCAAAAGTTGACGACCCACGATATCTCTTTGGACCATTCTTTTGCCTCACACCCCGTTACTCTCGACGACGTTAACGAAAGCTTGGAGAGACAGTCGGATCTTCTCCTCAACCTTTTAGAGCAAACCGGCTCCTTCCATCTTCGTCAGGATAGTATCCCTAATCAACCCTAGGACGACTCACCCTTGACTCTAGAACGACTCACCCTTGACATCATAGAAACTACTGTGATTAGCACTACGGTGACGAATACAGCAGCTTTCCTGGTGACACCTCCGAATCAAGGTGAGTCCTCTCAGTTAATGAGTAGGAGTAGAGGATCCTAACAGCTTTCCTGGTGACACCTACGAATCAAGGTGAGTCCTCTCAGTTAATGAGTTCGAGGTAGAGGATCCTAACTCCATCTCCATCAAGTAACGAGCGCGAAGCAGTTGCCTGCGTCAGCTTGGTCAACTTCTGCGGCAGTTTCCACTCCAGGAGCCAAATAGAGAAATGTAGAATAGTTCGACGAAGCCTTAAATTTATAAGGTAAATTAAATAATTGAAAAAAATGAAAAAATTCAGTTTTTTATTGACATAAAGAGGCTAAAGGATAATCAAAAAAAGTTCTTATTTTTGTCTTCATCAAATCTGTATGATTCTGTATACAGTGTGTTTGCTCTATATATTGAATTTTATTTGAGTTCAGTGAAGTGTTGAATTTATTTATTTACATCGAGTGAAAAATATATAGTTTAAATTAAAACAATTGATGACTACAAATTCGGAAAAAGAGTGAAAAGACATCATCCACCATGCTGCCAATAATGGAAATTCTTATGCTAAAAAGGTGGGTATTTTATGAATAGTATAATTTTTATTATTTATAGTTATTTCCATTGTCATTGGAATGATTTCAGTATCATTATTAAAACCATTATTAAGCTTCATATATTGAATAATTAAAAAATACAATTTGAAAATCAAAGGATTCTCATTTTGAATGTCGTAATATTCCATTTGAAATCAGTGACGAGAGGAGTGTTTCTGTGTAGTTTGAAGTCCATCCGGCAGATAGCGCAATATTTAGTTTTTTTTTTATGTTTTTGCACCGTAACTCAAGAACTACCGCACCGATTTAGAACAATTTTTTTTGTACATGTTCTATGGTGTGTGATGAGTGTTTCTGTGTAATTTGTCTGTTTCAAAAATCAGTATTTGATGAATTGAAGTATTAAGTGCACCTTTCGCTCTTCTTCTAAATATAAATCTGCCATGACTTTGAAAACGGAACCAGACTTGCAGTGAAAAATAAATTTGAAGGCAAAGCAATGTTTGCCCGGGTCAGCTAGTTTGCTATAAAATACAATTCTGAAACTCAATAGATAGATATCATAACATATATATTACAACTTAAATTTATAATCTATTTCTCGTTAAATTTACCGATTTTATACAAAAGAAATTTTAATTGCTTAAAAATTGGGGATATATATTAAAAAACATGATAATTTATTTAAAAAACATGATAATAATAAGCCGTTAAATCCTTATTTAGAAGTTGTAGCAGCCCTATTGTTTTTACACAATGAGGCTAAGGTGACAGACCTTGGCAGAGTAAGACTCTGGTCGTTTCGGATCGTATTCAGTTTTTCTATAGAAAAGTTCGTTTGAGATGACTTTCACACCATTGAAAATCCTTCTTTTTCTATGGAAATGAATTTGTTATTCGGAAATGACACTTTTCATTGAAAGTTCATCATCAAAATACGTTATAATGTCTTTTTACAAATTGCTATTCTGGCCAACATTTTTATGACTGCAGCTCTCATTCTTCAGTGTGCTTTTAAAGTGATAAGTGAATGTTAGATAATAATTATATGTGCAGATAAAAAACTGAAGTTAAAAATATACATTTGTTAAATGGTGGAGTCTGCAGAGTTGCATAAAGATTGGCCACAATATTATTTATAAATTTTATACAATTATGACATTTTTGTCAGTTTTCCATTATATTTTGCTGTTTAAAAAATCTGTGATAGATTTAACTGTGATATAAACAACCCAATCCCACAACAAAGCCACTTAGGGTAAGAGAGTATAATTTTGAAAACAACAACAACAAAATTACTATTCTCAACAATAAAATATATTAAATACAATTTCTTTTCTGTTTGCCCCTCTTCCCCCATTTTTTTAATTTTTCAACAAAACGTCATTCATCATCATCGCCCCGCGTCATTAGATGGCCATCAAATGCAAAATTACAAAAACACATGACCAGTCATGATATATCGAAACAAAAGATATGCGATCAATGCGGCAAAACGTTCCGTTGCAATACCAGTATGCGTAAACATGTCGAGGCCGAGCATTCGGAAATCAAGCCAGAACCCCAACAGTGTACCATCTGTAATACATGGTATCGAAATTTATCCGGTTTGAGAACGCATCAGAAATTCATGCACGAACATGTGGGTGGAGAGAATCGTTGTCACATTTGCAATAAAGTTTCGTCGAATTATCGAGCCTTGCGCCGGCACATCTATTTAAATCATGAATGTGAAAGGAAATACAAGTGTCATATGTGTGAGAAGGCCTTCAAACGGGAACAAGATTTGAGAGTGAGTTGCAATTCCAAAAAACAAAAAAATTAAAGAAAAGAAAAAATTTTATTGTAGTATTGATGTTTGTTACAGGAACACATATCGGTACATACCGGCGAAGCTTTATACACCTGTCCAAATTGTCCGATGACATTCTCCTCCAGTGCCAATATGTACAAACATCGCCAGCGTCTGCACAAGGCAGAATATGCCGCCCACAAGCAACAGCCATTGGCGGTTAATATTATAAAGCAAGCTAAATCTATGCCCAATACTATACGCACCAAACGGCGTATGCCGCCAACCACAACAACAACAGTGCCATCATCAGAAATTCAAAATTCCAATAATACAGACATGAGGACAGATTCTGTTAATGCGGCGGCAACTACTGCTTCTGCTGTATCAGCGGCAGCATCACCAATTGTTGTACCACCACCACCACCTACATCACTCAATTCTGCGGCGGCTTTTGTTAACAATCATCTAATAACTCCACATTTTTTGGTGGGAACACATTTTCCCACAAAAATGTCGGAATAATTATGTGGAAGGAAATTCTGTTTTTTTTTTCGATATATATTTCTTTATGAGAATTAATTTAACCGCTCTGTTGATGTCGGTTCCAGAGACTTAAATTTTTCCTTTATGCTATCGAAATAAATAGTAAAAAGTAGTAGGTAGATTCCTACAGTACGGAAACAGATAATTTATGTATGTCATTCATGCTTTTTGCTCTTAAAGAGTTTTTCAATAGTAAAGCGGTTTTCCACAGAAGAGATCGGAATCAGATATAAATTTTTTCATTTTACATTTTTTTCCAGATGATGATATTGATATTTTTAAGTTAGAATACAAATAGTTTTTAAGATGACTTATATTTTTTATTATCTATATATATAAAAGAGCTTAGTGTTAAGTGAGTGAGTGAGTGAGTGAGTGAGTGACTGACAGATCATCGCCCAGACGAAACGGCTAAAGCTAGAAGCTTGAAATTTTGAGTGTGGGTTGGTGTTGGTGTGTAGGCGTGAGATAAGGCTGGGTTTTTGGAAATTCGAACTAGAAGGGTACGAAAAGTACTAAAATGTACCAAAAATGGTACCCTTTGTATTAGGCGAACGGGAAGAGCTAGAATTCTGAAATTTGGCATGTGGGTCACTGATGGAAAGTTAGAAAGATGTACAAAAGGGTTTTTGGAAATTCGTACTAGAACGGTACGAAAAGTACTAAAAAGTACTAAATGTGATACCATTTGTATTTGGCGAACCGGTAGAGCTAGAATTCTGAAATTTGGATTGGTGGTCGCTGAGTGTAGGATAAATGTACCAACGGGTTTTTGGAAATTTGAACTAGAAGGGTACGACAAGTACTAAAATGTACTTAATTCTGTACAATTTCGTAGCATGTGAATTGATAGAGCTAAAAACTTGAAATTTGGAATGCGAATTAGGGATGAGATGTAGAGTCTATTTAGGAGATGGTTTTGAAAGCGTGTACTCATGTGTACGAAAAGTACTATATGTTACTATATTTGGTACAAATTTAATTTGGAGATACAAATCGAGCTGCAATCCTGAAATTTGAAATTAACATTACCGTCGGAGTGTAGGATTGGGAATGTACGTAGTTTTGGAATTTTTTTAACCAGTTTCAGTAATTTATATTCATGGGTACTAAATGGTACTAAATTTGGTACAATTTGAATTTTATGCGAACCAATAGAGCTAGAATCATGAAATTTGGAGTCAGGATAACTGTTGGGGTGTAAGATCGAGCTATGTAGGAAGTTTTAAAAATTTTTACTAATGTGTACTAAATTTGGTACAATTTGAATTGTGGGCGGGGTGGGTACTACTGTGTTCTAAATTTGGTACAATTTGAATTGTGAGTGAAACGATAGAGTTGGAATCCTGAAACTTTGAGTTAGGATCACTGTGGGGGTGTAGGATTGGGGTATGTAGGAAGTTTTGGAAATTGGTACTACTATGTACTAAATTTTGTACAATTTGAATTGAGAGTGAACCGACAGAGTTGGAATCCTGAAACTTGGATATAGGATCACTGTGGGTAGTTTTGGAATTTTTTTAACCAGTTTCAGTAATTTATATTCATGGGTACTAAATGGTACTAAATTTGGTACAATTTGAATTTTATGCGAATCAATAGAGCTAGAATCATGAAATTTGGAGTCAGGATAACTTTTGGGGTGTAAGATCGAGCTATGTAGGAAGTTTTAAAAATGTTTACTAATGTGTACTAAATTTGGTACAATTTGAATTGTGGGCGGGGTGGGTACTACTGTGTACTAAATTTGGTACAATTTGAATTGTGAGTGAACCGATAGAGTTGGAATCCTGAAACTTTGAGTTAGGATCACTGTGGGGGTGTAGGATTGGGGTATGTAGGAAGTTTTGGAAATTGGTACTACTATGTACTAAATTTTGTACAATTTGAATTGAGAGTGAACCGACAGAGTTGGAATCCTGAAACTTGGATTCAGGATTACTGTGAGGGTGATTGGGGTCTGTAGGAAGTTTTAGAAATTCGTACTACAGCGTACTAAATTTGGTACAAATTGAATTGTGAGTAAACCTATAGAGTTGTAATCCTGAAACTTGGATTTAGGGTCACTGTAGCGTTGTAGGGTCAGGGTAAGTTGGAGGTTTTGGAAATTCGTACTACTGTGTACTAAATCTGGTACAATTTGAATTGTGAGTGAACCGATAGAGTTGTAATCCTGAAACTTGGATTTAGGGTCACTGTGGGGTTGTAGGGTTAGGGTAAGTTGAAGGTTTTGGAAATTCATACTACTGTGTACTAAATTTGGTACAATTTGGATTGTGAGTGAACCTATAGCGTTGGAATTCTGAAACTTAGAATTAGGATCACTGTGGAGTGTAGGTTTGCGTTATGTAGGAAGTTTTGGAAATTCGTACTACAGTGTACTAAATTTAGAACAAATTGAATTGTGGATGAACAGATAGAGTTGGAATTCTGAAAGTTGGATTTAGGATAATTGTGGGGGTGTGGGTTTAGTAAGAAGTATTGGAAATTCGTACTACTGTGTACTAAATTTGGTACATTTAAATTTGAATTTGGAATCATTATGGGGGTGTAGGATCGGGGTATGCAGAAAGTTTTGTTGGAAGTAGAAGGGTACGAAAAGTCCAAAAAGGTGCTAAATATGGTACCCTTTTTATTAGCGAAAGAGAAGAGCTAGAATTCTGAAATTTGGAATGTTGGTCACTGATATTGAACATATATAGCTGGAATCTTGACATTTTAAATGAAATACAAGTTGGGAAGTGGTGTTGATGTACGGAAATGGTTTAAGACATTCGTACTTATGTGTATAAAAAGTGTAAAATGGTACTAAATTCCGTACTATTTACCTTCAGTTGAGTGTGTAGAGATGGAATCTTGATAATCGGAATTAGCTTTAAAAAATCGTACTTATTTGTACAAGTACTAAATGGTACTAAATTTGGTGGAAGTTTGATTTAGGTGAACATATAGAGCTGAAGTCTTCTAATTGGGAATTAAAATGACTGAGGTAGATTATGAAATTCGCACTTATTGGTACGAAAGATATATATTATACTAAATTTAGTTGCTTGAAAGGATAGAACTGAAAACCTGAAATTTGGAATTAAGATTTCTGTTGAAGATTGAGCTATAGAGACATCTCTGGAAACTCGTATTTATGTGTACGAAAAGTACTAAACGGCACTAGATGGATTTGGGTGAACGGAGAGAGCTGGAAACCCATAATTTGGACTAATGGTTGATGTTTGAATATAGAATTGAGATATGGAAGCATATTACCTATGTGTACTAAGTAGTACTATATTTGGTACAACTTGATTACGTGTGAACGGATAGAGCTGGACTCCCGAATTTTTTAATTAAAATTACTGTTGGAGTGTAGGATTGACATAGTTAAGGAAAGTTTTAATTATAGAAACAAAAAGTACTAAATGGTACCGAAAAGCTTACAAATATGTGAACGGATAGGGCTGTATTCTGAAATTTTGAATTAATATTACAGTTTGAGTGCAGAATTGAGATATGTCGGTAATTTTTTAAAATTCGTCATTATGTGTACTAAATGGTAAAAAAATTTGGTACAATTTTGATTCGATTTAACGGACAGAGATAGGAAACGTAAATTTGGAATTAAAATTACAAGATTAAGGAAGTATTGGAATTTCGTACTTATGGATACGAGAAGACCTAATTGGTACTAAATATGGTACAATTCGTTTTGTGTGGGCGGGAATCCTAATATTTGGACTTAAAAATAAGGTTGGAGTGTAGGATGAGGTAGTTTTAAAAATACGTAATTATCTGTACTAAATGGTGCTAAGTTTAGTACAATTTAGATTTGAGTGAAAGGATAGAGATGGATGGATTTAAAAATAAAATTACTTTTATAGCAAAGGATTGAGATAGTGTTGGAAATTCGAACTCCTGAGTACGAAAAGTACTAAATATGGTACAATTTGGATCTATGTATTTGGATCTATTGGATGTTGGTTGGACGAATAGAGCTGGAATCTTTAAATGTGGACCTAAGGTTATAATTGGAGTGCATGACTGAGGTATTTTTGGAAATTTGTACTTTGGGTGCGACAACCAAAAAATTTGGTTAATTTGGACTTTAGTGAACGGGTAGAACTCGAATCCTGAATGTTGCAACTTAGGTTACTCTGGGAGTGTAGGAAAAGTACAGAATGGTACCAAATATGGAACAGTTTAGTGAACAGATAGAGCTGAAATTCTTGAATTTGGACTTACGATTGAAAGCAGGTTTGTAATATTGAGATTGGTTTGGTATATGGGTACGAAAAGTGCGGAATGGTTTCACACAGAGCTGGAATTCTTAAATTTGGACTATTTGAAAGAAGGGTTGAGGTACATTTGGAAATTTGTACTTATGAGTACGAAATCAATAAATTTGGAACAGTTTGGACTTTGGTGGAAGTAAGATTACTTTTAGAGTGTAGGATTGATGTTATGTTGATGTGATGTTACTGTTGAAGTGTAATATTGAGCTATGGAGACAACTTTGGAAACTCGAATATACATAAATTCCAATAGTTAATAGAATAGACAATTCACTAAATTTGGAATAATTTGAATTTCGGTAACGGAGAGAGCTGGAAACCTAAAATTAAGAATGTTGGTCATTGACAGAGAGTTAGAAAGAAGGACCAAAGGGTTTTTGGTACTAAATTTAGTGGAGGTGACGGTATAGAGGTAGTCTTGAAAATATATAATTATGTGTTCGAAAAGTTCTAAATGGAATTACATGTGGAACCTGTACATTTTTTCTAAAGTGTGGATTTCGGAAAATAGTACTTATGTGTATGAAGAGTACTTAATGGTAATAAACTAGATATTAAATGTAGGAATAGAGGTGGAATTCAGAACTATAGTACAACTAATTATACGGTATTCACGATTTCCATATGAAATATTTTTTTCATTCCCTTTCCGCATACGAAGTAGCGGGTACTTTGCTAGTTAATTTATATTGACTTTCAAGTAAAATTTTGGTTTGATACCATCACAAATTATTTCCAACAAATCTACTGATTACAAATCTACTTATGTCCAAGGTACTTTAATTATAATAGCAATAAAACAAAATTGAATTAAAATTTAATTTGTTTCTAAAATATAAAAAGAGGTGGGATAGAGAGGGCAGTTCTAGGGAGATTCATTGAATATTATATTTTTCCCTATAGAGAAACATTAGCTGTTAGATGTAGAACAAAACATTATCGATACAATAACGAACATTCATACGAATTATTTCAAATCCTAGCCTTGGGGCTATTCTTTAAACTCAACACCTTTGGCTGGACCCAAAGCATTCTAAGATGCATTTGGCCGGACCTTTAGAACATATTTTTTAAAAATCCTGTCCAGGAGACGATGGTTCCTTGCCGGACTTTCCCTTCATCCTATTTTGACCACTAGTGGATCCACCCAAAACTTTAACTTCACCTTTGTCGCTAGGCGTAGAATCGGGCTTTAAGACAGAGTCCTCCACACGTTGATCACCCTTATGGGTGACATTTTGCTTCGGGATGTTCTTAGTAGCCTTTTCCTGTGTCTTTCCACTAGGGTTCGGCTTCGAGCTGGGCTTCAGACTAGGACTCGGCTTAGCACCTTTCTCAGAGACAGTGGGCTTCGGCGATTCTACCACTTTTGTGCGAGCAGTAGGATTCGGGAGGGAGATCCTGTCCATCGCTAGTTCACGATGGAGAGAGTGCGGATAGATTCTTTCGAACTTCCTTACGCATCTCCTCTTACCCTTGATTAGTTGTACCTCCCTCTCCGAAATCAAATTCGCGTCTCGCCCCACGAATTTGCGGACATACGAAACAGCACGTTTGTAATGTTTCGCATCAGCTACTTCTTGGGCCTTCCCAACCTTTGAGCCGCTGTCCGTTGCTGGGGTCTCGACAGATTCCTCATCGTCGGACATCGCCTCTGTCGCAGATTGCCTCTGAAGTTTATTGTCGGCAAGTGCCGACACAGGACCTGTTGTAGTCAGACTCGTTAATACTACAGCAATTTCCCTGTGTAGACTTGCCTGGGATCACCGTGGTGTCCAGCTCATCATCAGTTAGGGTAAGATTCAGTAGCAGTTCCTCCTATTATAGCGTATCCTCACATTGCAATTCCGCTATCAGTCTGTCTAACAGGTCGAAGAGTTCCTTACTTTGCTCCTGTAGGCTATCGCGGATAGCGTTTTTTTTTTAAATAGCTGGATTTTAAAATATTTACATTTTTTTATCGAAGTTTAAATTAAAAATAAATCAAAGATCCATGACTTTGAAAATTTGTTTATTTTTTAATCAAGTTCTATAAAATGATATTAAAAAATATATTTTTTAAAGAACACATTTACCAGAAATTATCCTTCATCTTGAAAAAAATATTTTTTTTAATAAACGCTTTCCTTGGCTGAATCTTTAATCCACACAAATAATAGGATTTAAAAGAAACCCACGGCTTTGGTTTGGAATTATAACAACTATGCTAAGTTTTTGAAAATATTTTCAAAACTTATATGTTTTTCGTTTGGTACTTAAATCTCTTTAAGAAGAAAATACGTTTTCAATTTTAAAAAAAAGCTACTGGATGAAATATCCATTAAATATTTTTCAATACGCAAAACCTAGTTGTGAACCCCATATATACGTTCTGTGACATTTTTTGATAGTGATTGAGATTGTTGATGTTTCCAAGAAAAAAATTAATCCACTTTATGCATTAAAACTTCATTAATTGGCAATGTCCTTGTGTAATTGTGTTTTCTTAAGAAAATATCCCAAAAGAGAGGAAGAGAAAGATAGAGCCACTTAGGGTAAGGCATTTTGTTTTTTTCTTAAATCCAATACAATATTAGTTAGATCAATTCCATTCATCAATCACCACCACCACCCACCTGTTTCTTCTTTATTTCTTTTAGATTCCCTTCGTTAGCCAAACAAAAAGAGCACATGAACACACATGATCCCGCAAAGTGTCATATCTGCCCTAAATGTGGCAAGTCCTTTAAGAGCATGTACAACATGAGAAAGCATGAAGATTCCGAACATGCTGACGTTAAGCCAGAACCACAACAATGTCTTATCTGCAATACATGGTATCGCAATATTGATGGCCTTAAGACCCATCAAAAGAATATGCACGTTGATGAGGGTGCCGAACATCGATGTCACATCTGTAACAAGACCTCAACAACAAATCGTGCTCTTAAACGTCACATATACTTAAATCACATATGTGAGAAGAAGTTCAAGTGTACCATGTGCGAAAAGGCATTTAAACGGAAACAGGATTTGAAAGTGAGTTGTTGTTGTTAAGCTTAGGAAATATTGTTTAGGAGTAGTTTGTCAATTTTAAAATTCACTATTAATTTTTATATAGGAACACATATCGGTGCACACTGGTGAAGCCCTCTACACTTGCCCCAGTTGTCCAATGACATTTTCGTCCAGTGCCAATATGTATAAACATCGTCAGCGTTTACACAAGGCTGAATATGCCGCTTGCAAGTCTCAGGCAATGCCTCCGAATATTATTAAAGCAGCTAAGTCTCTGCCCAATACATTGCGCACGAAACGGCGATTTATGCCCTCGGAATCGAAGCAACAGTTTCTATTAACACCGCCAGCGGTAGCCCCACCACCACCACTTCCATCAGCATTAAATTCACAATCTCAATCGCTGTCACAGCCAGGGGGCGGCGGCGGCAGCAGCGGTCCCCCGTTACAATTACAAATTCCACCACCCATTATTACATCTTCACATTCACAATCGCAATCACATTCACAACCCCATTCGCCAATGTCATCGGAATCATCAACAATGACCGCAAGAAATACATTTTTAAATCCTCCTTTATTGCCAATAAAATTTGAAGGTGGTTACAACCAGGGTTATCAGCAGTAGTCCTGAAAGGAAAACAAAAAAAAAAAAAGCGTTGCAAATGTATTCAGAGAGAGAGATAGAATTGTATTAAGGCATATACGATAATAAAGTAACAAATAAGCTTATACAAAAAAGGAAAGAAATGAATTTTGGTTTGATTTTGTTTGGCGGTTGGTTTTATGGAGTGGATCAATAAGTCCCATTAAACTGTGCTTAAATATACATATGTATATATATATATATTTATAAATGTACACCGTTGGCGGGTCCTTAAAAATTATTTTTAAAAAATCAACGCCTTTTGCTGGATATTGAACAATTTATTTTAAAAAAGAAAGCAGTTTTAAAAATCCACGCTTTTTTTCGAATCGCGGCAAATATTTCTTGTTTTAAATCTACGTCTTTGGCTGGATCTTGAAAAATATATTTTTTTCAATTCAATATTTTTAAATCCTCGCCTTTGGCTGAATTATGAAAAATATATTTTTTTAATTAAATATTTTTGATTGAAAAAATTGAAAATTGTCATTGAAAAAATATTTTTTGAACGCCACGCCATTGCCAGGGCTTGAAAAAAATTGAAAAAAATTTTTAATCCACGCCATTGCCAGGGCTTTTAAAAAACCACGCCTTAGGCTGGACATAAACAAAATATTTACTGTGCTTTAAAAAATATATATTTTTTAAATTAGCGCCTTCGTCTGGACCCTAAACAATTTCACTGAAGAAAATTTGGTTTGAATCGGATGCTCTGTTCGCATGATATTATAAAATGGATTTTCAGCATCATTTTGACAATTTTGTGTGGCTGGTACCAGAAGGTGTGGATCGATTTTCCCCATCTTCGAACTTGATTTGAGCTTCAATATTCAAATCGGACATATCATTTGCCTAATATTGTATTTATAACTATTGAAAATGTTGACCCTTTGTGTGGGAGGTAGGAGTAAATAGGTCCCATCTTCGGACATGATCTAGGGTTGATGGAGATAATAGGATTTGCAAAGGGTTTGGTTCAACTCAGATAATCCGTTCGCATGATATTCAAAGATTTATTTCAGCAAAATGTTGACCATTTTTAGGGGTTCCAGAAGGAGGGGACCCATAACTTGAACTAAATTTGGAAGAAATATTACGATGTGCAAAGTTCGGATGAAATCGGATACTCCCTCCGAGAGTTATCGTTTCGGTCAGGTAGACAGACGGCGGACGTCTCCACATTGTCTGAAACGGATTTGGTCCAAAAAAACATGGGGTCTCAAAGCAATATTACGATAAGCGAAATTTTTGTCGTATCAATGTGTATAAAAATATATTACAAGGGCAGTTCGGAAAGTTCTTAGCCTAGCACAGAAAGGGCGCTATAAAAAGAAAAAAGTTTGGTGTTTTGGAAACTTCTATCTCTGTTATGAATACACGTTATATTTTGTTTCGATTTGTAATTCCTTCATATAAAAACAGGTGTTCAAATAAGACGCATTCGCAATGGAAAAATTCGAGCTTTCATTGTAAGAAAAAATTGCCGATGCGTCTTTTTTGAACATCCATTTTTATGTAAAGGAGTTGCAAGATCGAAAAAAATTTAACGTGTGTTCATAGTTGATATAGGTGTTTCTAAAACACCTAACTTTTTTCTGTTTATACCGCGCTTTCTGTGCTAGACTAAGACTTTCTGAACAGATAAGACTTCCTTCGTTCGTATATAGACTTCTCGTAAAATTCCCCTCACATAATCTCCAGTGCCACTTAGGGTAAACACCACAGATAGGAGAAGCAAAATATTTGTTCTCCAAACAGATCAGATCCACTCACCATTTGGATTCTTCTCCCTCTTCTTATCTACTTTTAGATTTCCACTAAAGTCCAAATTACGACTTCATATGAAAATTCATGGTGGTGGCGTAACACGACAAGTTTGCGATAAATGTGGCAAAACATTTCAAAGTAAATACAATCTGAGTAAACACATTGAAAACGAACATATACGAGTTGCAGCAGAACCACTGCAATGTTTGATCTGTAATACATGGTATCGTAATCCCGATGGCCTAAAGGCCCATCAGAAAAATATGCATTCGAATACGGACACAGAACATCGTTGTCACATTTGTCATAAAGTTTCAACGACACATCGTGCCCTGCTGAGGCACATTAATTTCAATCATGTACGGGAGCGTAAATTTAAGTGTACGATGTGTGAGAAGGCATTTAAACGTAGTCAGGATTTGAAGGTGAGTTTTTTTCATTGAGAGGAAAGAAAAATTCATTAAAAGGATTTTCATTTTGTTAAATTTTGTATCAGGAACACATTTCGGTGCATACAGGCCAGCCATTATATACCTGTCCCAAATGTCCCATGACCTTTGCCTCCAGTGCCAATATGTATAAACATTTACAACGTTCGCACAAGGATGAATATGAGGCCCAAAGAAAACAAAAGAAACCGCCAAATTTCATAGAACAAGCTAAGGCAGGAACTGGCCTGTTAATGGGTGGTGAAAAATCCACGACAAAGAAGCAGCTGCAGCAGCATAGACGTTTAGATAAAGAAGAAGTGACTGCAACCTCAGCGGTATCATCAACTGTTTCAAATGATTTACCTCCCGCCGCCACTATTATTCAAACCGATGCTATGCAAATTAATTGGACTCAATAGTTTATTGTAATTTCTAAGATTTTTTTGGATTAAAGTTGTAGGATTATTTTTTGGATAAAAAAATAATCCGTGGTTGTTATTTATTTGTAAAAATAACACGGTATACAGTTTGTAATAAACTCTATTGTAAATATTGAAATGACTTTAAAAGTTTTGAATGTTTTGCAATTTATTCTGTAGAATTCACGACTTCATTGCTAAATTTGTAATATTTTATTCAATATTTGGAATAATTTTAGAAATTATGTATAGAGAATATTTTATTAATCAGCCCAATCATGAATACCAAATCCGTAAGGAATTTTTCTCTTTTTAATCCTCAACGAATAAATTAGGTATAATAAACTTTTTCAAACTTCGCCTTCTTACGGAAGTTGGTAAAAACTGTTTTTTTTTTTTCGAAGTGATTTTGATAAAAACTTTTTAAAATCAACTCTTTTTACTAGATTTTGTAGCAAAAATGCTATTAGAAATTGAAAAATAATAAAAATTGCTTAACATTAATTTCTCGTTGCAATTCATGCGCTCAATTTTTTTTTTGTCCGATCAAGGCCAGGATGAATAAAATATATAATATACGTAAACCGGTTTTTATACCCTTCACCACACTGTGGTACAGGGTATTATGTCTTTGTGCATATGTTTGTAACAGGCAAAAGGAAACGAGAAACGAGATTTAAGGTAAATGGTGCGCCAAACTTCCTAAATATCTTTTGAGTTGCACGAAATTTGACATAGCGCACTAAATTAGGTCTAAAATGATGTGTGCTAAGTTTCGTGAAAATCGGTTAAGATTTAAATATAGCTCCTATGTATATTTTCGTCCGATTTAAGGTAAATGGTGCCCCAAAGTCCTTATATAACTTTCGTTCAATTTCATGTCAATGTTCTTTCGAAAAGGCGACGTCTGTTGGGAGACTATATAGAATATACCCGAATAGGCGAAGGCCAGCATATAGTCGGTCCAGTCCGACTTTACTACTTTCTTTACTGGTTTATTTTGTAAAAAACTTTTAGAACATCATATATTTTTAAATAATTATATATTTTTAATTGTTCTCTTTTGTATTTTATTCTAACTCCTTTTGGATATTCATGATTGGACTGTGAATATAATTGGTGTTATTATCCATGTGTAAACTCATTCTTGACATACTGTAGGAATTTTTAATCTCTATACAGACGGATTGGTCCTTCAAAAGTCCAGTGGTCTCTATACAGATCAATTGCCATGTCTAAAGACCAGTGGTCTCTATACAAACCAATTGGTCTTCACTAAAGACTTGTGTTCTCTATAAGAACAATTGTCCTTTCTAAAGGCCTGTGGACTCCGTACACATCAATTGTCCTTTCTAAAGACCTGTGGACTCCGTACAGACCAATTGGCCTTTCTAAAGACTTATGGACTCTATACAGAGAAATGGTCATTCTAACAAACAAATGGTCTCTATACAGACCAATTGTCCTTTCTAAAGGCAAGTGGTCTCTGTAGAGACCAATTGGGTTTGCATTGGAAAAATATTCGTTATTTTCTTAATTGATGCTAAATGTAAGAACCGGTTTATTGGTTCATCGGTAGTAAGACACGTCGGAATCTCAGTGTCCAATGTGAAATCAAGAAAAATATGGTGTTTATTTTTAAAGTGTTGGTCCTTAGAGTTCATTGATTGATTTTTTTAATACTGTTTCCTCTGTTTCTGGTGACCAAAAAGTGGTAACATATATGTTTTGGATAACATTTTTGTATATTATTATTTGGAAAAATTTGTCTTATATATTGGGGAACTTTAGTTATAGAACAACATCTAAGCTATTTTTCTATTTTATTCTGCTAATGAAAGCCTTGCCGTGAATACCACTTGCGCATCAACCCAACTCTTGGCCACAAAGGAATTTGTCGTTAATTTTTTTAAGAAGATTTCCTTGAAATTGTTCACATAATATTAACTCCCACTTGATGGTAGGGAATGCCACATCTAAATGTCCGCAACTTTCAATATTGTACACTCAGTTGCTAATACCATATTTTTTTTATAGACCAACAACACAGGTCCGTTTCGGTCATTACATATGATGAATAATTGATTGCATTTCCAAAAAAAGAAAACTTCACATTTTTTTTTTGCTTTATATCTATATATCTGCATTTTTTAGATTCCCCATTAGCCGAAAACTTGAGTCACACATGCTAACGCACAGTGAAGTCTATAATTCAATATGTGATATTTGTGGCAATAAATTCAAAACAAAATACACTCTCAAAAAACACATACAATACTATCATACGGATGCGGTACGCACCGACAAAGAACCGCAACAGTGTAAAATATGTTTCAAATGGCTGCGCGGCATGAAAGGCGTCAAGGCGCACATGAAAAATATCCACGAAGATCCGGGCGGTGAACATCGTTGTAAAATATGCAATCATTTATCGACAACGGCCAAGGGTTTGCGGGTGCATGAGGTATTCCGGCATGAGCGGGAACGTAAACACAAGTGTTATTTGTGCGATAAGGCATTTAAGCGTCCGCTGGATTTGAGGGTAAGTTGTGGCGGCAGAGCTGCAATGTATCGATATAATTGAAATGGATTTTTCTATATTTTCTATTTATCATTTAAGGAACACATTGCCACCCATACTGGGGAATCTTTGTACAAATGTGCCGAATGTCATGCCACCTTTAAATCAAATTCAAATTATTATCATCACATACGACGTTTCCACAAAGAAAAACCGAAAAAAGATTTAATGATTAAAATCGAAGAAATTCAACAAAAATGAGTTAATCTTTGGGTTAATATTATTATTTTTTTTAATGTAATAATTTATTAACTATTAAGAATACTTGGGGATATGTTTTTTTTGTATAATGTCGTCATGTAGTAGTCCCGTAAATTGTAATGTCCATATAAGAAGTCTGCAACAATTAAAGTCTAAATGAAAAAAATATGCCATTTAAAAAACAAAAACTTTAACTTTGTTTTCTTTGTATTAATTATGAATATATTGTATCCTTGTTTATTTTATTTATTTCCAAAAAATTAAGGTTATATAAAATTTAATTATTCCATTTGTAAAACTTTGGAATATTCGTTTTGAGACCACATCTACATTTCGGGAGGTACGCCTCAGAATTGAGATCGTAATAACATAGTTATTTTGAAAATTGAATTGAATTGAAATTATGGCTATTGAGCCAACAAACGGATAGTTGAACAAAATTGTGAATGATGACAGGATACATTAGTGAGCAGCTTAGATTATTTGTCTTATCTGTGAAGTGTGCTTTCTTTACATACCAATTTGTCTTTCAAAGTGGTCTATATACAAACCAATTGACCTTTCCAAAGACGAGTGGTCTCTATACAGACCAATTGGTCTTTACAAAGATGAGTGGTCTCCATACAAACCAATTGCTTTTTATAAAGACCAGTGGTCTCCATGCAGACCAATTGGTCTCCATAAGGACTTGTGGTCTCCATACGGACCAATTGGTCTTTATAAAGACCTGTTGTCTCCATACAGACCAATTGGTCTTCAAAAAGACCTGTGGTCTCCATACAGAACAATTGGTATTTGTAAAGACCTGTGGCCTCCATACAGACCAATTGGTCTTTATAAAGACCTGTGGACTCCATACAGACCAATTGGTTTTTATAAAAACCTGTGGACTCCATACAGACCAATTGGACTTTATAAAGACCTGTGATCTCTGTACAGACCAATGGTCCTTTCTAAAGACCTGCTGTTCCTATTCAGAGCAATTGTTCTTTCTGAAGACTTGTGGTTTCTGTACATACCAATTGGCCTTTCTAAAGACCTGTGGACAGACCGATTGACCTTTCTAAATACAATTGGTCCTTTTTTAAGGTCCTGCTGTACCTATACAGATCAATTGCCCTTTACTAAAGACCTGATGTATGTTCCCAATTGGTAAGACCAATTGTCTTTATATTGCTTCCTATATAGACAAATTGATCTTTACGAAAAAAAACCAGCGTTCTCTATAAAGACCTTTGTTGATGGTGAAACCCTCTACGTGGTCTTCTCAAAGAAATTATGGGGAGATGACAGCATCCCTCCGTCTGGTGTATATCTCTTTGGGCAACGACCTTCCTGACCAAATTCTCTGGTATTTTTGTGTTTGCATTCTATTTATTTTTCATTTTATGAATATTTTGATTTGTTTGTATATCCAAACGATGCAGTTTCGAACATTGAACAGATTTTGATTCCATCAACAGAATTGATTTGAAGACCAATTCTACCTAGTCTAATTTTTCGTGTAAATATTGTGCAATTTTTTTAAATTTAATCCTTAGTAAATATTCAGGCCATTCCCAATTTGAAGAAAAAAAAATGAAAATATATCAAATTCATTGTTTCTCCTCAAACCCTAAACTTCAACTTTCTTCCTATTTCCAAAAATCTAAAATTGTAAAAAAAAAACTTCAACACAAATCTTCAATATTTGTATATGTATGTATAAACGATTTTCTTTTAGATTTCCAACATCCGAACGTCTTAATCGACATTCAAAATTACACAATCCGGAGAAACTTTTCGTCTGTGATCAATGCGGTAAAACATTCCCCGATTTAAGCCGTTTAAAATTGCACAATCGACACGAACATTTCAATGAGCCGCGTCCCGAGAGAGTACCACAGCAGTGTGTCTACTGTGGCAAATGGTATTCGTCGGCCTCGTCGATATACAAACATTTGCGGAATATTCACAGCAACAATGATGTTGAACATCGCTGTCACATTTGTGGCTTTGTTTCGACCACTGCGACCGCGCTGAAGAAACACATACAGTTCAATCATGAAATGATACGTAAATACAAGTGCAGTGTTTGTGAGAAGGCCTTTAAAAGGCCGCAGGATTTAAAGGTATGGATAGTAAACTTAGAGGAGGTTTTGTTAGTTGCTCACTTTTCATCTTTTTTGTTTTTTCTCTCTCCATATGTTCCAATTTATCATAGGAACATATGGCCACTCATACAGGTGAAGCATTATATTCCTGTGCCACCTGCGGTACCACATTCAAATCCAAGGCAAATATGTTTCATCATCGTAAACGTTTTCATAAATCTGAATGGGCCTTGGATTGTACAAAAACAACCTCTACCGCTAAGATAATAAAAATAAAAATTCCTGATTTAGAGACAGCGTCATCAGAGCCGCCGCCGCCAGTGCCACCACAATCACAATTATCAACAACAACACCAATACAACAATTGTCAACGCCATCATCATCATCAGAGTTATCTACACCATTAACACAAACACAAACCATACAGCAACCGCAATTTTAAAAAGGGAGGAATTAATATTGAACAGGTCGAGGAAATTATTAAGAAACATACAAATAATAAAGAAATAAATAAATAAAATATAAATGATAATTGTTTAATTATTGGGGAAAACTTACCTATAGCCATGGTCAATAAAAAGTAAATGTTAAATAATTTACCGCATATATATCTAAATCTGAACCGATTCCAACAAAGCTTGACATACATCATTCAGGACCTAATTTAGTACTCTGTGCAAAATTTTGTCTCAATCAGATCAATATTGGAAGATGGTGCACTATATCTAAATCTATTTTTATTAATTTCAATAGGGCCAAATAAATGATCTGTGCCAACGTTCATACAATTCGGATCGTAAATGCGACCTGTAATTTGCTCACAAAAATACAAGGACGGACATGCATAAATCGACTCAGAAAGTGATTCTATGTATATTCTTAAGAGGAACCATCCCCAAAGTCATAATTCCCTGAAGGGTATACAAATGTCAGACGGAATTACTATTCGCTTTATAGAATGTCTATGTTTTTTTTTCAAAGAGTTGAATATCTTTGGAGAGATTGCCCTATAGACCCCCATCTTAGAATTTAAAATAGGCTTGGAAACATATTGCGATTTACAAAATTGGATCAAACAGGTTTCATATTCAAGCTTAATCTAAATAAAAATATATATATATTACAAGTTCGAATGAATTTGGATATTTCGTTCGCTTCATAGAGAGATTTACAAGTTTTGAAAATTTTGACCCTTTGTGGGGAAGGTATTAGAGTAAGTGTATCGATATTCCCCATTTTCGAACTTAAACTAAGTTTGGAAGAAATGAGGGTATGCAAAAATATAAAATGATTTTGAGACCATAATTCCTTCCATTCGAATACGAAGCGATTAAAATAATTTGGCCTGTATACTCAAATAGGTACTGTACACATTTTACAATCAAATATAAATCAGTCTTATTCTGGACATCAATTCACCGTGAATTTGTTCAATCTTCCCTTTAAAGTTTTTCTCAACCTGAACTCGTTGCGAATTTTTTGTTTTCGCATTTTCACTTTCCCCGGAATCAAGTTCGAAAGGGGAAAAATCCGCTTTGGGGAAAAATGTGTTATTCTAGATTACAGGGAGAAGTGGGAGAATGTGATGAAATTTTGTGCGAAATTTTTCGCTAATAAATTTAACGAGGAGCTGACTACAAAAATTTAAGTATTAAATAGTTTCATTGAAAAATATCTACACAATTCTTATTCTATGACGATTTTGAATATAATAAATGATTGTATGCATATTTTAAACTCAAAAACAAACAAAATTTCATTAGAAATCCTATTGATATTGTCACGGAATGTATAAAGGCAATAAGGAATATTTATGCCAAGTTTGGTGCAATTTGAAGAAAAAGAATAAGGCGAGAACGTGAAAGCGAAACATTTTTCACAAGCGAGATCTCTCCCTAGCGAATATCCAGAATAAGGCTGCATAAATAGAAAAGCCCATATTCTGAAAAAATAGATTTTTTTTCGATTTTCTTTATTATATACGCCATCAGGTATTAGCATATGTAATTCAAAAAATAAACTAACTGAGTATTAAATATAAGATCTATAACATTTTGTTGCCTGTGGCCAAGGGTTAAAAAATTTATAGCCCTATACATTTTATAGAATATCTATAGAAAATAGTAATAGGCACCTAAGGCATTTATATTTAAATCTGAGTTCTATAGAATTTGCAGTAATTTTCATTATTTTTTCTAATAGATTTTATAGACATTTTTATAGTCCTCTAAGGTATTGATATAGTATAGTTTTTCTTTTATAGGTCTATTAGAATTGTTTCGGTGATCCAAGTACATTTTCATAAAATTGTCGAGACCTCAGAGTAGTTTTATAGACAATTTCTTCACAATTCTATAGGCCTCCATACCGCGACTTTATTCTATAATCCACTACAATGCGCCCTGGGCCAAAAAAAGCATTTCGTTAAGAACATCTCCATACAAAAACTTTCAAAACTTATTCGCCACATTTCCTTCTTCTTTCTTCAGACAAAATTAAAGAAAAATTCTCTATTTTTTTATTTTGTTGTATTTTAATTTTTTTTTCAATCTCTCTCTCCCTCTGACTACCACAATGAAATTATGTCTGTTATATACTTTTACTTTGTGTATTATTTCCAAAAAAAACACCATTTTCTTATAGATATCCCACATCGAAACGTTTGAGTTCCCACATGCATATACACAATCCGGAAAATCACGCCATCTGTGAACAGTGCGGCAAATCGTTTCCAAGCAAAAATCGTTTAAAATATCACATGCGTTTCGAACATTTAAATGAAATGCGACCGAAAAAAATTCCCGAACAATGTGGCTATTGTGACAAATGGTATGCCAGTAAATGTTCGCTGTACGAACATATCAAAAATATGCACACCGATACGGGAGCGGAACATCGTTGTCAGGTGTGTGGTTTTGTTTCGACCACCTCTAAAGCCCTCAAGAAGCACATACTGTTCAATCATGATGCATCGGTACGCAAACACAAATGCAATTTATGTGACAAAGCCTTTAAACGGCCGCTAGATATAAAGGTATGAAAGAATTTTTGTGGTATTTTTTTATATAGATCAGACATAATTTTGATTCAAATGTTTTGCAGGAACACATGGCCACGCATACAGGTGAACCACTGTACACTTGTGTCAATTGTGGCACCACATTTAAGTCCAAGGCAAATATGTTTCATCATCGTAGACGTTTCCACAGGGCTGAGTGGGCAGCCGATCGCACAAAACCACCAAAAGAGAAATATTCACGAAATTAGAGAGCGCTTTTGTGTTTTATTTTATTAACAGAAGAAATTTGTTTTAAGTAAATGAGAATTATTTGTTTAGGTTCAAAATCACACTGAAATAAAGCTCATCGATCGTGGTGGCAAACAATTTCAACTTTGTTTCGTTTTCTTGTTGCTGTGCTCTGTTAGGTTTTCTTTTCATTTTTCGATTTCTTCCTATTACTGGGTTTTGAGAATTTTTGTTTGTTTTGTTTTCTTTTCATAAATTTTCAGATATCCCTCCGAAAAAAGTCTAAATATACATCGGGAATTGCACAATCCCACAGATACAGCCGTTTGTGAGCAATGCGGTAAACTTTTACTTACCCGAAATGCCCTGGCCATGCACATGAAGGCGGTGCATATGCCCAAGGCGCCAAGAACTAAACAACAGTGTAAATACTGCCAAGCTTGGTTAGCCTCCAAGTCGGGACTGCGTACACATATCTTGAATATGCATGTCCATGCCGATGTGGAGCATCGCTGTGATATTTGTGGTTTTGTTTCGTCTTCTCGTGAGGCGAAAAAACGGCACATCCAATTCAAACATAATCCCGAAAAAAGGCACAAGTGTTCGGTGTGTGATAAATCGTTTAAGGTGGCCATACTTTTGAGAGTAAGTCTCACAAAATAAAAGTTTATTTTTTAATTTTTCATTTCTGATTTTCTTTCTTCTTTTTTTCCATAAGGAACACATGGCCACCCATACCGGTGTTGATCTGTACAAATGTTTGTATTGTGATGCCACATTTAAATCGAAGTCGAATCGTTCGACCCATTCGAAACGTGTACATCCCATAGAATATGAAAATGCCATAATAAGGCGTCCCAAACCGTGTAGTATAACTAATTTTGAAACAACATCGTAAAGGGAGAGGTTTTATGGTGTTGTATTCAGTTTTTTTTTGTTTGTTTTAGGATAAATTATTTGTCAAAAGTGTTAGATTTGTATTAAATGAAGACAAATATATTTTAAGTAATATTAATAAATAGAACATTTTTAATTATTTTCTAAAAAAGTAATATCCGCCTACTCCGTATTAATGTTAAATGTATGCCAAATATATATAATAAATATATTCTATTTACACCTGTACTATAGCTATAAAAAATATTGGAAATTCTATAGAACTGAGATTTAAATATAAAAGCCTTAGATGTCTATTATTATTATTTTCTATAGATATTCTATAAAATTTAAAGGGCTATCATTTTTGTTTAACTCTTTGTGGTTCAATGTTGCGCACAGACAACAAAATATTATAGAGCTTATATTTAATACTCAGCTAGTAAATATATATTTTTTTGTATTACATATGTTAATACTTGATGACATATATAAAAAGGAAATAGAAAAAATTCTATTTTTTCAGAATATGGGCTTTTCTGTATATTCAGCCGCTTTATTCTAGATATTCGCTAGGGAGAGATCTCGCTTGTGAAAAATGTTTCGCTTTCACATTCTCGCCCTATTCTTCTTCAAATTGCATGAAACATGGTTTAAATGTTCCTTATTACCTTTATATATTCCGTGGCAATATTTGGTTGAGCATGCATCGATATAAATAGGATTTCTAATGAAATTTTATTTGTTTATTTAGTAAAAAATATGCATACAACCATTTATAATATTCAAAATCGCCATAGAATAAGTATTTTGTAGATATTTTTCAATGAAAATATTTAATACCTATATTTTTGTAGTCAGCTCCCTTTAAATTTATTAGCGAAAAATTTCGCACAAAATTTCATTACGTTCTCTTACTCCCTGTAATCCAAAGCGGATTTTTTCCCTTTCGAACTTGATTAAGGGGAAAGTGAGAATGCGAAGCGAGTTCTGGTTGAGAATAACTTTAAAGGGAAGAGCGAACAAATTTACGGTGAATTGATGTCCAGAACAAGGCTGATGTATATTTGATTGTAAAATGTGTACAGTACCTATTTGAGTATACAGTCCATATTATGTTAATGGCTTTGTATTCGAATGGAATGAATTGTGGTCTCAAAATCATTTAATATTTGTATACCCTCATTTCTTCCAAACAGTTTAGTTTCAATTCGAAGAAAGGGTCAAAATTTTCAAAACTTGAAAACCTCATATGAAGTGAACCAAATATCCAATTTCATCTAAACTTGTAATATATTTGTTTTTATTTAGTTCAAGCTTGAATATGGAACCTGTTTGATTCAACTTTGTAAATCGCAATATTTTCCCAAACCTATATTAAATTCTGAGATGGGCAACCTCATCTGCAACCTCTCCAAAGATAATCAACTCTTTGAAAAAAAAAATAGACATACAGAGTAAAACCAGTGTCTAGTAATTCCGTATACATCTGTCGGCAACACCGACTAACATTTGTATATCCTTCAGGATATTATGTCTTTCTTCATATGTTTGTGACAGACAAAAGGAATCGAGATAGACCCATGGTTCCTTTTAAGAATATACCGACCGTCCATATATTTTTGTGAGCAAAGTACAGGTCACATTTATGATCCGATTTGGATGAAATTTGGCATAGGTCACTTATTTGACCCAAGGACGAACCCTATTGAAATCGCAGAAAATCGGTTCAGATTTAGATATAGCTCCCATATATAATTTCGTCCGATTTAAGGTAAATGGTGCACCAAAGTCCATATATATTTTTCGGTTTGTACAAAATTTGGCATAGCGCACTAAGCTAAGTCTAGAATGATGTGTGTTAAGTTTCGTGGGTATCGGTTCAGATATAGATATAGCTCCCATATATATTTTCATCCGATTTAATGTACATAGTGCGCCAAAGTCCCTAAATATCTTTCGATTTGCACGAAATTTGGTATAGCGTACTGAATTGAGTCTATAATCATGTGTGTTAAGTTTCGTGAAAATTGGTTCATATTTAGATATATCTCTCATACATATTTTCGTCCGATTTAATGTAAATGGTGTACCAAACCCACTATATATCTTACGATTTGCACGAAATTTGGCATAGCGTACAGAATTAAGTCTGGAATGATGTGTGTTAAGTTTTGTGAAAATCGGTTCAGATTTAGATATAGCTCCCGTATATATATTGAAGGGTATCATATAGTCGGCCCAGTTCGAATTTACTACTTTCCTTACAGGTTTTCATTTAAAAAATCTATTGGTTTCAAATAGGCTCTTCTAATCAAGTTCAAATAAAATATAAATATGCAATGCTTTCAATATATTTCTGCTCCACTTCACGGAAGAGATTTTCTCTCAAAAAAGAAGTTATTGAATATCGTTTTCGTCAAACACTCCAAATCAATAAAAACAAAAAAATATATATCAATGTCTTTTTGATTTTTTCTTCATCAACTTTTTCCATCTACTACAATTGTATTCTTGATGAGTTTTCTGAAATTACCATTACACCATATACGTATATATATATATATTTCAGATTCTCATGTGAAAAATTATTAGCTAAACATCAAAAAGATCATCCGGCCAAAGAGTTCATTTGTGAAACATGTGGCAAAGTTACACCCACACTGGCCGTACTCAAACGGCATGTACGGAAGGTACATGATCCGAAAGTACCAGCCCAATGCACCTATTGCGGTAAATGGTATGTAACGCGTTCGCTAATGTTACGGCATGTCCTGAACATGCATACGACAGCCGATAGTGAACATCGCTGTGATATTTGTGGTTTTGTATCATCGACACGTTCGGCCACAAGACAGCACAAACGTTTCAAACACAATCCCGAAAAGAGACATAAATGTACGATGTGTGAGAAGGCATTTAAAACGCCGACGCTACTGAAAGTAAGTCCCTACTTTTTAGATTTTTTTTAAATTTCCTAATAATATTTGAAATTTTGCCTTCTTGCAGGAGCATTTGGCCACACACACCGGCATCGATTTATACAAGTGTGCCTATTGTGAGGCTACATTTAAATCCAAGTCAAATCGTTCAACACATTATAGACGCCACCATCCGGTTGAATATAATGCCAATATGATACGTAGACCAAAGCCAACAGCTATACCAAAACATGACCTGCAAGCTCCAGCAACAAATACGGCAGATATGATGACATCCAGCTCCAATTATGATACAACATCTATGCAACCTCCACCCACAAATATGACCGATCAAACATCGTCTGGACTGGTGTAAAAAAATTTTTGAGTTAGTTTTATTTTGTAAAATGAAAATAGGCTTTCTTGCAGGAAAATTGAGAAAATTGTAAGAAAACACAAATTTTTAAAATTATATGGAAAAAATGTATTTAATAAAATTATGGATTTCAAACAAATACATACGTAAAGAAGTATATATTTTTAAGACAATTTTTTTTAATGAAATCTTTGAAATTTTTATTGCATAAATATATGTAATACATATGTATATGTAAATAAAACTACTATTGAATAGACAAATATAAAAAAATTGAAAAATGTGAATGAAATTTTTCAGATATATTAACATTTTTATAAAAATATATAGATACCGTATATTTGTTAATGACATATTTTTTTAATTATATCCTTAACCACACTGTGGTACAGGGTATTATGTCTTTTTGCATATGTTTGTAACAGTCAAAACGAAACGAGATAGGCCCATGGTTCATTTTGACAGTATGCCTAAAATCGCTTTCTATGTAATAGAGGATAATTGATAGAACAACTGGGATTTTAGACAATTTTTTTTAATGAAATCTGAATCGATTTATGCATGTCCGTGCGTCCGTCTATTGATGTTAAATTGTAAACAAAGTAGAGGTCGATTCGATTTGGATGAAATTTGACACAGCTCATCTATTTGGCCAAAGGACGAACCCTATTGATATTGGGAAAAATCGGTTCAGATTTAGATATAGCTCCCATATATAATTTCGTCCAATTGAAGGGAAATGGTGCATCAAAATCTCTACATATCTTTCGATATGTACGAAATTTGGTATAGGATACTAAATTAAGTCTAGAATGATGTTTCTTGAAAATCGGTTCAGATTTAGATATAGATCCCATATATATTTTCGTCCGATTTAAGGTGAATGGTGCGCCAAAGTCCATAAATATCTTTCGATTTGCACGAAATTTGGCATTGGGTACTGAATTAGGCCTAGAATAACGTACGTAAAGTTTCGTGAAAATCGGTAAATGGTGCGCCAAAGTCCCTAAATATCTTTCGATTTGCACGAAATTTGGCACAGCATATTGAATTGAGTCTAGAATTATGTGTGCCAAGTTTCGTGAAAACCGGTTCATATTAAGATATAGCTCCCATATATATTTTCGCCAGATTTAATATATCTCTCGTTAAATTTCATGTTAATGTTCTTTCGAAAAGGCGACTTCTGTTAGGAGACTATGTAGAATATACCCAAAGTGGTGAAGGGTATCATATCCGGCCCAGTCCGACTTTACAACTTTCCTTACTGGTTCTATTTTGCAAATGGGAATATTGATGCTGATGTCTATCTAAATAAATCGTTTTCTTCAAACACTCCATACTTTCAAATATAGATCCGAACTTCTCGGTAGTGATATTTCCAAGTACAATTGGGAATGCTCACATCTCTTTTTACAACGAATTTTCTATATACGTTATAGAAGTGTTCGTTCAGCAGTTCGTTTCCGCTATCGGTTTATTTTTGCTTTCACCTGCCAGTCTAATTTGCGTTAATTCTCTACGAAAATTTCAGATTCTCATGTGAAAATGAATTCGCTGAACATCAAAAAGAACATTCTGACGTTGCGAAAAAAGAATTCATTTGTGAAATATGCGGTCGTATTTTGCCAAAACGTAAAGCCCTGTCGATGCACCTGTACAAAGTGCACCGTGAGAAAGTACCAGAACAATGCAAATATTGTGGCAAATGGTATGTGACACGTCAGAATTTGTCGACTCACATCTACAATATGCACACAGCGGCAGATGCTGAACATCGTTGTGATATTTGTGGCGCCAGTGCATCATCGCCATCGGCCCTCTATCAGCATAAACGTTTCAAACACGATCCACAAAGAAAACACAAATGTGCTGCATGTGGCAGGGCATATAAAACCAGAAATCAATTGGAAGTAAGTTGTCGATTTGAGTTTGACAGAGAGAGAGATAATAATTATCGTCTTGCTTGCAGGAACATTTATCAACACATACCGGCATCGATTTATACAAGTGTGCATATTGTGAATCGACATTTAAATTTCAAGCGAATCGTAGTATGCATTATAGGCGTATGCATCCCGAAGAATATGCCAAAATGAAACAAAGATCAAAGCCCACACCGATAACAGACTATGAGCGAATTGCAGATATTACCGAAATGCTCGATGAGTCTGCTAATGATTTAGATGGCTCTGCTAGTGATTTGAACAATTTAGAAGTAATAATACTATCCCCGGAAGATTTTCAACAAACAATAGATCTGACGTAGGGGGGATATATTTAACAAAAAAGGAATATTTTAAATCCTGCTTTAAATATACTTAACTGTTTTGAAAAATGTTAAAGAGGATTTGTTTTTTTTTTTCAAAGAATTATAAGGGTTAGGATATTTTTTTCATACGAAATACCATTTTCGCATATTTTAAAGCTTCTAAGGCATTGATGCTTCTAAGGTAGCAGCTATTGCTCGCAATGTTTCAATGTCATTAGCCTGTACTGTTACTTGCCTAGCCATTATCTTTGCATCCCGTATAATGTTAAGCCTCCCTGATAGATTGCCACCTTGTCTGAATCCTTGTTTGATATTGAAGAACCTTTACGACTTAAACTTCCTTATCAATTATTGTCGATGTGCTTTTCGGGTATCTTTTCCAGAACTCGGCGTATTTGGGATATTTGGTCTATGGTGGATTTGCCAATCGGATTTCGCATCTGTATGGTTCAATGATATCATTGGCCATTGGCTTCAGTCATTGGCCCATAATAATTGCGAAATGTCAGCAGGTTACCATATGCCAAATTTCGTGTAAATAGTTAGAAATATAGGCGCTTTAGTGCGCCATTTACATAAAATCGGACGAAAAAATTAATATAAGAGCTATATTCAAATCTGAACCGATTTTCACGAAACATAGCACACATCATTCTAAACTCAATTCAGTATGCAGTGCCAAATTTAGTGCAAGTCGAATGGTATGTAGGGACTTTGGTGCACCATTTACATCAAATAGGACGAAAATACAAATGGGGACTATATCTAAATCTGAACCGATTTTCACGATACTTAACACATAATTCTAGACTTAATTCAGATGCTATGCCAAATTTCGTCTAAATCAAAAGATATATAGGGGCTTTAGTGCACCATTTACATTAAATAGATCTAATTTAATACGATATATCAAATTCAATTCAAATCGAAACATATATGGTGACTTTGGTGCACCATTTACATAAAATCGAACGAAAATATATATGGGAGCTATATCTGAATCTAAGCCGATTTTCACCAATTTCAATAGGGTTCGTCCTTGGGCCAAATAAATGAGCTGTACCAAATTTCTTCCAAATCGGATGATAAATGCGACCTGTACTTTGTTCACAATTTAACATCAACAGACGGACGAGCATGCATAAATCGACTCAGAAAGTGATTCTATGTGGACGGACATGCATAAATCGACTCAGCAAGTGATTCTATGCATATTCTCAAAAGGAACCATGTTTCTATCTCGTTCCCTTTTGCCTCTTACAAACATATGCACAAAGTCATAATACCCTGTACCACAGTGTGGTGAAAGTAATAACAAATGTATCACATTCGTAAATTGTATATCAAAAAGGGCCCACAAGGTGCTAGAAGGCTCATTGGTGATTCCATATTTACATATGAATATATTTTTAATTTTATCATGATCTGAGTATTCATTCCGCGAGAAAATTATTTTTTCCCTGAGTATCCAATTCCTTTCGGATATTCATGATTGGGCTGTGAATATAATTGGTATTATTATCTATTCTTGACAGACTGTAGAAATTGGTGTTCAATGTAAGAACGCGGCTCACTTCGCCGGTAGTAAGACACTTCGGAATCAGTGGCCAATGTGAAATCAATAAAAATATGGACTTATACTTACCGGGCTTTTCAAATGTTCGCAGCTGTTCAACTAATCAGCTGTTCAACTAATCAGCTGTTCAACTAATCAGCTGTTCAACCAATCAGCTGTTCAACTAATCAGCTGTTCAACCAATCAGCTTTCCTTACACGAGAGAGCAAACTAAAAAAATTACTGAGTATTTCATTTGAAACATCTTATAAAATATCAGCTGATATTATTGGATAGTCTTTATTGGATAAAATTTCCAAATAAGAATTTGAAAATACTCAGTAATACAACTGTCAAATTTTCTCTCTCAAATCGCTCTCTTTTGCTAAACTTTTGCAAACAAAAAAATAATATTCCAAATTTTCAAATGTTCGCAGCTTTTAAACTAATCAGCTGTTTACTTGATAATTAAGCATGGATTTTTAGAATTTGCAAATATGTTAGGGATTTTCTTGGGATGCATTATAGAGTCTTTGAATTTTAGAATGGCATGTACCTGTGAAGATATTTAATACTTTTTTCATTGTCAAAAAAACACTCCAAACTTCTATTTCTAATATCACACTGTCATCATTATCGTTCTTCACAAAATTGATTTCCCCCTCTCTTCTCCACATTGTCCTAATTAACACATTTCAGATTCACAAATGAAGAACTACTAATAAAACATCAAAGATCACTACATACCAAGGAGTACATTTGTGAAACATGTGGCAAAGTATTTTCGGCCCAGGCCATACTTCGACGGCATGTACGTAAGGTACATGAACCGAAAATACCGGCCCAGTGTATGTATTGCCAGAAATGGTATGTTTCACGGCCGCACATGCTAATGCATGTCATAAATATGCATACAACAGCGGGTGCTGAACATCGTTGTGATATTTGTGGCCATAAATCCTCAACACGTTCCGCCCTAGATCAGCATAAACGTTTCAAACACGACCCTGAAAAGCGACATGTATGTGCGATGTGTGATAAGGCATTTAAAACACCGACTCAATTGAAAGTAAGTGAGACAAAAAAGTAGTAGCTTCAAATTTCCGCAATAAAAATTAATAATTTCAATATTACAGCAACACACTGCAACCCATACCGGTATTGATTTGTATCAGTGTGCCTTTTGTCCGACTACTTTTAAATACAATTCAAATCGTTTTACACACTATAAGCGAATGCATCCTTTGGAATATTCTAAAATGGAAAAGCGGCCAAAACCTACTGCTATTGAAGAATATCATATAGAAGTGCTTGAAGATTTTGATGAAGATGACATTTCTCAGCTGTGATTTTATGATATTAACTATTCCTAATATACTTATTCTAAAAAAAAGAAAAAAAATTAGGTATGTTCGTTTACATTTTCCGTTTAATCAGTAAGAATTTTTTGAGATTAAAACAAGGGAAAGAGAGAAAGAAAAGAGAAAATGGCAAAAAGTAAACGAACAACATCAGCTGTTCACGTGATCAGCTGTTTACCTGATCAGCTGTTAAACTTATCAGCTTTTTAACATAAGAGAGGAAACTAAAAAAATTACTGATTATTTCATTTGATACAACTTATAAAAATTCAGCTGATGTTATTGGAAAAATGTCCCAGAAAGATTTTGCAAATACTCACTAATACAACTGTCAAATTTTCTCTCTCAATTCGCTTTTTTTACTAAACTTTTGCAAAAAAAGTTTATTCAGAGTTTTAAACTTTTCGCATCTGTTCAAATAATCAGCTGGTCACCTAATCAGCTGTTAAACATATCAGCTGTTCACCTGATAATTAAGCATCTATTTTTTAGAATTTGCAATTTTTCTCTCTCAATTCGCTCTTTTTTACTGGGATTTTGCCAACGAACGAACGAAAAATATTAAGTAATAATATTGTGTAAACGAACATACCTATTGTTAAAGTGATGTGAAATTATAAAATAGAAGATAACTTTTTGAAATATGTACATTCTTGGAGTAATATTAAATTAAAATTAAAGTTGTAAGCTGTTTTGTTTTGTGTTTTAGTAGAAAGTGGAAATTTGCCTTGATTTAAATTACACATTTTTTTTGATTGTGTGTGAGAGAGTTGACGGGCTGTCTCAGCTCTCTCAAAACATTTTTTTTAATATACTCTCTTTTTTCGGGAGTTTTAGGGAAATTAAAAAAAATTGAAACTAATATACCTATTAATAATCCATTTTTATTAAGAATTCGTGAACTCTACGTAACACAACTCTAAAGAAAAAATTTACCTCTTAACACGTTCTTCTCCAATGGACTTTTGTAAATTTAAATTTAGCTAATCAACTGTTCACTTGATCAGCTGTTTACCTGATCGGCTGTTAACCAGATCAGCTGTTCACCTGATCAGCTATTTACCTGATCAGCTGTTCACCTGATAATCGTACATGACAGAGCAAAGTATTTTGGGTTCCAAGGCGAAGCAATTATTTAATTTGTACTCATTCGTAATCGGAACATTTCCAATTTTCGTCTCTAAATATATTTTAAGTTGCACACACTCTTTCTATACCTTCCATTTTTTTACTTAAGCATATTCTGAAATTCGTTCGTTCTATTTGTTGGTATTTTCACAAATTCACACACATGTACAATTTCAGATATGCCTGTGAAGCGTATTTGGCTAGGCATCTTAAATATCATTATCCCGATAAAGAATTTATATGTGAAATATGTGGTGCGGTCAAACCGACATTAGATACCCTGAAGAAGCATGAGAAAAAGGTACACGCCCCCAAGGTGGCGGCACAGTGTAAATATTGTCAAAAATGGTATGCGACCAGGGCCCATATGCTAAGGCATGTCCTCAATATGCACACAACCGCTGATAATGAACATCGTTGTGAAATTTGTGGTTTTGTATCGACAACTCGAACGGCATTGAGGCAGCATAAACGCTTTAAACACAATCCCGAAAAGAAACACAAATGTACGATGTGTGAGAAGGCATTTAAGACGCCGACTCTTTTGAAAGTAAGTCGAAAGGAAGTTTTAAAAGAAATTTTCATAATTGTTTAAACGATTTTTTCCAATGACATCTTTCAGGAGCATTTGGCCACACACACCGGCATCGATTTATATAGCTGTGCCTATTGTGAGGCCTCGTTCAAATCGAAATCGAATCGTTATACCCATTATAGGCGTCACCATCCGGCTGAATATAATCCCACTATTGTAAGACGTGATTTACCAAAAGCCATATCAAGTTATCAAACCACGACTACCGATTTAAATACGCCTCAGCAAATTGTTTCATGCCAGTCGTTGAATCAAGAAGGAAATGTTTGAAAATATGTTTCCAAAGTATATAATAATATAGTATTATGATTATTTTTTAATTTAATAGTAATAAAAAATTAGTTATTTTATTTTAAATAAAATATAAATTAAGAAGTTTTTTTAAAAAACAACTTATGTACCATTCAGAAAATTTTATTTAAAATACATCTTATTTTGTTTATGAAAATATAACTTCTATTCCCCAAACCTTACAATTGTTTTGGACGATCATATGATATTTGATTACTAAGTAATTTTTGATTATTTGTACAATTTGTCAACTCAGAATGTAAAATATATAATAATGAATATATAAAAAAATGTATTATCTTAAGGTTTAAAATTAAATAACTATTTTACAAACAAAAAAATATATATTTGAGTTTTCGACTGTACGACGCAGCTGTACAACTGATCAGCTGTTAAACTAATCAGCTGTTTAACAGAACATCTGTTCAGCTAATCAGCTTTTAAACTAATCAGCTGTTCTTACATAAGAGAGCAAACTCAGGAAAAGTTATTAATATAATCTGAGAATAGCTCTGTCTGTTAACTCGATATTTGGTAACAATTGTTACCAAATGTTACTAAATGTTGTCTGTTTACACAAAAATCCAGTAAAAGACAGTCAGTGAGAGGGCAAGTTTGACAGTTGAACAACAACAAAGTTGCTGGAGTTTACAGAAAGAATTTTATTCAGTAAGATTTTGCAACTCAGCCATTTTCTGATCAGCTGTTTTCTGACCAAACACAAAAATTATTTAAAACATTTTTTTTTAATTTGCAAAGTTCAATTTGCAGTTAATTACAGAAAAATGGAAGAAAATTCGTAAGTAATGCAAAGTTTCATTAAATTAGAAACTAATTCCTTACATATTTTTATGCAAGTTCCAGATAGAGGGCAATGTATTGATGCAGGGAACTTAAATGTTCCCGGGGAACATACCAGATCAATTTTTCTTTTATCATTCATTTTATTTTTAATATTAAATGTAATACAAATAATTGTGTTCGTCCTTTGTTTGTTGTTTATTTTGGCGCAAACAAATGTTTTCTTGAATCAGCAGTTTATTTGCTAAATCTTATTAATGTTGTCTGTTTACTTTTTCAGTATTATCGCAAAAGAGAGTAAGAAAGGCTTACTCTCTGAACTAGAACTTAATGAATAAATGTTACTGGAAAAGTAACCAGACACACCTATTTTTAAAGTATTTTGAAAAGATAATCAGGGTAATAATCTTGAATTTTAAAAGTATATTTTTTAAAAGATAATCAAGCCAATAATAGTAGATTCTTAATATATAAGACCGTGAAAGATTTTATGGCGAGGATTTTTAAGGAATATTTTTGAAAATCACTCAATAAGAATGAATTTTTAAATAAAATTGTTGTGGCAAAATTAGTAGATTTTAATTAAAATTTTCGAAGGGACCATCATCAGGCCAGTAAAAGTGGATTTTAACGAAAAATTTTCCATTCTTTAAATGATATTCCTCATTTTTACAAAAAGCATCCAACATTGTGATTTCTAAAAAAAACAATCCTTTAATTCTTACCAAAATGCAACAACAACCAAATCCGCTTCAACTCTCTTATTCATTGCCATTGCAGATTTTCATGTAAAATGTCTCTAACGAATCATATTAAAATTCACATACCCTCAAAGGGTATTATCTGTGATATCTGCGGAACGGTAACGGCATCCATCAATTCGCTGCAGCATCACAAGAAAAAAGTTCACGAACCGAAAATTCCACGACAATGTGAACATTGTGGCAAATGGTATTCCAGCCGTTGGTCAATGCAACGTCATGTCGTCAATATGCATGTACATGCCGATGAAGATCATACCTGTGAAATATGTGGTTTTGTATCCTCAACGCGTGAGGCCAAAAAGAAACACATACAATATCGCCATAATCCGGAAAAGCGACATAAATGTGCCATGTGCGGAAAAGCCTTTAAAACGCCAACTCTATTGAAAGTAAGTGAGAGTATTTCAGATTTTGAGAATTATCATTTAATAATGTATTGATATCTATCTGGCTTCTCTTGCAGGAGCACATGGCAACACATACCGGTATTGATTTGTATCAGTGTTTATTTTGTGCGGCAACATTTAAATCACAATCGAATCGTTCGACCCATTATAAACGACATCACCCTACAGAATATATACCGAATATGACAAGACGTACCCGACCAACGGCTATTGTTAAAGATAATAATCCTGGCAGTTATATACAAAATTTTGATTTAAATCAAATATCCTCCGTGAATGAGAGCAAAAATACAAATTTAATGGAACATTTTGAAGGGAATCCATCGGAAATCACTCATACAGAAATTATGTAGAAATGAATGAGGTTATAATGAAATCTATGCAAATTTTTTTGCCACTAGTCTTGCAATTTTATGTAATTACTTTAGTTTTAGATATTGTTTGTTTAATAAAAAAACAATTAATTTTAAAGTTGGCTCTTTAAATTTTAAATATTAATAGGCTATTCTTAAAAAGTATGTCTTTGAAAAATTATGTTAAAAACCCAATGGCGGTCCTTTAAAATATAACTTGAGGCTTATGGCTCTGATAATCTTTAAAAATCCAAGTCTATTGGCCTGATGGTCTTTAAAAAATTATTCTTTAAAAATTCACGCCTATTGTCCTGATGGCCTAATGATCTTTTAAAAAAATATTCTTTAAAAAATATTTCTTCTTAGGAGAATTTTTAGATTTTTTTATTATTTTTTTTGTTTAGTTTTGGTATTCTTTATTTCAATATGCATTACATTTTCAGATATGCAACGAAAATTCTATTGCACAGCCATATACGCTATCACAGCCCCTCGAATTTGGTTGTCTGTGATATTTGTGGCAAAACTATGCGTAGCCGTGATACACTGAAAAAACATAAAAATTCAGTGCACAATAAAAAACCAAAAGTTCCCGAACAATGTAGCTATTGTGGCAAATGGTATTCGACACGATCAACATTACAATTACATGTTCTCAATATGCATATACATACGGATAAAGAACATCGTTGTGAGATATGTGGATTTGTGTCGACGACACGTGAGGCCAAAAAGAAACATATTCGTTTTAAGCATAGAGCGGAAAAGCGCCACAAATGCGGTCTGTGTGATAAGGCTTTTAAGGTTCCAACACTGTTGAGAGTAAGTAGAGATTTTTTTATTTTCTATTCGACTATTAATTTCATGTCCGTCAATTTTCCAGGAACATATGGCGACTCATACTGGTGTGGATTTGTATAAATGTGATTATTGCACTGCCACTTTTAAATCCAAATCAAATCGTATAAATCATTGTAAACGTCATCATCCCTTGGAGTATAACAGTTCGGCGAAATCACAACGTCGCTCAGGACCACACGAAAAACTTAACTCAAACCTTAAACTACTTGAAGAAAATCTCCATGATGATGAGGAGGATTTGGAGGGTGTTATTGTTTATGAATTGGAAGAAAACGACAATGTTGAATAAAAAAACAACAAATGTGTTTTAAAAATGAAATTTATTAAAATGAATTAGCATGTAAAAGAAACTTATTTTGATTATTTTAAGACTTCCAAATGAAATTCTGTAATTATAGATAAATGTGATGCCATTTGAAAAAATAAAATGAATAATTTAATATGAAATGTGGGTTGATATCATTAATTAATAGTTATATTAAATTATGCGTCAATTTTATGGATTTAAAAAAATTAGTGGCTTATTGCATAAAAGAACTTATAAGAACATCCTCCAATTTAAGAATTGGCTTATTGTATATAAATCAAAACTTTATTTAGTAGAGAACGTATTCTCTTACTCAATCTCTTTGTAAACTTGACAAGAATTAAAGACAATTTATGGCCAGGTATATCCCTCTAAATATTCTGTGTATAACTTGACTATTTGTGTTTCTTTTTTTTTGTTTCTTTCTGTTCATTATTTTGTATTTCACACTTCGTTACAATTTTTAGATATCCTAGTAAAAAACGTTTGGCCCGTCATATGAATTATCATAATCCGGCCAAAGAAGTCATCTGTGATATTTGTGGCAAAATATTGCGTACGCTCGGCACCTTACACAAACATAAACAAGTTGTACACGAAAAGAAAGTGAAAAAAGATCCCGAACAGTGTACATATTGTGGCAAATGGTATGCGACACATTCGACTCTACAATTTCATGTCCTCAATATGCACATACATACGGATAAGGAACATCGTTGTGAGATATGCGGTTTTGTATCAACGACACGTGAGGCCAAAAAGAAACATATTCGTTTCAAGCATACGGCGGAAAAACGTCACAAATGCGGTCTGTGTGATAAGGCATTTAAGGTTCCCACCCTGTTGAGGGTAAGTGAAGAACAACTCTTCATTGAATTTTGTTGCAATTTTAATTGTTGTTTTTTATTCGTTTTTTTTTTTTAGGAACATATGGCCACCCATACTGGTGTGGATTTATATAAATGTAATTATTGTACGGCTACGTTTAAATCGAAATCGAATCGTTCAAATCATTGTAAACGTAATCATCCTTTGGAGTATAATAGTTCGCTGAAACGACGCTCGGTACCTCAACCCATAAATATTGAAAAACCTAACCATAATAATGCTGATGATGATGATTATGAAATTGTAGAGATTTTTAAAATTGAAACAATTGATGTTTAAATTTATTTCAAAACTATGTTTGTATAGTAATGCTGTTAAATTCCACTCTGACTCACTCTCTAAAAATATAGTAATAATATTTGATTGGATATTTTATTAATGAAATATTTTTTTGAAAATAAAAATTGAATTATATTGTGAATTGGAATGTTGAAAATAAAAGTAGTAAGGAAAGTAGTAAAGTCGGACTGGGCCGACTATATGATATCCTTCACCACTTTGGGTATATTCTACATAGTTTCCTAACAGACGTCTCCTTTTCAAAAGAACATTTTCAAAATGAAATTGAACGAAAGATATATAAAAACTTTGGTGCACCATTTACCTTAAATCGTAGGAAAATATATATGGGATATATATCTAAATCTGAACCGATTTTCACGAAACTTATCACACATCATAGACTCAATTCAATACGCTATACCAAATTTCTTGCATATCGAAAGATATTTAGGGACTTTGGCACACCATTTACTTTAAATCGGACGAAAATTTATATGGGAGCCAAATTTCGTGCATATCGAAAGATATATGGGGCTTTGGTGCACCTATTTGATGATCATAGTCGGAAGTTTTCAACCAGAATAACGTAATTTTTCAAACAGAGTATCATAAAAGTTTTGGGACGATTATAGGTATTCTGAATGCCCACTACTCCTTGCTGGAGAATAAAACAAGTTTGGCCAGGTTGTAACGATGTTTTTTTAGTTTATGATTATGAACGTCGACTTTCGGAAGGATAGAAAACACTTTTATATTTCGAAATATTCAATACATCCCTTTATTTACGTTTAAAAAAAAAAAAAAAAAAAAATATATTGAATAAATATAAACCAATAATAAAAATAAAAGAAATGAGCTGTTTTTGTATATCTGGGTGCCAATCTCACACCTTTCAAAAAATTCCTTACACTTACAGATATCCGAGTAAGAAACGCTTGACCCGACATTTGGAATATCACAATCCCGCCAAAGAGGTTATCTGTGATATTTGTGGCAAAGTATTGCGTACGCGCAACACACTACAAAAACATAAAGCCGTTGTACACACAAAGAAAGTGAAAAAAGAACCCGAACAATGCAGCTATTGTGGCAAATGGTATTCGACACGATCGACTCTACAATTTCATGTTCTCAATATGCATATACATACGGATAGAGAACATCGTTGTGAAATATGTGGTTTTGTATCGACGACACGTGAGGCTAAAAAGAAACATATTCGTTTCAAGCATAGAGCGCAAAAGCGACACAAATGCGGTCTGTGTGATAAGGCTTTTAAGGTGCCCACTTTGTTGAAGGTAAGGTGTGGAACTGTAATTGATTTTTTTTTTTTTTGATTTTAATTATTTACTTTTTTTTTCAGGAACATATGGCCACTCACACTGGTGTGGATTTATATAAATGTGACTATTGTACGGCCACATTTAAATCGAAATCGAATCGTATAAATCATTGCAAACGTCATCATCCTTTGGAATACAATGGTTCGGCAAGCCAATGGCGCTTGGCGGCTCCCCAGCCCATAAACATTGAACTAATTGAAGATAACAATGATAATAATGATGATGAAATTAATGTTATTTATTTATATGAAGAGCTTGATGAATGATTTTTATTAATAAAATGTATATTGTTGGAAATAAAAAAAGGAATTGAATTGAAACTATTAAAATAAATAGAAGAAATATGTTTTTATTAATGCCAAAAGGCTTATTTGAGATAAATGTGATATATTATTTTAAAATATTCCCACTATTTGTTATTAATATTATTTTACTTTTCAACTTAAGACACTATATATATATATATATATGAAATAATGGAATTAAAAAAAAACAAACCTTGTAAATCTAAATGAATCGCAGAACACTCACTATTTACTAAGTACAACCAGCTTTTAAACTAAAACACATCTCTATACAATTCTATTTGGAAGTTGTGCAAAATTGTAGACGAAAAAAATGTAGCAACTTTTTTTCTTAAGATTCGTACATAAGATATCTTCAAATCGTGACAAGTTTAACTTTAAAATGGTGTACTCTCGGCCTTCTTGTAGTTTCTTCATATTAATTCTACGTATACTACCCACCCACTCGATGTGGCGTAATTCTGATTTACATCTATATACATTTTTCCAAATTCCTTGCACTTACAGATATCCAAGTAAAAAACGTTTGGCCCGGCATTTGGAATATCACAATCCCTCCTATGAGATTATGTGTGATATATGTGGCAAAGTGTTGCGTACCCGTGACTCTTATCGTAAACACAAAAGAGCTGTACACGCACCAAAACCCCAAAAAATTCCCGAACAATGTAGCCATTGTGGCAAATGGTATTCGACCCACAGTTCATTGCTAACGCATGTCCTCAATATGCATACTCATGCCGGCGAAGAACATCGTTGTGAGATATGTGGTTTTGTGTCGACAACACGTGATGCAAAAAGGAGACACATTCGTTTCAAACATAATGCCGAAAAGCGTCACAAATGTGGCCTGTGTGATAAGGCTTTCAAAGTTCCTATTCTATTGAGGGTAAGTCGTAGAATTGCATTTGTAAATTGAGTAGATTACATTAATCCCGCCGCAAATTGTAAATTTTCAGGAACACATGGCTACCCATACTGGTGTGGATTTATATAAATGTGACTATTGTAGTGCTTCGTTTAAATCAAAATCGAATCGTATAAATCATTGGAAACGCATTCATCCTATGGAATATAATAGAAGTTCAACAAAAGCTCGATCACCCACACCCCAAAGTGTTCAGATTGAATTACTTGAGGAGGATACCAATGAGGATTGTGATGATGAAATTTCTGTTATTTATGAATATGAATTAATCAATGAATAATTTTTATTTTAAATGAAATAATTACACTGCAATTAATTAAATTTTAACAATGTTACCAAATATGTGAATTTCGAACTTTTCAGGGACACTTCTTATATGAGGGGTTGTTTTTATATTATGGATTTAAGTCCTAATTTTTCTAAAGAATACATTATTAAAAGAATTTAATGAAATAATTAAATTGAAATGAATTAAATTTTAAAAATGTTACCAAATACGGAAATTGGAAAATGTGTGATTATGAATGTAATAATGATAAAGTATTGTTTCGAACTTTTCAGGGACACTTCTTATATGAAAGGTTGTTTTTTCTATTATGGATTTAAGAACTGATTTTTCTAAATAATATGTTTTTTAAAGAATTGTTGCAACTATATAAGCTTGTATTTTTTTTAATACGTAAGACGAATTATAGCTTTCACATTGGATTTAATCAGTGGCAATGTGAACTACAAATTAATACATTTTATAAAATATTTGATCGAAGACAGTGACCAGTGTATTTTTATAAATAAATCTGCCTTATTCTGGGCATTCGCCAGGGAGAGATGTCGCTTGTGAAAAATTTTTCGCTTTCACAATCTTGACTTATTCTAAACGAATAGGGAGAAGCAAAAAATGCGAGATGCGGATTCGATTTTTCGGATTTTCGAAAATGGTGGTTGAAAAAAGATTTTGGTGTTGCCATATTGTAATTTTAGTTGTAATATGTGTTGCCCCATTGTTTTATTTATTAATTTTTAATTTTTTTACTTTTTATTGTTATTTAAACTTTATAACGAACTTGATTCAGAATAAGGGAAAACAAGAATGCGAAGAAATTCGCTGCCAGTTTTTAAAGGGAAGAACGAGGAAAAATTCACGTTGAATTGATGTCCACAATAAGGCTGCATATATTGAAACTAATTTACTTTTTTAAAACATAAATTAAAAAAAGCATACATGTCATCTGTTTTATCAAATATTTCAAGTTTCAATGCTAAGGTAAGTTAATTTGAAATAATAGTGTGATCTTACTTTTTTAAATATTTCATTTGGATTTTTCAGGTTATTCACACAAGATATTGAAACGTATAAATCATCAACGTCACCATAATTACATATAACATCTCCACTAAAAGTTATTACAAATGTTCGATCGTTTCCACGACAGAGGGGTCTACGATCCGAAACGACCCGAGTTTTACTCGGCCAACGTCTGTCACCTCAGACCATTGTGTAAAAGCAATAGGGCTGTTACAACAACAACAAATGTTACATATAATGAATATTAAAACAAAATATTTTTAACTTAAAAAATAAATATTACAAAAAAATATAAATTTGTATTAATTCTTTTACTATATACATTTGTAAATATTGAATTTCTATGTACATTGAAATCATAGCTTGTCCTCAAGTATCAGTTTTACAAAAAAAAAAAAAAATAGTTTTTTTTAATTATTAAAAATATTTAAATAAAAAAGCAATATTAATACAAATATTTAGGCCAACTAAATCTCCAAAAGTTATCTCAAAACTACACTTAAAATTCCAATTTTTGTTTGTCTTTTGTTCATCGTTAATTGGTCAGGTCAGCTTGGAATATTGTTTACGTTGAAAAAATCGTTGTATTATTTTTTTCTTTTATTTTCTTTCAGATTCCCATGTGAAATGTATTTGACGCGTCATTTGGAACGTCACTATCCGACCAAACAAGTCATTTGCGAATCCTGTGGCAAGGTGATACATTCACTCGATGCTCTAAAACATCATATGCGACGGGTGCACGACAAAGTATCCGAACAATGTACCTATTGTGGTCAATGGTATTCTAGTCGGGCGACAATGCGTCGCCATTTACTAAATATGCATGTACATGCCGATGAGGAACATCGTTGTGAAATTTGTGGTTTTGTATCATCGTCGAAAACGGCCAAGAAACGACACATAGAATTCAAACACAATCCGGAGAAGAAACACAAGTGTACCATGTGTGATAAGGCCTTTAAGACGCCGACTCTGTTGAAGGTGAGTTGTGTGAGTCTCTTGAAATTTTAAATTGTGGATTTTTATGATTTTTTTGTTTTCATTTATTTTCTAGGAACACACAGCAACTCATACCGGTGTGGATCTATATAATTGTGCCTATTGTGATGCTTCATTCAAATCGAAATCTAATCGTTCCACCCACTACAAACGTCATCATCCCGCAGAATATATGGCCAATATGAGAAGACGTCCCTGTCCCAGTAGCATTAATAATTATATACAAAATCCAGCGGTTAATACCGAAATGCAATAGGGGTTTTTTGTAGCATGAGAATTTAATTATTCTATTTAATAAAGTCTTTTCTTCAATGACTTGCAAAAACGGGAGTTTTAATTTTCCACAGGGGAGAAATAATGTTATTTGTGTTGGTGTTCAGAAAACCATATTAATGATCCCAAACTTTAGGTTGTGTTATGAAAAAATAAGCAAAAGACTTTCACAAAAACCTCCTCCAACTCTCATAACTGCGTGTAGGTACAAATACAAATACTTGTGTTAATTTAATCATATTTTTTCTCTCTCTATTCTATAACATCTTGCAGATTCCCCTGTGAAATGTATTTAATACGTCATGTCAAACATCACAATCCACCCAAGGAGTTTGTGTGTGATACCTGTGGCAAGGTATCGCACACCTTGCATGCCTTACTTATACACCAGCAAAGGGTACATGCACCCAAAGTTCCCGAACAGTGTACCTATTGTGGTAAATGGTATTCGACACGATGGACTCTGAAAAGTCATGTCCTCAATATGCATGTTCGTGCCGATCAGGAACATCGTTGTGAAATATGTGGTTTTGTGTCTAGTTCACGTACGGCCAAAAGGCGACACAAACAATTCAAACACAATCCGGAGAAACGTCATAAGTGCACCATGTGTGAGAAGGCTTTTAAGACACCAACTCTATTGAAGGTGAGAGTATGAAAGAATAACTTTTAGATTTAATTTTAATTTGAAATAAAATCTCCTTTTAGGAACACACCGCTATACACACGGGCATTGATTTATATAATTGTGCCTATTGTGATGCCTCATTCAAATCAAAATCGAATCGTTCTACCCATTATCGTCGTCGTCATCCAGTCGAATATAATGCCAATATGATAAGAAGAGCTCGCCCCACAGCCATACCAAATACTGAGTCCATATAGAAAAAAATATGTTTTAATTTTTGGAATTATTGTTTCAATAATTTTTTTATTATAAGAAAATAAATTTAAATATCTAATAAATATATTTAAATTTATATGTTATTATACAAAACAACATACATTTTTTCCAATGCGATTTTTGTCATTATCAAAAAATGTTCTTTTATTTGTAATCTGTTGTAGTTTTTGCGCCAAATTGCATCAAAACAGCTGTTTCACATGCCCTTGTATGTTGCTATATTTTCCAACTGTTATATATTTTTCCAATAATAACAAGTTTCCCAGGGGATTCTTGATATTTCAGATTTACATTGTTATAAAGTTTAAATAACAATAAAAACACTTTTACAGCTGTGTTTGTCGCAAAAAAGAAATCTGTTCGTATTGCTAATAATCCTTTTAATAAATATATACAGTATAGTATAGTTTTAACAGATCTTTGAAAACATATTCTATAAACAATCAACGCCTTTAACTCTGATAGTCTTTTATAAAATATTATTTAAATATTCTTGAAGAAGTATTATTTTGAGAATCGGCACTTATTGTTGTTCTGATAGTATTTGAAATAATATTCTCTGCTTTTCTCTTTTCATTCAGAATAAGGCGAGATTGTGAAAGAGAAAGCAAATAGTTTAAATATTTATATAAACCCTCTATCAGGTCTTCAATCCATGGAGTTGTAGAATATAAAACTTAAAAATCTAGGTTAATTTTATAATTTTTATGAATTGTGGGAAAGAATTATATAGCAGAGAGGATTTCTGTGGTATAAATGATTGAAAAGAATTTGCTTTAATTCGATTAGTACCTCCAACAAATATATTGTCTAAACTACTTCAACTTTCGTGATAATAGTTACAGTTTGTAAAAGAAAATATATTTTAAGGCACTCTGTCAATAAAGAAGTATGTAAATATATATTTTGAAATATAAAATATAGAATTTACATTACTTCCATTGTATTTATTTTATAGATTTCCTTGTGATCGATATATGAAAAGTCATCTGCAGAAACGACATAAACAGCAAAAGCCACAACCACACCGTTGTGATGAATGCGGCGAAGCCAAAAGTACAGCCAATGCCCTACAACGACATATACGTGAACATCATATGCCACGAGATCCGGTCCAGTGTAGCTATTGTGGTAACTTATATGCGACACGGGCCACCCTACAACGTCATATGTTAAATATGCACGTACTCATCGATACGGAACATCGTTGTGAAATTTGTGGTTTTGTTTCGTCGACGCGTGAGGCTAAACGAAAACATATTCAATTTCGTCATAATCCCGTTAAGAAACATAAATGTCAAATGTGTGAGAAGGCCTTTAAGACACCGACTTTATTGAAGGTATTATTTTGAGTTATTTCTAATAACCAATTTTGTAATATAATCATAATTGCTCGTTTTAGGAACATGTTGCAACTCACACGGGCATTGCCTTGTATAAATGTTCCTATTGTGATTTTACATTTAAATCCAAATCGAATCGTGCCACCCATTGTAGACGTCATCATCCTGTGGAATATAAACACAATATGTTAAGACGACCAAAACCAGATGGTGTTCCAACAGATACTGGCAACATTATTCGGGATAGCATTCCTGCTATCGATTTTTGTCTAAATAACATTTCAGAGTGAATTTTTTCGCATTCTCACTTTTGTCTTTTGTCTAAACGAAGGTTAAAAGTGAGAAAATTGGCTATATAGGAAAATGTATTATACTAAGTAAAATGAATGTGATGGCAATTAATAAGAATTTTTTCCGCCAATAAATGAAAAGGATGCTGACTATAAAAATTTAAGCATTAAATATTCAGCCTTATTCTGGATGTCAATTCCACGTGAATTTACTCGATCACAGTGATTTTTTCGCATTCTCGCTTTTGGTTTATTCTGTAAATATGCTTTAGAGAAAATAAGTTATTCTGGATTACAGGGAATTGGGAGAATGAGATGACATTTTGTGCGAAAATTTTTGCAAATAATTTTTTTTTCAATTTCAATTTCTTTATTTTTCATGAATGGGAACCTAGCCACAAGGCCATGATCGGTTCCAAAAACCACTATACATCTACTACTCCAAAAAAGGGAGCTGACTACAAAAACATAAGTAATAAATATTTTTAGGAAAAATATCTACACAATACTTATTCTATGACAATTTAGAATATTATAAATGATTGTATACACATTTTTAACTCGAAAACAACAAATAAAATGCCATTGGAAATCCTATTGTTAACCATGCATGCTCCAGCAAATATTGCTACGGAATGTAAAAAAATTAAGTAGCATATCATAAAATAATTTCCCACTTTAAGAATTTGAAGAGATAAAATATGGAAATTAAATAAATCTATTCATTCAGAATAAGGCGAGAATGTGAAAGCGAAAAATTTCGTACATGGGAGAAATCTCCCTAGTAAATATACAGAATAAGTCTGATTATTTTAGAAGATAAAATCTTCCTAATAGTTCTACTATCATTATTTTAAAAATATTATTAATGGTTTTTATTCGACATTTTAACTTAAAAAAATTAAAAAGAAGAAGTAAAAAATTATATTATAAAATAAAAAAAAATTACTAGTGAAACGTTTCCCTACTGAATAAATACTAATACATTTTCGATGAAAAGAGAAATATGCAGTTTTAATGTATATATATACAATATAATTTTTTAAATAAGCTTGTAATAAATAATAAATATAAATAAATATATATAAATGTAATAAATATACCTTAAAAATACACACTTATGATTTTAACAGATCTTTGACAACATTTTTTTAAATCAACGCTTATAACTCTGATTGTCTTTATAAAATATTATTTAGATATTCTTGAAGAAGTATTATATTAGAATCGACACTTATTGTTGTTCTGACACTATCCATTGAAAATATTCTTTAAAATCCTAATTATTGCTCTAATAATTCTTATAAAAATATTCTTTAAAAATTTATAATTATTGTCCTGATAATTCTTATAAAATATTCTTTAAAAATCCATACTTTTTGCCTAAAATTCTTATAAAATATTCTTTAAAAACTCACGATTCTTTTAGTCCTTAGAAAAAAATATTCTTTAAAACTTCACGATTCTTTTAGTCCTTAGAAAAAATATTATTTAAAAATCCAGGCTTGAGATAGACTTTGAATAAAATATTCTTTAAAAATTCACGCTTGTGACAATATTCTTTAGAAATGCACGCTTGTGATATTTTTTGAAAATAATATTCTTCAAAAATCCACGCTTGTGATAATATTCTTTAGAAATGCACGCTTGTGATATTTTATGAAAATAATATTCTTTAAAAATCCACGCTTAAAGATCCTAAAAAAGTAAAAATATCCTTAAAAATCCACTCTATGTTTTTTAAATCCAATCTGGCAATGGTAGTTTCTTAAAATTTCACGATTCTATTGAATGTGAAGATAATGGTTGGTCTTATTGACAAATCGAAATTTGTAAAAAGGATGTTTATTGAAAAAATCCAGATTTACGTTACCTCAATCCACATAACATCAATCACAGCTAGATGTTTACATTTAAATATTTTTTTATAAATAACTAATTTCCCTTATTAACATATTTCAGATTTTCCTGTGAAGCCCATTTAAATCGACACCTAAAATATCATAATCCCACCAAGACATTAATCTGTGATATCTGTGGCAAAGCTGAGACAACAATAACCACACTGCGTAAGCATAAAGAAAATGTTCATGAACCCAAGGTGCCGGAACAATGTAAATATTGTGGTCAATGGTATTCAAGCCGGAGAACAGCACTGCGGCATATACGCAACATGCATGTCCACGCCAATGAGGAACATCGCTGTGAAATATGTGGTTTTGTATCATCATCGAAACCGGCCAAAAAACGGCATATTGAATTTAAGCATAATCCCGAGAAGAAACACAAGTGCACAATGTGTGAGAAGGCATTCAAGACGCCCACTCTATTGAAGGTTAGTGGAAAATGCTTTATTTTTGGGATTTTTTAAAATAATTAATGGATAATTTTTTTTTCTAGGAACATATGGCTACCCATACCGGTATAGATTTGTATAAATGTGACTATTGCGATGCAACTTTTAAATCGAAATCGAATCGCTCGACCCATTATAGGCGTCATCATCCTGTGGAATATAATGCCAATATGATAAGACGTTCCCGGCCAACGGCAATTCACAATTATATCAATAACTAGTCATAAAAAAATGATTGTTAGTAAATTGTTTTGAAATAAACGATATTTTTGAAATATATCCATTTTCCTTAGTGATTTATTTATGTTAGAGAAATTATTTCCACTTTTAACTGAAAAAAATATAAAATAAGGAGATTTTGAATATTAAATATGAAACTAATTTGGAAATTAATGTGAAGATATATGTCTTAAAAAATGTAATTAACTATCGTATCTCTCTTTTATAGATTCTCCTGTGAAGCCTATTTGTTACGGCACATGGAATATCACAATCCGAATAAGGAATTTATATGCGATATTTGTGGTAAGGCTCTGCCCACCCATGATACCCTAAAGAAACACAACAATAAAGTGCATACACCAAAAATACCCGAACAATGCCAGTATTGTGGTAAATGGTATTCTAGTCGTTGGACAGCACAGCGTCATATGTTAAATATGCATGTTCGAGCCGATGAAGATCACACCTGTGAAATATGCGGATTTGTTTCGTCCACGCGAGAAGCGAGAAAAAAACATATGGAATTTAAACATAATCCCGAAAAGAAACACAAATGTACAATGTGCGATAAGGCATTTAAGACACCCACTTTACTGAAGGTAATTATCCGCATCAGTAGAATTATTGTTATTAATTGCAAAAACATTTTGATGATTGCAGGAACATACGGCAACCCATACCGGTATTGATTTATATAAATGTGCCTATTGTGATGCCACATTTAAATCGAAATCAAATCGTTCCACCCACTATCGTCGTCATCATCCGGTCGAATATAGTATTAATATGATACGTCGTCCTCGTCCCAGTGGTATTAATAACTATGAGAATATAAACCAAAATATAAATAGCAACAACACTACTAATAATAACTGCACCGATAATAGCAACACAAATAATACCACCAACAACAACAATAATACTAACACAACTAGTACTAATGTTTAACTAGCATAATTACATAGAGACTTATTGTAATTCTATAATAAAAATTATTCGCTTTTTCCAACAAAATACATTCTAAAATAGATATAATTATAATTTTATATATATATATTTTTTTTAAATTACTAAATAATTTATAGATATACAAAACAAATTTAAATTCTTTTGCTAATATTTTTCTAATAATTTTTCTTTTACTAAAATATTTAAAAGGTATTCAGAGTTTGAAACTGACAAAATGGTTTCTGTGTTACATTTTAAATTTAATTGATCTAATTGATTCCTATTTTATAATTCCAATAACTTCATCCATGTGGTACTTTTTCATGATTCATTCATTAATGCGACTTGTACATGATCAGGATTGCAAGATTTCTTATATTCCATTGAAAATGAATACTTCTTTATTTGCTATATCAATAACACTGTACACATGTTATTCAAAACAGTTGTAATTCGAAAACTCAATTTGCAATTTATATGTAAATGGTAATTTAAAATTTGATGGTGATTTAAAAATTGACGTACTGTCGAAATCGCTTATAACAACGGTCTAGGGACCGGCAAATATGGTCGTTATAAATTATGTCAATAGTTTCTCGGGACTTTGTTTACAATCGTTAGTTGTTTCCAATTTATTTGGGAAAAATGCAAACTTTAATATATGTAAAAATGTAAATGTGTTCGTAAAAATTTATTTTCTTTTCTAACTAACCAATAGTGAAATTCGATGCAGCATAATTTTGTCTTTGGCGAAATACTCCTATGCTGCAGCCTTATTAAAGATTTTGGCATACATTTACTGGTGGCCAAAACTAAATCAACTGAATAAATGACCTGTAATTTTTTATACCCTTCATCACACTGTGGTACAGGGTATTATGTCTTTGTTCATATGCTTATAACAGGCAAAAGGAAACGAGATAGACACATGGTTTTTTTTGAGAATATGCATAGAATCACTTTCTGAGTCAATTTATGCATGTCCGTCCGTTGATGTTAAATTGTAAACAAGGTACAGGTCGCATTTATCATCCGATTTGGATGAAATTTGGCACAGCTCATTTATTTTTAGATTTAGCTCCCATATATATTTTCGTCCGATTTAATGTAAATGGTGCGCCAAAGTCCCTAAATATCTTTCGATTTACACGAAATTTAGCACAGCGTATTAAATTAAGTTTGGAATGATGTGTGCTAAGTTTCGTGAAAATCGGTTCAGACTTAGATATAGCTTCCATATATATATATATATTAGTCCGATTTGAAATAAATATAAATGGTCGTCCGATTTGATAGAAATAGTGCCCAAAGTTCTTATATGTCTTTCGTTCAATTTCTTGTAAATTTTCTTTCGAAAAGGCGACCTCTGTTAGGAGACTATGAAGAATATACCCAAAGTGGTGAATGGTATCATATAGTCGGCCCAGTCCGACTTTACTACTATCCTTACTGGTTTCTTATAAATATGCAAATTTTGTTAGTATGCGACAGCATAACCATTATTTTTTATTACGTCACCACACCTACGAGGCATTCAATCTAAAATGCTCAATTTGGTCCATGGGTAAACTATTCCATGCATCCTGAACCTTTGGAAAGGAGGTTAGGTCTATTTGTTGTAAAACTCTATGGATTTTGCTATCTATGATACTCCAAAGATTTTTCTATAGGGTAAAGATCTGTTGATTGTGTTGGCCATTATAAAACACTGATTTTTGACTCCCAAAAAGAATCCTTGATAAGTTTTGGTGCTTATTGTCAAGCTGAAACACCCAAAACAGCGGTATATTTTCTTCTTCCAAAACATTTGTATAGACAATCCGATCCATTACTTTATAAATTTAGTAAATATATCGAACTCCATGCTTCCCAGTGGCCTCGCAATACTGTGGCATGAGCCTTTCATTTTTGGCCTTTTCCACGGTATTTTTTCCGCTCTGTTATTGAGATTATATCCAGCGATAACCGTCCCACAAATTCCGTTGAACTCTTAAATGTGCATTTTTACTGCTATGAAAATTTGTGGATCAGTACGAAGTGATGTCCTTTTGCAGACTTCCTACGTGCTGAGCTGTCACTACTGCAAATCGAAAGATATATAGGGACTTTGAAGCCCCATTTACCTTTAATCGAACAAAAATATTTATGGGAGCTATATATAAATCTGACCCAATTTTCTCGAAACTTAACACACGTCAATCTGAACCTAATTTGGCACACGTCATTCTAGACTCAATTCAGTATACTATGCAAAATTTCGCGCAAATCGAAAGATATATAGGATTTTGGTGCACCATTTACATAAAATCGGACAAAACAATATATGGGAGCTATATCTAAATCTGAACCGATTTTCCTCATTTCAATAGGGTTCGTTCTTGGGTCAAATAAGTAACTTGTGCCAAATTTCATCCAAATCGGATCATAAATGCGACCTGTACTTTGTTTACAAACATATGCACAAAGACCTAATACCCTGTAACACAGAGTGGTGAGGGGTATTAAAATAGAATTTTGGTTTCGAACCTACACTGATTCAAGAATGACCCTTTAAAATTGCTAGTGAACATCTCAACAATTCTTGAAGATATAGTCGATTTCTCGTGTTATCATCAAGCGACGGCAAGTCGCGTTTAAACGCGTTTTTCTGAACGTTTTTTTGCTTGACTCAAAACTAACCTAACCGTCATCCCCTTTTTGTATAAAACGAGCACCATAAGTAACATAGTAAAGAAATATAATTATTTTTTATCATTCATCGAATGTTTTATTGTCTTGTGGTATATCTATTGTCATTTCCATATACGGTTCTCGATGTAACTCGGACCACCGCTGTGCCACACGAGGATCACTGGCCTTGCGAAATACCATACAGGTGATGTGAGGTAACTTTTCAAAACGTATTCGGCTAAAACCCAACATACCCAATGTGTATCGCCAATTTTTCATAATAGAAGCATTCTTGCCAACGTGTTGGGAATCCGGTGTTATAATAATTAAGATTCCTTCATATTTTAATAGGTCATAGGCTTTCTGACAACACTGTAGACGTAATTCGGAACTAGGTATGTATTCCAGTAGTAAACTAAATACTACACATTCATAATACGCGGCAGGTAATGTACAAACTTCTTCCTCACCATCATCAAAAAAAATTTTTGGTTCTAGCATATCGGCAACTTGAATTTTTAAGAAATCGCCCTTCAACACATCTTCCGTTGCTGGACACAAATCAATTGCTGTTACAGCAAGTTGTGGTTGAGATTTTCCAAATGGATTAAAACAGCTACCAACATCCAGAACATAGATTTTCTCGGGTAATGTTTCAAGGTACTGACATTGACTGCAGTCAAATCCATCCCATGATTCCAATAGCCTTTGTTCCCTCAGACGTTTCTCCAAGTAGATACGTTCCGAAAAGAAATATGCCATACAATATTCAATGGTCCATTTTACACGGCTACGTGCCATTAAATCCTGATTTGTGGTATTATTTTCCCAAATATTTGCCAATTGATGCATTGCCTCAGCATATTCTCGCAGACGTTCTTTGTCTTTGATATGTTCCTGCCACGCTTTCTCGGCGCCATACTGTTTGGTTAGGATGCGCAAAGAATCGTGACAGGATTTTATAATGTTAGCCAAACGTTTGTGTTCCTCAGTGGCCATTGTCCTTTTTTGGAGAGTAATTTTTTGGTTTTCGATAGTAATGGGTTAACACTTTTACGACGATTGTAAACAAAACAATAAAATGTGCGCGGTGGATCAGCTGTTTTAGGTCACACAAGATGCGGATTGTTACGAAAAGAACAGCTGGTTTCATGTTGGAATTACAGTAGAGTCGCAATAATTGCTTTTCGACTAATATTTTTTGATTTCATTGTTGGAATGTTTCCGTACTGCAATAATCTGCTACTTTTTACTACGATAACAAATTTCGATGTAAAACGGCATGTACATTAGAACTTTTTACCGGGTTAACCTGCAAGGTAATGACAATTGAAACCCACTGGGTTAACGAAATCCGGTTAAATGTAAACGTACTATAACCTTTATGATATCGAAGAATGTCTCGATTAACTGTCAAAGTGCGTAATGTAGGATGATTTCTGGCCAATGAAGACCCCTATTGTTTTTGGTAAAGATCAGCTAATGTTTAGGGGATGAAATGGACCAAAAAACGTTATTTTTGTCTGTTTTCTGGTAGTCCTAGAGGCCACAATTATGACCCTAATATCGTAAAATTTTATATGGAAAAGGGAACAGGGCCAAAGAATAAGCGGTTCAGATGGACCCTTACTTTTGTGTGGAAAATAACTAAACTTGTATTCTATGGCGTATATATTTCCTGAAGGACATAGACCCAAGAAGTTGATAGTATATCCAAAAGGAATTGTTGACCTTTAAATTGATATCAATTATATTTTCGAATGTGGAAGTTACACTTAAATTTACAGTTGCTTACGCATTCAGATATTATTTAGTAACCCATAACCACACTAGAGGGCGGAAATATAGTGCTGATCGCTTTGGAAATTTTCGGTGATGATCAGATAATAATTTTGGAGTGCAGTAGACCGAAAAGTTAATTTTTTGTGTTTTTTAGGGTCGATCTATAGGTTACAATTATAAGCAAAAAATCACAACACAACCCACGACGAAGGGAATCTGGACAAGTAATTCGAAGAGCTGTACTGAATATTAGTAATATTCGGAAAATAAGCCAGTGTAAGGAAGAGGTACTGTTGACCTCTAATCTAGAAAGAGGGAACATGTATCACAAAATATTTCCCAGGCTCTGAATAATTATCCGTAGAAAGTTAGAGTTTAGTGGTAATTATGTAGGGTATCGTATGATCGGCCCCGTCCGACTATACTGTTGCGCTCACTGGTTTAATATACATCAATGCCTTATAGTAAATTTACATTGTACAGGATATAGTTAACTCAGTGAGGATTTAACGGCATTTACATTAAACGGCATTTACATTATGTATTTTTACGGGGTTAACCTACTTTATGAGGATTTATTTGACATACCTACAATGGAACTGACAATTTAAACCCACTGGGTTAACCAAATCCGGTACAATGTAAACGCACTTTTAGAACTTTTTACCGGGTTAACCTACTCAATGAGGTGTGTTAACGAAATCCGGTACAACTTAAACGTAGTATTAATTGTCAATTCCATCGCTTATTTGTCAAATAAATTTTCATAAAGTAGCTTAACCTCCCTAATGTATATGACCCTTTAGACGAATGAATACTTCGAAGAGAAAAATTCCCACAGTATCCCTAGTCTTATTCATAAAAGTCTCAAACGTAATGTTTCCCCTATTTCTCTCAGCGTATAGGTAAGGTCACCCTGGGAGACCAGCAAGATATCATCAGCCACTCAAGTTTGCTGTCAAAATTAATTATTGTGAATTGACTTCCATTATGAAAATGTAAACAATAGATCTTACCTGTAATATACCTGCTTTAGTTGGAATCAGCAGTTCAAGTAATCATATGTGACTGCTGTCAGCTGTTCGTAGATAGTGAACTTTAAAACATATTTGCATTAAACGAAGACATGTTATTTAAAGTACATTCCTAATTTTATGCGCATGTTGTCATTATTAATAAGTACAACCATATAAAACGTATTTTTTTTCTCCTATTTGTTGAAAAAATCCCTAATTTGTGCAAAATACCCGATACTGGAATGACTGACATAATTTTATATAGTTGTGGATCATACCTTCGCTATTAGAGTGTTGAATAAAGAACTTCTTCCTAGAAATTTTTAAATATAGGTCTATGTTATACAAAGGTTCCGCATACTTTTCGGATTGTTGAGATTGCAACCATGTTTTCCAACCCGAGATTCTGCCATTTGGTAGTTAATTTACTCAGTGAATAAACAACCTACACGCGTAGAATTTACGATGACATAGTTCTAATAAAAACGGAATAGTTTCGAAATGTTATATATTGATAATTTTTATGTATAGTAAGAAAAAAAGTGCAGTTTATATATTTTAATTTTTCATTATTGTATATAAAACTTGACAATACCTTCTTTAATAGATGTTAAATATTAATCAGTACTATCGATTTAAATAGTTATTTTTGTTCATAGATATGATAGGAAGAAAATCATGTTCCCAAACGCAATTGAAAATTAACAAACTCTCTTTCGATTAGCTTTAAATTTTACTTCATACTCGTAATCAATTTCAGCTACTGTGCGCAACGAACGACCCGCATAATGAAAGATAAAATTGTTCTTCCTAAAGTAAATAGCAAATAGACCCCCAAAAATATGAATGCACTTTAATCGACGTTCAAGTGTACCAGCGTGATAATAGTTTATGAGTTACACTCATAATTGATGGACAACAAATGTTAAAACGATGGAGGGAGGGAGAGAGGACGGTCGGGTAGCCGGCGTAGATAAGGTGTTAATGTATTGTATTTATATCGACTATGTTAAATTATAAAAATATTAAATTTCAGATATGAAACGATCGAAAAAACGAAGGCAGAAAATTCGAAAACTTCTATTATAGTTTAGTTGAAGGGAGAACGTAAAGAAGTGCGGTAGAAGTTCTCAACGAAAGACGATTTTTATAGAAGAAATTACAAGTTTTTATAATTTTTTAAGTAATTACAATGACGGAACCACCAAGCAATGGGAAGCATGATCAATCAACCACACAGGAAGAAATTCCGTGCGCAAAGAATCGGAAACAATTTGAAGAACCGTTAAAAGGTTTTGTAGAAACCTTAGTGGCTGGTTTATATATAAATTTATTTATGTATATGCCATTTATATGCTGGTTCCTAAATGGTGTATTTTTGGTAAGTATCGAATTGAGTGCAATTGGAATTGAACATGATTTTAATGTTTTTTTTTGTAGATTTGTTCCGGTTATTTAGGCAAAGCTTTATATTTATTATATTTTGCCTATATTTATATGGACCATAAAAGGAATTCATCGTTAACCCGTGGTTTGGGGTATGTAAGAGATTTATATAAAATGTGGCAATAGTATATGTGTAAACTGTCAGTTGATCAGCTGTAAAGCACCAGCTTTAGTTGGAATCAGCTGTTCATGTAATCATATGTGACTGCTGTCAGCTGTTCGTATAGAGTGAACTTTTAAGTATATTTTCAGTTCGTCCTCGGACGGCTCACAAGAAAGACGTAAAAAAAATTAACGCCCACGGGCTTAAAAATAAACAAAATGGCGGTTGTTAAGCGTTCATAACACGTGTGTTTTTAAATACGGATAACCTATAAATTACGAGTCGTTCAACAAAATCCAAACAGCTGCGCATGAAATTTTTAATTTTCGTAAATTTAATAGTAAAAGAAGATGCTTTTCGCTACTATGTGACTCCTTCACAGTAGAAGAGTTCACTGATACACAAGGCTTAGAAAGTCTGAACATTGTGGTCAAATTCTTAAAGAAGATCGAAGAGCAAAACACAAACCACCATCGGGTTACGGATACATGGCACTAAACCTTCTATCCCTATAGAAAGTGGGCCAACCAAAATAATATATAAAAAAAAAAAAAAAAAAAGTATATTTGCATTAAACGAAAACATGTCATTTGAATTCCATTCCTAAGAGCGGGTTTAGACTCCTAAGAGCGGGTTTAGACTGCTCAATCCACTCAATTTCAAACGTAAACAAATAACAGCTGCTAAATCAAAATTATATAATTTTTATACTAGTCTAAATATCTAGGATTTTTGCACCTTGATTTACAAATCGAGTCAATTTAGAAGGCATAGATACGCGCGACATTAAAGTGAACATATTAGCGAATAGATATAACATAGAACATCTTCGATGTAGATATGACATAAAACGTTTTTTCTTAACAAACAAAAATAAATCAGCTGCAACGTTGATCAGCTGACTCGTTTCTAATTTTAAATCTTTATTTTATTATATTTTAACAATTTATTTTTTGTATTCTTAAATTACAGCTACTTGCCGATGCGCACCAGTCGGATAGCAGAATATTTACGTTCCTATTTCCCAGTAGAATTGGTAAAAACTGCAGAATTGCCACCGAATAGAAATTATGTTATTGCCACATTTCCTCATGGTATAATTGGGTAAGTAAACGAAAAAAGGAAAGGAATATAGCTTCAAAATACAAGAATATTAAACGACAGGTTATGAAAGACTTCTAAAAGGTTATGAAAAAAGGGTCTTATATGAAACGAACTCTTTAAATTGAACCATTCATATTCTCAGATGCCAAATACTGAACATATTTTAACTGATCGTCATTTTATTTACACAACATACATTCGATATTGGTGGAACGGGAAAGGTATAAAAGTCGTTCCTCAACAATCTCGGAGCTTATGCAAAAGAGCCTTATCGACGCTGTCACGCTTGGCCAAGGCTAACGGTCTTGGAGTAATCCAACTAAGATTGAACAGGGCGTCTTTGCTCCTCCAACACTGGATGGAGTGCAGCTTCGTTGGATATTGGTGGAACTGGACGGGAAAGGTATAAAAGTCGTAGCCCATGTGGACGACGTGGTGATACTGATTTCCGCAAAATTTCCGTCAACAATCTCGGAGCTTATGCAAAAGAGCCTTATCGACGCGGTCACCCTTGGCCAATACAAAGATAGAACAGGTAATGTTCATTATGCACCGTAAGCTGGATGGGGTGCAGCTTCATCTGACCCCCGAACCAAAATTCTTTGGCACAATCCTGGACTGTCAATTACGATGGAACAGGAACGCTGAGGAACGGGCGAAGAGAGGGCAGATTTGCACTTGGGGGATAAAACCATCGACTATACACTGGATGTATAACACTGTGGTAAGGCCCATCTTTTTTAAGGTTCTCTTGTCTGGTGGCACTGCCCGCGTCACAAATCAACATTTTGCAAACTAGACAAGGTTCAAAGAGCTGCCTCACCACACAATCACGTCTGAACGAGATGATGAACTTAAGGCCTCTGGGTCTCAGCATTAAGTGTCAGGCAGCGCGTAGTGCCCTGCATGAACAAAATCTTTGGCGAAATTATACCTACGAGAATGGATGTATCCAGAACGAATTATGTATGACATTGGACCAACGTATAAAACTAAGCGACTATATATCACCAGTCCTGAGATTTGACGATGTAGAGGTCGTTATCCCTAGTAAAGATGACTGGAACCGTAGTAACCCTTCTTTGGACGGTCTGGCTTTCTATACAGACGTATACAGGGGAGGCGTCTACTGTGAAAGGCTAGACCTTGAGCTTACCTACAAGCTGGATAGCAAGTGTAGTGTTTTCCAAGCTGAAATCTTCGTGATCTGGAAAACAGCGGAATTGATAAAAAGTTTGGATGTAGAGAACGCTGACTATCTTTGTGGATAGTCAGGCGGCTCTTAAAGCCATCTAATCCTGCAACATCAAATCTGAGGTCGTCCTCGAATGTAGAGCATCTTTGGAAACACTTATTTACAGCTATCGGCTGTGTTGGGTACCAGGACACTGTGACTTCACGGGTAATGAAAAATCAGACGAATTAGCAAGACGAGAATCTCAATCAACAGATCTAACAATCGATGGCTCAATCAAACCACCCATCTCTCACTTTTTTCGGAACTTTGATGGGTTCTTCGACGAATGAACCAATGAAGTCTGGCGTCTACTGTGAAAGGCTAGACCTTGAGCTTATCTACAGGCTGGATTGCAACTTTAGTGTTTTCCAAGCTGAAATCTTCGCGATCTTTGTGTATAGACAGCGGGTCTTAAAGCCATCAAATCCTGCAACATCAAATCAGAGGTCGTCCTCAAGTGAAGAGCAGTTTTGGGTACCAGGACACTGTGACATCACGGGCAATGAAAAAGCAAACGAATTAGCTAGACGAGGATCTCTATCTACAGATATAGCAATCGATGGCTCAAACAAACCAACCATCTGTCACCTTTTTCGAAACTTTGATGCAATCTTCGACGAACGAGCCTGACACAACGAACCTAGGTGCAATGTGTCAAGATCTATCTGGCTGACTCTGTCAAACAAGAATAAACTCACTGTTGAGCCTGAGTAAAGCTGGAATCAGAGTAATGACATGTCATTGCAATATCAGGGCTTTTACCAGTAAGTGGGACCATGATGTTACTAATTACTGCAGATTCAGTGTTGACGAGGAGTAGACGGAGACAATTGAGCATCTCCTGAGTCGCCGGCCTACAGACAGCACAGACTTCTGTTCAATTATGGAACCTACTTTAATTTACAGCATCTTTAGAAACCTTGAGTGATTGGGAAAGTGCAACCTTAGCACCTAATATGTTTTCTGTCCGAATTTCTATAGCCATCGAAACTATTTCTTACCTATCTCCTCATACTTCATTGTTTAGCTTCTTATCTTTTCTATTTTTTTAATTTAAAAATGTTCTTCCTATTTTTCAGTACCGGTATCTCCGTCAATATGGGCCTGAGTATTGGAAAATGGTTGGAGCTATTTCCCGGTGTTCGTCCTAAGGCTGCCACATTGGATATGTATTTCTTGACACCAATAATGCGTGAATTGATACGCGGTTGGAGTTTGGTAACCTGTTCCAAGGAAGGACTGTTGCAACAACTCAACAGGTCTTGCAATCCTCATCATCCACACAATATTGATGGTTATACCTCAAATGCTGTGGCAATACTGGTGGGTGGTGCTCATGAGGCATTGGATTGTCATCCTGGCCAATATATTTTGACCCTGAAGAATCGTAAGGGATTTGTGAAAATTGCCATTAAGTCGGGGTACGTTAAAAAATGCATTTTTATGAATTCGTATTTTATTATTCTTTGTTTTGGTAGTTCCCCCATTGTGCCTAGCTTTTCATTTGGCGAAGTAGACATTTTGGATCAAAAGGATAATCCACCCGGTTCTAAGTTGAGAAATTTCCAAATTGCTGTTAAAAATAAATTGGGTATTGCACCGCTGATTGTAACCGGTCGTGGCCTTTTGAAAAATGGTTTTGGTCTATTGCCACATCGTAAACGTATTGTACAAGTTATCGGTTCACCCATTGATGTTGAGAAAATGGACAACCCAGATCCCAAATATGTCGATGAAATCCATCAAAAGGTAATGACAAGTCTACAAGAAATGTTTGAAAAATACAAATATGAATATTTGGAAAATCCCAAAGATGCTAAATTAATTATTAACTAATTGTGTTGTGATGTGATATTATTGTTAAATAATTTTATTAAAAATAAATGTTGGTTGTTTTATTACATTTGTTGATATTTTGAAATGTTGCAGTTGAAGGTGTGAAGCTAAAATCAAACTTCTTCTACATGGAAAACCGCTTTAAAATCCACGCCTGATTGTCTTTTGGTCCCTTGGTTGCTATTGTCCATTGTGATCATCCTTGATACCTGTAAAGAAAAAGTAAAAGAACAGAGAGTGGAAGAGAGGAAAAATAGGAGTAGGAGAGCCTAGAATATGGTTATTTTAGCAATACCAGATTTTTGACAAATCTTACGATCTGATTGGGGTCCATTTTGGAGAAGAAAGCTAAATTACCAATTTCATATCATTCAAATTGTTTGTGTCTTCTGCCACTTAGCGATGGACACCTACAGATGATATGTTCAATTGTTTCTAGCTCCTCTTCGTTCTCACACATAGACGACAGTAATCCTCTCCGCTGGAGTCCCATTTAGAAGTGAGAGATCTAATCTTGCAGTGACCTGTTATGATCCCCACAATGATTTTGATCTTGCTCTTATTATGTGACAACAGCGAAGAAGTTCTTCTACGAGAGAATTCAGGCCAGATAGCTTTTGATATTCTGCAACCGGGTTCTCTCGACCATCCATTGCCGACTACACCGCCGTAGAACAAACGGATTTTGCCAATAAAATAGCAAGTGGGTGGCGACGACTGTGAAGCTATCTCATTCTATTCTATGCTGCTATGACCTGGAACCCAAAATAAAAGTTGAAAGGGCGCCATCCATAATATCGGAAATTGTCATTAGAAATTTCCCACCAACCAGCAAGACTACATCATCGGCATAGGCTATAACATTTATTTTAAGATGGTCGAATTTCAGCAGTATCTCATTTATTACAAGAAGCCATAGAAGAGGAGATAATACTCCCCACTGTTGTGTGCCTCTGTTGACAGATTTCCTCACGGAACTCTCTCCTAAGTATGAGTTGGTAATTCTGCTTTCCACCATTCTATCATTCCACTCCGTTAGAAGTGAGGGGATATCTGAGCTTACGAGAGCGGAATGGATGGCATCTAGATCCACATTGTTTAAAGCTCCCTTAATATCGAGGACTCCATATTCTTCTCAATGAAGCCAACCACCTCATGTAAGGCTGTATCCACAGATTTGCCTTTGTTGTAGGCATGCTGGGAGTTGCTAATTTTGTTTTGATCAATACTATTTCTAATTTCTGAGTCTAGTAACCTTTCTAAAGTCTTGAGTAGAAAGGAAGATAGGCTAATCGGTCTGTAGTCCTTTGGTAGCGTATGACTCGGCTTCCCGGTTTTCGGGTTGACCCCTTTCCATAGACTAGGTAAGTAGACAAGCCCTAAAAATGTCTTGCAACCTCTCTGCATGACCGGTATTATACCATCTGGGCCTGGAGATTTATAGGGTTGAAAACTATTTATGGTTTTGGCAGCTTATAGTGTTCCTTTGGTAGCTTATAGTTTTCCTCCTCTCTCCTTCGAACCATATGCTGATACGCACACTGCACATCCTCATTATGATCCTTACAACCAGGAATGTGGGTTGACGATAGAAGATCAAGAGGCTCACTACCAGAGTTTGTCCACGCCCCGTCACTTCGCTTAATACTACCTATAGATTTTGGATCTTTAGATAGTACTCTCCGAAATCTGGCCGCTTCGTTAACTCTTTCGATTGACTCACGTTTAGCCTTCTTGATTTCACTCTTGTACCTGTTGAACTATTCTCTATAAACGTCCCAATCTGTACTGAGTTTTGTCTTACTAGCTCTATTATATGCATTCCTTGCAGCCTTCCTCAAGGATGCAACGTTTTGTGACCACCATACTGGCTGAGAACTCTTCCCAGGATATGTTAAAGAATATGAAGCCTTATAGCTCTTCCAAAGAGTATCCGTGATATTGTTATAGCTTCCTCAACATATTCAACCATTATGAGATCTTTATAACCTAGGATTGAGGATGCTGTTTTGGTTTTGAATTTGTCCGAGCTTGTTTTCCGAGGATTCCTATAAGGCTTCTGTTTACCTCTGGAGGTTGGAATCTGGAAAAATATCAGTCTATGGTCCGAAAAGGAACATTTCGCAGATACTTCCCAGTTCATAACCCCAGAGTCGTCCAAAAAAATATTCTGTAAAAACCCACGCCTGATATTCTTTTGGTCCCTGAAACAATATTCTTTAAAAAGTCACTGTTGATTGTCTATTGGTCCCCGACATTCTTCTTTAAAAATCCATACTCTATGGTCTTAAAAATATAGTGTTTCAAATCTTTGCTGGATTGATCTCTCATATGATCACGTCATTTGTAACTGCTAATTTTGTATACAGGGTTTTTGTTTGTATATTATATTAACAACAAATATTAAAAAGCATAATAACAACATTACAACAATAACCTAAACTTGAAAAATCAAATTTAACAAAAATTGTTTTTGCACTCTCATTATCAAGAAATTGACAAGGTCCTATATAGTTCGTAATAAAATGGAAGGGTATGCGTTTCTATCAACTTAAAGTATTAATCATCCGTTCAGTAATTTCCCGGTTCCGCACAGAAATGCCAAATCATTTACATTGTGTGCACATACACAATTACAGACATACATATATACGAGTGAACAATGTACAATAGATACAGTTAAATGATATACGAACCATGACGTTTTATTGATAGATCACGAACAAAAAAACTCACCTAGCAATTTAGCAAATTTTTAGTGCGTTTATTTTAGTTAATCACTTTTTTTTTGATTAGTTGAACTGATTAGAATGTTTAAAATTTATGATAGTGTGGTACACACTACAATAGGTATGGGAGGCAATTATATAAAAAAAATATTATTTATTTTTTATTATTTAAAAATCCAGCCCTATGAAAGTCCTTGAAAAAATGTTGGTTAAAAATCCAAGCATTGAAAGTCCTTGAAAAATATTATTTAAAAATCCACACATTGAAAGTCCTTGAAAAATTTTATTAAATACTCACGCATATGAAAGTCCTTAAAAAAAATTTGCTTAAAAATCCACGCCTATGAAAGTCCTTGAATAATATTATTTAAAAATCCACACCTATGAAATGTCTTAAAAACATTACTTAAAAATCCACGCATATGAAAGTCCTTGAAAAAACAATTATTTAAAAATCCACGCCTATAAAAGTCCTTGAAAAAAATATTATTAAAAAATCCTCACCTATTAAAGTCCTTTAAAAAATATTGCTTAAAGCCTTGAAAGTCCTTGAAAAATATTATTTAAAAATCCACGCCTATGAAATGTTTTAAAAACATTATTTAAAAATCAACGCCTATGGAAGTCCTAGAAAAAACAATTATTTAAAAATCCACGCCTATGAAATGTCTTAAAAACATTATTTAAAAATCAACGCCTATGGAAGTCCTAGAAAAAACAATTATTTAAAAATCCACGCCTATGAAAGTCCTAGAAAAAACAATTATTTAAAAATCCACGCCTATGAAAGTCCTTGAAAAAACAGTTATTTAAAAATCCACGTCTATGAAAGTGCTTAAAAAATATTATTTAAAAAATTCACAATTATTTAAAAATCCACGCCTATGAAAGTCCTTGAAAAAGAATTATTTAAAAATCCACGCCTATGAAAGTCCTTGAAAAATATTATTTAAAAAATTCACGCCTATGAAAGTCCTTGAAAAAATATTATTAAAAAATCCTCACCTATTAAAATCCTTGAATCCTTACATAGGTCCCCGGAAAAATATTACTTAAAAATCCACGCCTTACATAGGTCCTTGAACAAATATTATTTAAAAATCCACGCCTATGAAAGTCCTTGAAAAAAATATTATTAAAAAAACCTCACCTATTAAAGTCCTTTAAAAAATATTGCTTAAAGCCTTGAAAGTCCTTGAAAGTCCTTGAAAAACATTATTTAAAAATCCACGCCTATGAAATGTCTTAAAAACATTATTTAAAAATCAACGCCTATGGAAGTCCTAGAAAAAACAATTATTTAAAAATCCACGCCTATGAAAGTCATAGAAAAAACAATTATTTAAAAATCCACGCCTATGAAAGTCCTTGAAAAAACAGTTATTTAAAAATCCACGTCTATGAAAGTGCTTAAAAAATATTATTTAAAAAATTCACGCCTATGAAAGTCCGTGAAAAATATTATTAAAAAATCCTCACCTATTAAAATCCTTGAATCCTTACATAGGTCCCCGGAAAAATATTACTTAAAAATCCACGCCTTACATAGGTCCTTGAACAAATATTATTTAAAAATCCGCGCCTTACATAGGTCCTTGAACAAATATTATTTAAAAATCCACGCCTTACATAGGTCCTTGAACAAATATTATTTAAAAATCCACGCCTTACATAGGTCCTTGAAAAAAATATTATTTAAAAATAGGTCCTTGCCACGCCTTACATAGGTCCTTGAACAAATATTATTTAAAAATCCACGCCTTACATAGGTCCTTGAACAAATATTATTTAAAAATCCACGCCTTACATAGGTCCTTGAACAAATATTATTTAAAAATCCACGCCTTACATAGGTCCTTGAACAAATTTTATTTAAAAATCCACGCCTTACATAGGTCCTTGAACAAATATTATTTAAAAATCCACGCCTTAAAAATCCACGCCTTACATAGGTCCTTGAACAAATATTATTTAAAAATCCACGCCTTACATAGGTCCTTGAACAAATATTATTTAAAAATCCACGCCTTACATAGGTCCTTGAACAAATATTATTTAAAAATCCACGCCTTACATAGGGTATAATAATCCACGCCTAGGGTATAAAAATCCACGCCTTACATAGGTCCTTGAACAAATATTATTTAAAAATCCACGCCTTACATAGGTCCTTGAACAAATATTATTTAAAAAATCCACGTCTGTTTGAGTCCTTGAACAAATATTATTTAAAAATCCACTCCTTACATAGGTCCTTGAACAAATATTATTTAAAAATCCACGCCTTACATAGGTCCTTGAACAAATATTATTTAAAAAAAAAGGTCCTTGAACAAATATTATTTAAACACGCCTTACATAGGTCCTTGAACAAATATTATTTAAAAATCCACGCCTTACATAGGTCCTTGAACAAATATTATTTAAAAATCCACGCCTTACATAGGTCCTTGAACAAATATTATTTAAAAATCCACGCCTTACATAGGTCCTTGAACAAATATTATTTAAAAATCCACGCCTTACATAGGTCCTTGAACAAATATTATTTAAAAATCCACGCCTTACTATGAATGTCCTTGAAAGAATTACTATTTAAAATCACCACTGCTATCAAAGTCCTTAAAAATATATTTTTTAAAAATTACAACAATATTACATATTAAGATTTTTTTCTTTTTTTATTGAACCACCCTATTATAGGAAAATCACCAATATAATGGATTTGCACCGAAATTTCAATATTGTACTTTGACCCCACTTTCCTGAGGTATTGTTGTTAGTTTTAGTTTCTATTTTGTCACGGCCGAATCTTTAATCTCCAAGAAGAAAAAAAAACTATTTTTCTTGTTGTTGTCTGTAATTATTATTGTCTCTGTTGCTAGACGTGCCAACCCACTTAAACCTCTATTTACTTGCTGTACATTAGAATAAACTAGACATCCAGAAAATAAATATCAAGTGGACTGATAAGGCGAACATGGGTTAACAGAAAAAATTCACTTTTCATATTTTTTTTGGAAATTGTGATTAATAATCTGTGAAGTGTTTTGACGGTTAGTGGTAGGAATATTACGGCATAGATAGGTAGGTGGTGGTAATATTTACTGCAGTCAATGCTAACTTCGCAATACATATGTTCGAGACGGTGGTTTTAGCGATAACAATAAGTCGTTAGTTGCACTTAACTTTAAGAAAACACATTTCTATAAATAGAAAAATAAAAAAAAATAGCGAAATATGAACAACACGTTGCCAAAATGTGATTGTGAAATGCATATCTGAAATATTAGAAATAATAATGAAATTTATTTCGGGTAGTATGTAGTTCTAGGGGGTAAATATATAACAATTATTTCTAGAAACATGTGGCCCACTTGAAATTTAGTTTGGAAGGTAATAAAAATATATTTTTGGCTGCATTCCAAAAAATGATTTATTTCCGGCAATAAGTGTAGATTTTTAAATAATATTTTTCAAGAACTTTCGTGGCTGTGGATATTTAAATAATATTTTTTCAAGGACCTATCTATATAAGGCGTGGATTTTTTAAATAATATTTTTTCAAGGACCTATCTATATAAGGCGTGGATTTTTTAAATAATATTTTTTCAAGGACCTATCTATATAAGGCGTGGATTTTTTAAATAATATTTTTTCAAGGACCTATCTATATAAGGCGTGGATTTTTTAAATAATATTTTTTCAAGGACCTATCTATATAAGGCGTGGATTTTTTAAATAATATTTTTTCAAGGACCTATCTATATAAGGCGTGGATTTTTTAAATAATATTTTTTCAAGGACCTATCTATACAAGGCGTGGATTTTTTAAATAATATTTTTTCAAGGACCATTTTTTAAATAATATTTTTTCAAGGATCTATCTATATAAGGCGTGGATTTTTTAAATAATATTTTTTCAAGGACCTATCTATATAAGGCGTGGATTTTTTAAATAATATTTTTTCAAGGACCTATCTATATAAGGCGTGGATTTTTTAAATAATATTTTTTCAAGGACCTATCTATATAAGGCGTGGATTTTTTAAATAATATTTTTTCAAGGACCTATCTATATAAGGCGTGGATTTTTTAAATAATATTTTTTCAAGGACCTATCTATATAAGGCGTGGATTTTTTAAATAATATTTTTTCAAGGACCTATCTATATAAGGCGTGGATTTTTTAAATAATATTTTTTCAAGGACCTATCTATATAAGGCGTGGATTTTTTAAATAATATTTTTTCAAGGACCTATCTATATAAGGCGTGGATTTTTTAAATAATATTTTTTCAAGGACCTATCTATATAAGGCGTGGATTTTTTAAATAATATTTTTTCAAGGACCTATCTATATAAGGCGTGGATTTTTTAAATAATATTTTTTCAAGGACCTATCTATATAAGGCGTGGATTTTTTAAATAATATTTTTTCAAGGACCTATCTATATAAGGCGTGGATTTTTTAAATAATATTTTTTCAAGGACCTATCTATATAAGGCGTGGATTTTTTAAATAATATTTTTTCAAGGACCTATCTATATAAGGCGTGGATTTTTTAAATAATATTTTTTCAAGGACCTATCTATATAAGGCGTGGATTTTTTAAATAATATTTTTTCAAGGACCTATCTATATAAGGCGTGGATTTTTTAAATAATATTTTTTCAAGGACCTATCTATATAAGGCGTGGATTTTTTAAATAATATTTTTTCAAGGACCTATCTATATAAGGCGTGGATTTTTTAAATAATATTTTTTCAAGGACCTATCTATATAAGGCGTGGATTTTTTAAATAATATTTTTTCAAGGACCTATCTATATAAGGCGTGGATTTTTTAAATAATATTTTTATTTTTTTCAAGGACCTATCTATATAAGGCGTGGATTTTTTAAATAATATTTTTTCAAGGACCTATCTATATAAGGCGTGGATTTTTTAAATAATATTTTTTCAAGGACCTATCTATATAAGGCGTGGATTTTTTAAATAATATTTTTTCAAGGACCTATCTATATAAGGCGTGGATTTTTTAAATAATATTTTTTCAAGGACCTATCTATATAAGGCGTGGATTTTTTAAATAATATTTTTTCAAGGACCTATCTATATAAGGCGTGGATTTTTTAAAGAATATGTATTCCAAGGCCTATCTATATAAGGCGTGGATTTTTTAAAGAATATGTATTCCAAGGCCTATCTATATAAGGCGTGGATTTTTTAAAGAATATTTTTTCAGTGACCACACCATAGGCGTGGATTTTTTAAATAATATTTTTTCAAGGACCTATCTATATAAGGCGTGGATTTTTTAAATAATATTTTTTCAAGGACCTATCTATATAAGGCGTGGATTTTTTAAATAATATTTTTTTCAAGGACCTATCTATATAAGGCGTGGATTTTTTAAATAATATTTTTTCAAGGACCTATCTATATAAGGCGTGGATTGTTTAAATAATATTTTTTCAAGGACCTATCTATATAAGGCGTGGATTTTTTAAATAATATTTTTTCAAGGACCTATCTATATAAGGCGTGGATTTTTTAAATAATATTTTTTCAAGGACCTATCTATATAAGGCGTGGATTTTTTAAATAATATTTTTTCAAGGACCTATTTATATAAGGCGTGGATTTTTTAAATAATATTTTTTCAAGGACCTATCTATATAAGGCGTGGATTTTTTAAATAATATTTTTTCAAGGACCTATCTATATAAGGCGTGGATTTTTTAAATAATATTTTTTCAAGGACCTATCTATATAAGGCGTGGATTTTTTAAATAATATTTTTTCAAGGACCTATCTATATAAGGCGTGGATTTTTTAAATAATATTTTTTCAAGGACCTATCTATATAAGGCGTGGATTTTTTAAATAATATTTTTTCAAGGACCTATCTAGGACTTTCATAGAAGGACAATGGGCGTAGATTTTTAAATAATATTTTTTCAAGGACCTATCTAGGACTTTCATAGAAGGACAATGGGCGTAGATTTTTAAATAATATTTTCTTCAAGGACTTTCATAGAAGGACAATGGGCGTGGATTTTTAAATAATATTTTCTTCAAGGACTTTCATAGAAGGACAACAGCCGTGGATTTCCACATTTTTTCAAGGACTTTGGCGTGGATTTCCACATTTTTTCAAGGACCTTGGCGTGGATTTCTACATTTTTTAAGAACCATCGGCGTGGATTTCTATTTTTTTAAGCTATATAGGCGTGGAATTTTAAATTATATTTTTTTTAGGAATATAGGCGTGGAATTTTAAATTATATTTTTTCAAGGACTATCACAGCTGCAGGCATCGAATTATTAAATTTCTTTTTTTTAGGAACACGTGGATTAATTAATGTATTAATCAAGGACTTTCACATGGATTTTTTTCATATGTTTATTTTAGGACTTGGTGTGCATTTTTCGATTTATTTTTTTCAAGAACTTTTAAAGACACAGAAATGAAATTTGAATGTATTTTCTTCAAGAGGCTTTAGGGGCGGATTTTTAAAGTGTATTTTTTAAAGGATTAACACAGCAGTGGACGTGTATTTTTTAAAGAATTTTTTGTGCACCAACCTAATACATATATTCATACTTATTTATGAAAAAAGTTGTAAATTATACAACATCGAAAAAAAGTTGTAAATTTTTTTTAACATCGACAGGTCGACAGCGATTGCAATTTAATTAATAACAACACCACAAAAAATCTAAGCACAACAAAGATATTCAGAAGCCTGAATCGGTTATATTCTGATAACTGAATTGACAGACATACAGACAGACTTGTTGGTCGAATACCAGATAAGATTTCAACTGAACCATGTCTGACTGACAAAGGTCCGTCTGAGTAAGGCGTTCCCCCCTTAGCATAGTTTTTTGCGTGTTTGAGTGAGATATCAAAGTGTGAATGTTCGACATTTCATTTTCGTTTCAGTTCAATTTAGAATTTTAACAAGAATAGTCGGAAGTGCTATTCGGCGGACAAAAATAAAAAATCTAAAGAATACACTTCCATACGCATTTTTAATTGTGTGTAGAGTGTGTGATTTAAGCATAAAATACACTTTTGTGTAATAAACAAAATATTTGAATTTTAAATTAAGTGAAAGAAACAAAAAACTGCCACACCATGACTGTGCTGGAAGAAAAATTCCAAAAATCAAACAAAAAACTAAAAAACTTCTTTGAAGCGACAAAAATTAAGGAAATTTCTAAAGAAATCAAAGAAATCTCCAGTCATATGAAAATCGAATGGGCTCCGATAAATATTCCACCACGTCGCCGTATCCAAACATTGGCTGCTGGAATTTATATTTATGTGTTTATGTTTTTGCCCTTCGTCTCGATGCTGTTGGCCGCCTTCTTTGTGGTGAGTTTGAATTAAAAAAAAACTACAGGAAATAAAAAATGACATTAAGGCCAAGGTCGATAGAGACTGAATATTTGCTATGAGAGAAACTAGACTTTATTTTGAAAATGCCACGAGATAAAAAATCTGACCTATACGATCTTCAAGATCCATCAAATATTTAAAAATTAAATATATATATATATATATATATTATAAAATTGTTATTTTTTAGTAATATATTGTTTAATAGGTTATGAAAACTGACAATTTTCAGGTCAAAGATCCATGGAATGATGATAATGTTGCTGCAATTACCATACAATTGTGCAAATTGTGAAATCGCTTTATCAGGGTTTTAGTTAACTGATAATAATTCGAATTTAAGAAATAAAAATTTTTAACCTGTACGTGTAAATTTTTAAAACATATTTGAAGGTTTATAGTAGTTGTAGAATTGAATAAGATTTTTTTCAATTTCAGTTTTAAGGATTTAAAAAATTTAAGCCTCTAAAGTTTAAAAGTATGCACTTTTATTTCCATAGGTTTTTCGGGTTATAAGAGCGGAAGAATAGGGATTCAAAGTCTATGAGAGTTATAAGTGCAGGCTATAAGCATGGATTTAAGGCTATCAAGGAATATCAGGATTATAATCGTGTTATGTAGATATTTCAAATTATTATTTTGTTTATGGATTATAACTTTCATCGGCATAATATTTTTCCTAGAACTTCCATAGGCGTATATTTTTATACCCTACACCCTTATACCCTATACCCTTTGTACAGCCCCAAGGATTTGTAACGCCGTGAAATATATCCGTCCGTCTGTCCATCATAATTTGTAAACACGGTAAAGACCACAGTTATGGACCAATCTTCCCGAAATTTTGCATGTAGGATAGGCTCTGGCCAATGAAGACCCCTATTGTTTTTAGTAACGATCGGTTTATATTTAGGGGATGAAATGACAAAAAACATTATTTTTGTTTATTTTTCTGATCGCTCCAGAGGCCGCAATTATGGCCCAAACATCGAATTTTTATATGTAGAAGGAGATTGGGCCAACGAATGAGCTTGCATGTTTTGATAAAGATCTTTCAAACGTACTCTGACTTTTTTGTAAAAAATGAAAAAAATGTATTCTACAGCGTATATATTTATTCCTGAGTTTATAGTATATCCAAGAGGAGTGGTTGACCTTTAAATTGATACCGACTCGTATGTACTCGGATGTGGGAGTTATACTTAAACATTTACAGGTGCTTACGTATTCAAATATTATTAAGTAACCCATTACCACACTAGAGGGCGGAAATATAGCGTTGATTGTTTTGAAATTTTCCATGAGGATCCTGCTATGGTAAAGGACAACGCCTATAATTTTCGGTGATAATCAGATCAGATAATATTTTTGGGATGAAGTGGGCCGAAAACTTAATTTTTTGTGTTTTTTTTTTTGAGTCGATCTATGGACCACAATTGAAAGCCGAACATCAAAACACAACTCACGGTGAAGGGAATCTGGACAAGTTAGCAGAAGGGCCGTACTGAATATTAGTTGACCTCTAATCGGGCGTGACCGTGCAAATTTCATGAAATATTGCCCAGGCTCGGAATAAACATTCGTAAAAATAAGATTTCCATGGTAGTTGGGTAGGGTAACCTTGTGTAGGTAAACATTTTTGTTTTGAGGATTATCTGCGTTATAAGCGTTGATTTTTTAAAAAATGTGTTTTTTCCATTGACTATCGGCCCTATTAGCGTAGATTTGTATACCCTTCACCACACTGTGTTACAGGGTATTGTTTCATTTGTGCATATGTTTGTAACAGGCAAATAGAATCACTTTTGAGTCATGTCCGTTCGTCTGTCTATGTTAAATTTTAAACACCTGTAGGAATTTATGATCCGAATTTGATGAAATTTGGCACAGCTCATGTATGTGGCCCAAGGACGTACCGCATTGAAAAATCGGTTCAGATTTAGATATAGTTCCCATATATACTTTAGTCCGATGTAATGTAAATGGTTCACCAAAGTCCCTATATATCTTTCGATTTGCACGAAATTCGGCATAGCGTACTTAATTGAGTCTAGAATGATGTGTGTTAAGTTTCCTGAAAATCGGTTCAGGTTTAGATATAGCTCCCATATATATTTTCGTCCGATTTAATGTTAATGGTGTACCAAAGTCCCTATATATATTTCGATTTGCACGAAATTCGGTATAGCGTACAGAATTGAGTCTATAATGAACTGTGTTAAGTTTCCTGAAAATCGGCTTAGATTTAGATATAGTTTTATATATATTTTCCTCCGATTTAATGTAAATGGTGCTCCAAAGTGAATATATATCTTTCGATTGGCACGAAATGTGTCATAGCGTAATGAATTATTTCTAGAATGATATATATATATATATATACATATATATATGTCCGATTTTTGGTAAATGGTGCACCAAACTCCTAATGTTTGTGATATTACCGAATAGTGTGTATCAAATTTACTATAAATCGATTTACAAAAATTTGTCCCATTGAAATTTTGCATAGGTTGCAGAAAGGCATGTGTATGGATTGATGTTAGTCGGTTCATTTATTGATCAAGTTCAAATCGAATTAAATTTATTTAATGGAATCTAAAATTGAGAATTCCCATATGTAGAATATACACAAAGTGGTGAAGGGTATCATATAGTCAGCCCAGCCTGACTTTACTACTTTCCTTACTGGTTTTTAAAATATTTTTTATGACTACTTTTTATGTCTTGATTTTTAAAAATGTTTTTTAAGGACTATCGGTGTAAATTTTTGTATAAAAAGGACCATCGGCGATATAAGGGTAGATTTTTAAAAATTATTTTCCCAAAGACTATCGGATTTACAAGCGTAGATTTTTTTAATTATTTTTCCACGGGCTATTGGATGTATAAGCGTAGATTTTTTAAACATATTTTTTCAAGGAATATCGGCGTTATATGCGTATTTTTTATTTTTTGAATATTTTTTCAAGGATTATCTTGGTAATTTTTTGTTTAATATTTTTTTCAAGGATTATCGTGATATTTTTTAAGATAATTTTTATTAAGGTTTAAAACCATTTTTTGAAGACTCGCAGTGTCAATTTGTGGTCCCAGATCCACCGTTTAGTAAATCAACAATATGAATCAACCGTCGCGAAATGTAGATTCGGTTCTGACCAAATACAGAACCTATTGATCGTTAAATATTTTGGGTATCAAATTGAACCAATTTTTGTCTATTTTGTCTGGCGCTCTAGAGGTCACAATTGGGATCCGAGCATCAGGAATTTTTTTTAGTTTGAATGTTTTGATGATAATCGGCCAAAAATTAGTGGATAGGTAGGCCAATGTTTCGACATGACACTTATATAAAGAAAAAAATTTCTCTCATAGTGAAAAAGTTGTCTCGATTGAATGTTGTATCGTTTTTTTTACTAACTTGTGTACTTATTTAATTATATATTTTTTCTATTTAATTACAGCTCTATTTGAATTATATTGGACGTGTTTTAATGTTGATCTACTTGACATATATTTATTTCGATCATAAATTTAGAGCATCAGCTTTGGATGGTATTGGGTAAGTAGTGTTTAATCTATTAATAACAGATATTATATACAAATATATTAGAGCGTGTGAACAAAGTAGAGAGTGTGATATTTCGAATTCGTTCAAAACTAATTTAATGTGTAAAATGTTTCTAAAATGATAACTGCATTATATGTATATGGACATTTCCGCGGTTAGTTACACGATTTTCGGAATGAAAATAAAACTTTAAATGTTAAATAAATCAAACACAATTGCATTTTTTTTTACAATTCACCAATAATACTTTTTTATAGGACTTTAGAAGTACTATCAGTGGTATAAAATTAAGTGCCTGCGGTATGTATCTTTTGAGTTCTTTTCTTTGCCTTTTGCCGGAAATGCCTATTTATTATATATGCCAACCCACACTAATGTTCCGAACTAATTAATTAAATTTCATTTAATAAAAATTGTCTTAAACAATTTAAACATTATCTCATTTTTTATATTTATTCTTCTATCAACAGCTGGGGATCGCTGCGTAACAATGCCATGACCGATCATCAGCGTGATTATTTCCCAGTTGAATTAATAAAGACCGCAGACTTGACACCAGATCGTAACTATTTGATTGCCTGTTTTCCACATGGCATTTTTGGGTAAGTTATTTTCCATTTTATATTGTAAGTGTGATTGTAATTGTGTGTAAGACAGACCTTGATCGATGTCCAGTATGAGTATGGGGGGAGACATAAAACCAGTTTGTCGACATGGAAATTATTTCAAATATTGTTATTGTGCGATCTTTAACAAATAAGATACAAAGTTTTTCTTTTTGTGAAATAAAAATTGTTTATGTTATATCAATATGTATATTATTAGTATGCACATGAAATGTGAGTTTTTCAGTAGAATATATATATGGAAATTTCAATTTTGTACGTGCCATGCTAAGTACTTTTTGCTTATAACTTTGGTTTGGATTGGCCGATGATTCCCAAAATTTCAGTGAATTTATTTTATTTACCAAACTTTCCTAAGTAGCTATCAATTTAAATACAAAATCATGCATTTGTCTAGATCAAGGTATTCTTATAGAACTAAAACTATACAACTATGTGGTAAGGTTATTATAAGTTTGTGTAGCCCCAAAGACTTTGTAACGTCACAGAATATTGTTCCTAGACCTACCATTTAGTATACCGAGTGTCATATATCGATCTGGACATATGTGTATGTCCGTCCGTCTGTTCTTTATAATTTGTAAAGAAAGTACAGGCCACATTCTTCGCGAAATTATGCACGTAAGTCCGTTTTTGAATAAAGAAGATTTTTTTGAGTTTTCTGGTCGTTCTAGAGTACCCAACCCGATCATCACGAAATTTTATATTGATCACATTCAAAATGTGATCTCTACATACATTTTTATGATTTGGGTACATTGTGGCGTATAAGTATTATTATACCCCACACAACTATGTTGTCAGAGTATTATAGCTTTATGCAACTCCAAAAGTTTGTAACGCCGCGAAATATTGGTCCTAGACCTACCTTCAAGTATACCGATCGTCATATCTTCAAGTATACCGTCCGTCTGTCCATTATAATTTGTAAACACGATACAGGCCACAGTTGTGGACGAATCTTCACGAAATTTTGCATGTAGGATGGGTTCTGGCCAATGAATGTTTGTAAAGATCGGCTAATATTTAGGGGATGAAATTGACCAAATACTTATTTTTTCGGTTCGGTGGAGAACGGGATCGGGCTAAAGAATAAGCCTGCTTGTTTTGATAAAGATTGGTCAATATTAAGCGGGTCAAATGGACCCCGACTTTTGTGTGAAAAATTAGAAATAGTGTATTCTATGGCGTATATATTTGCCCCTGAAGGACATAGATCCGAGAAGTTGATAGTATATCCAAGAGGAGTAGTTGACCTTTAAATCGTTACAAATTTTATTGTCGTATGTACTCGGATGTGGGAGTTACACTTAAATATTTACAGGTGCTTACGTATTCATATAGTATTTAGTAACACATTACCACACTAGAGGACGGAAATATAGAGCTGCTCGCTTTGAAATTTTCAATGAGGATCCAGGTAAGGACATCGCCTATAATTTTCGGTGATGCCGTATATATTTTTCATTTATGCAGATTACATGAAATTACATCGGATTTATATTCAAGACATTTAGAGCTATCTTTTCTTCTTTGACGAATAACAAGAGTGACTGTTTTAGTAAAGAATCGTTTCAAATGGACCAAGACTTTTGTGTAAAAAGGATAAAATTTGCATTTTATGGCAGCACTGGTGGCCAAAACTAAAGCAACTAAAATTGCAAGGTTAATATATGCCGCATAACTTTTTCAACAAAAACATAGAAGAGGAAGGCTGCAAAAGTAAATCAGTTCGTACTGATCAACAAATTTGCATAGCAGTAAAGAAATACCCATTTAAGATTTCAACGGAATTTATGAGACGGTTATCGTTAGATATAACCTCAAGAACATATCGTAAACGAGATATGGTAGCAGGTCTATATGTCCGGAAACTATCAAGAAAGTTCTTTTATTTCTGACTGGCCTTCGCATATTTATTGGAATCCGACTTAGTGAAGAAACTATATCCTCTCGGACGAATTAATATTAAAAATTAGGTTGGGGGAAAAGAAATCCAATAGGCCGGTCGTTGAAAATTCTGAAATTGACCTGCATGTTAGCAGTCTTAACATCGCCCAGGAGCTAAAATCGAACATGAAACTGTTTTAAACTATTTACACGAACCTGGATTCCAAAAGGAGCTCGATGTTTGGATGCCACACCAATTAACAGAAAAAATGGGATGGATCGAATTTCCATCTGCGAAGCCTTGACCAAGCGGAATGAGATAGACCCATTTCTTGAACGTATGGTGGCTGGAGATGAGAAATGGATCACATACGATAATAAGAACGGTGAAACACCTCAAACGGTTGCCAAACCAGGACTAACGGCCAGGAAGGTTCTGCTATGTATTTTGTGGGACTGGAAGGGGATTATTTATTATGAGTTGCTTCCATATGGCCAAACATCAAATTCTGATCTCTCCTATCAACACCTGGACCGTTTGAAGATAGCAATTGACCAGAAACGCCCAGAATTGGCCAACAGGAGAGGTGTCGTGTTCCACCAGGACAACGCTAGGCCACACACATCTACAATGACTCGCCAAAAACTTCGGGAGCTTGGTTGGGAAGTTTTAATGCATCCGCCATAGAGTCTGGACTTGGCACCAAGCGATTATCATATTTTTCTTGCATTGCAAAATTTCTTATATGATAAAAAATTTGTATCTTTGGTGGATTGTGAAAATCGCCTACTAGAGTTTTTTGCAAATAGAGAACATGACTTCTATGAGAGAGGAAGTTACCTTTAAAATGGCAACGAATCATACAAAAAAGGTGCATATTTGACCCAAATCGGACATTCCGAAGCATAAAGTCTTATAGTTCTTATAAAAATAATGGATTTCTTTTTCCCCAACCTAATATATATACTTTATGGGGTCTCTGGCGAATCATTTGAGGAATGACCAATTTAATATACACTCCTCCTTATGGTGGAGAGTATAATGAAAAAAGGGACATATCATTTATGTTAAAATGCTTATAAACGCATTAATCGTGCAATTTTTTTGATAAACACTGTTGTGCATAATTTAACAAAAAATGCAATAAAGTGGAATATTTATTTTTTTCAATAATATCTTATCTATGTTTCGATGTCATAAATTTCATAATTATACTTTAGTGATAAAAAAATTCAATCGATCACCTATAACTGATTCTGAGGGAATGGACAATTGCCATTCTCTTTGAAAAGAGAGAGTATCAAATATGATTTTAATAAACAAACATTTTATTTCCTATCTTCTCTTAGAATTGGTATTGCCAGCAATATGGGCAACAACATTGGCAAATGGATGAAAATGTTCCCCGGTATTCGACCAAAAATTGCCACCTTGGATATGCATTTCCGTATACCATTTATGCGTGAAATTATTCGCCTTTGGGGTTTGGTATCGTGCTCCAAACAATCTCTGATGTATTATCTGAAGAAATCCAATGATCCCAAGCATCCAGATAATCGTGATGGATTTACTTCATATGCTGTGGCCTTGTTGGTGGGTGGTGCTGAAGAGTCATTGGAATCACGTCCCGGACGTTATGTGTTTGTACTGAAAAATCGTAAGGGTTTTGTTAAGATTGCCATACGTTCAGGGTAAGTTTTTCGGAGAAAATTAAATTAGACAATTACAAAAATATTTATTGTTTCCTTTTTTTCAGAGCCCCCATTGTTCCCTCTCTGTCCTTCGGTGAAGTTGACATTTACGATCAGGTGGATAATCCTCCCAACTCCATGTTGCGTAAATTCCAGACATTTGTCAAACATTGGACCGGTGTTTCTCCCCTAATCGTGTTGGGTCGTGGTTTCTTCCAATACACCTTTG